TTATTTCCGTCAAGGCATGCCATTCATGTGCACAGATTTATAAAAACCACAGCAGTAAATACTGCATCAAATATAAACAATCTTTGTTGAATACACAAAACTCAAAGCTAGGCTAACTTTATGAAGAAGAAACTTCTGATTCCCTTTTTTTTTCTTCTTCTTCAGTAAAGTTTTTTTTCTCAATCTAATAGTGACAACTAAATTTGATGAACGGGTAAGCTTTACAAATATAACTCCTTTGTGGGAAGTAATTGAATTATCTTGTAATACATGTCAAGACCCGTTCCATACAATAACCCCATTCCAGACGTCAAACTAATGTAGAAACACTTTTGAATACCGGCATGGTCTAACATTACTAGGGAGCGTAATAGGATTTAAACATGACATGTTGAAATCTCTGTCTTCATTGTGGTAAATATTGTGTGTCATGAAGCATGTCAATTGTCTATTAACCTCAGCTGTCAGTTAACTGTCGACCTGTTCACATTTATAAAGACTACATATTTACCAACTCGTTTGCAACACTCATCATGAAATATAAGAGGAAAATGGGTCTTCATGCAAGATGATAAAGCATGTTCTGGCATTTTTGTATGATCTAGTTTGTTTCATTGTACACTGATTACCTCTATATCATCTGTTTGGGGCTAGAAGGGGATTTACTCTTATACTTTAACACAGATTAAATTATTGCCCTTCTCGCTTTAAAGAAGATAATATTGATAGACCATTAGAAGTTTGAAAGTTGTTTCTCTGGTGCTCTTTGGTCAATCTGTAAGGATCAGTAAGGATTCTATTTACACCTTGCTCTAAAGCCTGACGCACACTACACGATCTGACTACGATCCAATTTTGAAAGAATATGTGATAGCATGTAATATGAATATGCAAACAAGTATTAATGATGGAGGACCTCAAAAGTCCTATGATCAATAAAATCTAAGTTTCAAGGTATTTCATGCTTCTTTAGAGAGAGAGAGAGGTAGGGGGGAGGGGGGGGGGGAGCTGAATCAACTCTCATAGTGATATCAGACCAATAGTGTGATTATCTATGATTTGAAGCCGATTCAGCTTTTATTCTGACTAGAAGAATTAAAAGCTCTAAAATACGGGTTGTTAATATTCTTATCATTATTTAGAACCTAAATGAGGAGGATAGTGATTTAAATTTCCATGTCAAATATAACCGCCCTTCTTAGGGTCACTAGTGTATTTCATGCCAGCAGTTGTGACCAATCAGAGGCCTATAATCTTTATATGCAGTATATAATAGGACCTAGACTGGACCATCTTTGATAATATGAATAGGGTATAGGTTCACCATAAGAAGTAATTCACACTAACAAGTATAAAAGACATATGTTTTATGTCATTTAGTATCCAGCCGTTGAAGGAACAATCACTTGCATTTTTTCTGTGCTACACATTGCATCAGGGAAATGTTGGCTACATGATATTTTCCTTGGGGGAAAAGTAAGTTACTGTAGTTATATACAATGTTTGGTAGGAGTTAAGTAGGATAAAATAGTTCAAATATTTGGAGAGTGAAAATGAAACGATGTCATGCAATACTCTGACAGGTTTTTAAATCATAAAGCTTCAGGAACTCTCTTTAATAACACAGAGGAGTGTAAATCCACTGTTTTAGGTGTCAAAAATGGTGGTCATTTCCTTTAGAAGTGAGTCTACTCCAATTGCAGTGGACTACACTCTAATTAAAGTTTCATCTACTCTAAACTCTTTATAAGGCAAAATAAAAGAAGTGTTGTCTGGAGAAGATATGAAAGTATTTTAATTACCTTGAAGACTTACCCCTTATAGGAAGTAGAGTACTTGAAGGAAAATCTGTGCCATGATAGTCTTTGGGTCACCCACCTCTCTCTCATCTGTCTCTCTCTGTCTCTCTGTCTTTGTGTCTCTCTCCTCACGCCCTTGTCTCTCTTTCTCTCTCTTTCCTCTCTCTCTCTCTCTCTCTCTCTCTCTCTCTGTCTGTATCTACCTCCCCCTCCTTCCCTTTCCCTCCACCCTCTGTCACTCTCTGTCTCTCTCTCCCCTTCTCTCTCTGTTCTCTCTCTCTCCCTCACCCCCTTCCCCTTCCCTCCACCCCTTCTCTTGAGACAAGAGAATGATTGCAGCCTTGATGGATGCTCCCAATGCTAGTTATTCCTGTTATGTAGACTATGCCCGTCCTTACACCACTAGAGACCATCAAACATGCAACAGCATATGTTCAATATGTGCTACAGGGTTTAGACCCAATTTGTAGCTCTTATTTTGGACTTGTTCATAATTCAAATCCAGTCTTGTCGTAGTATCGAGTTTGTTTTGGGACATGTTTTATAATGCCAGTTATAGTCATATGGTAGGGATTTGTTTGCTGTTACAGTATGAGCTCGGGCAAACACATGTCTGTTAGAAATTGAGGAGTTGCTTGGATGATGAGGGTAGGTCATAGAAAGGTCATTTGTAAGAAAGACAGATGGCATGAGAACAGGTCATTATTTTGAATGAATGAATTACTACAGATGCAACGAGATTGCCCGCGCCTCATATGTTTAACCATTCAATGAAGAATAGTTCATCTAAACAATTAATGAAGTACGAGAACTTTGTACCAGCCATAAGGGTTAATGTATGATTTACTTCATTGATATGTTCCAATGAAAGAGTATCATAATTGAACACAAATGCATGACATTTTACAAACCTGAAACTTTTTTTTTGGGGGGGGGGGGGGGAAGATTCTTGCATTTATAATTTGGTAAGTTTCTGGTTTTGCAGTATACTAATTTGACACAGGATAGGAATACATAAGATAGGTTGACAAATGAAACTACAGATAAAACTGGGTCCAAGTAACATTTGTCTTCACCTTCAGTTCAGGACCTTCTAATCAGGGCAGGAGCTAGTATACCAGAGTTGGAATGCTATCTCTGAATAGCAAGAACCCAGATACGGTAGATGATATATGTAGAAATATATGATTGGTAATTTGTTTGATCTGTCTTTTCTTCACCCGACCCGGTTGTTGTTCACTTGCTAGTAATATATTTTTTGGCTATTTTCTCTATATTTTACGATATTTCCTAGAAAATTTGACTATTTTCTTCTTGAAAAAAGTAGAAAATAGAAAAAAAAAAAAAAAAAATTTAGGCTGAGGACTTTAGAACAAAAGATACATTAAAAAATTTGTTTTTAAATAGTAAAAATATATATATATATTTTGTTTGCTTTTTTAACAATTATTTTTTTTCATTTATATTTTGTTAGTACTATATTTTTGACTAGTTTTAGACTATTTTATTTTGACGAGAGCAGTTACTACTGAATCCTCTTACTGGTTGGTTCATGTGACAACAATTTAAAAAGCATTTTTTGAAAGTTTAAAAAAAAATGTGATTGAGACTTACAGCCTTTCCAACCTGAGGTCCAGTCTGGATTGGTTAAGTCTGACGTGTAGAAAGGTGATGATAGTGTTATCACTATTCTTGCCTCGATGATTAGTGTCTCAAGGTATCTTCCTCCTACTCCTCATCATCTAATAGATACCATCATAGTATCAAGGATCATCCCATACATTCCTACTCACACCAGTATTTGATTAGCTAGGATTCCAGTCCCTGTTCTAACTTAGAGACAGATCAGTGTGATCTATTAGCTTTAATCATTTAATGATATTGGTCCTCCTGGTGATAACAAAATATTCAAAAAATGCTAAAGAAACGTAACTAATTATTGATATGGTTTGAATTGATGACATACTGCTTTCACAATGTTTTAAGGTGAGATATGTTTCCATTCCTAAATGATTTCTTTATTAGCTTCATTGTAAATTTGTGTAAGCGATGGAAATTGTAACCATGAGTTCATTTATGATTATAATACCCTCTATGTTTTTATTATAGAATTAAACAGCATCACAGAGTATAGTACTACTCCTAAGCATATTGAAACAGTGCCCAGTAGTCCAAATCCTAAGCTATATTATGATTGTATCAGCGCAGTGCTGTACTGTAGTGTCTTAATGTTGAACCCTGCCAGCTAGGGGTAGAAGCATTTCAAGATTGTGATGATGCAAGACCCATTCAGGGATACTGAGCTGAGATGAAAAATGGTCTAAGTTTTGCTAGGTCATGTTCATAGTTTTTCTCACAGTCTTATAAATTGATTTTCATCTCTTCCTTGTAACAAGCTATGCTGTGTTTGGAAGTTTGCTACATGTCACTAACATTACATTCTAGATATTTCATGCTTAGACCTGGTTAAAACTAAAATGAATTGCAACCGATGTTAAATGGATCTGTAATGAACATTCATTTGATCCACATGGAGAAAGAGAAAGTTATCCCATCTGGTTTGTGAGAATTATTTTGCTCAAAGATGTGTTTCTAATTCTAAATGATGAGCATATACTCCCACATACTTAGATGATCCTGAGAAAGAGGGGATGAGGGATGGTAAAGCACTCTCTGGATGTCATCATGATGATGATCATCATCTATCAACATAACAACAGCCGTGCCCACTTGATAGCAGATTGACACTCATTTCTTGCTTCCTCATGGGTGTGAAACTGATGATTGTTAGAATGAATCTCTTGTTAGGTGATGGGACTCTCACTTACATACCAGTATCAGGCAAAACATTTAACACGACATGAAAACTGAAATAGTGCCTTGTCAATGTTTGTTATTTGTTTGTTTTTATATTTCAGCTTATCTACATGTATATAAGATGTAGTTCCTTATTCTGAGAATGACCCATTCCACAATCATGTGTTTACATGAGAATCATGAGACTATTGTTTTTGTTTTTTTCCTCATACATACATGCTACATTGCTATCATGAAGGAATCAGTATAATGTTGGTATTCACAAGCAGTTGATATGGATTTGAGAGAGGCTGTTGGGTATTTTTCCTTTTAAAGTACACTCAGCAATTTTGATGTGTTGAATTAATTTGGCATATAAATGTTTCTTATATCTTTATTGTATAGGTCAACAGACAAGTGTATTGGACTGTACCAATGTTGCTACAGGGGAAACTGTTGAAGACAGCAGATGTGAGGGACAAAAACCCGAAATTAGTGCCCGAAGTTGTAACAATATCAACTGCCCACCAAGGTATGTGTTGCTGCTGCTGTGTAACATGAGTGTTATTCAATCTTCCCCGTATTTAAAGGGAAAGTCCACCCCCAAAATAAGTTTGTTTCGATAGAGGCAGAATAATAAGAAAATCAGGTGAGTGAAAGTTTGAGCAAATTCTGAATGAAAATAAGAAAGTTATGAATTATTGAAGTTGTGATCAATCAAATACAAATTGGCAACTCTGTGACTTATTATACGAGCTCTCCTTCATTTGCTTTGTGCATAATATTCCATAAAATCATGTTTTCTTCGTTATTGATGACGGAATATATATTTGTTCCTTGCAGGGGGAGTATAGAAACATATTTGCAATTATTATATTTAGGGTGCATGTATGGTTGAAATTTTTCTTGAGGGAAAATGAAAATTTTAGATTTTTTTAGTACTGAGCAAATGGAAGTTGAGCTCGCATGATACGTCATAGAGTTGCCAATTTGTGTTTGATTGATCACAACTTCAAAAATCCTAACTTCCTTATTTTTAATCGGAATTTGCTCAAACTTTCACTGACTTGTTTCTCTCATTTTTCTACTCCTATTAAAACTAACTTAATTTCAGGGTGGACTTCCCCTTTAACTAAGAACTATTAAAAAAAAAAAAACTTGTTTAAATCTTTGACTTTATAGAATCACGTGTTTCGAAAAGATGAAAATAGTCAAAAATTCTTAGATGGATGAGAGGAAAAAACCTAAATGTATGTCTTTCACATTTGATCTGTCAATTAAAACAAGGACATTTATCCATAACATCTCCTGTCTGTATTTTGGCTGTGAAATAGTCACACATGGTCTAGACGTATTGCTATAAATGTCACAATCTCCTATTATTGGTAATGATTGATTGGTTTAGAATAGGTGTAGTATTAAACCTGGTGTTCTGACCATGAAATGATCCACATTATAAGTCCCTTGTGAAATATATTATTTCATAATGCAGAGTGCACTGAGACCACACAAATGTCAAGTATGAATCAAGGTTTGAAGTGAGTTGGTAAAGGCTCAAAGGTCATGTACTAAAGAGAGAGAGAGAGAGAGAGAGAGAAAAGAGGGGGGGGGGGGGGGGGCGGGGGCTGGGGGCTTCATTGCCAAAAACTTTATGGAAAGTGCAAGAATTAGCCCAGTTGCTGATTATAAGTGTCTTTTTTGCATTTTCATTGTGTGATAACTACCGTTACTTGTAATGGCCAAAATTAAACTGATTGAATATTTGTGCAGTACAAAACGTACAGCCATTAGGTAAAAGGGTATAAAAATCAGACTATTATTTTGGTGATTGCAATCACTTAAGTCAATTTGACAACTAATGGTCATTATTTTTCCACTAAAAGCCATTTAAAAGCTCTTTCGTTTTGAGGGAAGTTCTAAATTAGTATTGTCTTTCAAATGCTGTTGGAACTTAACCTTTTCATTTTTTGGCCTGCATAGTACCTTTAAATAGCTTGAAACAGAATCGAGAGCAGGTCATAGAAACCTGAGGGTCCATGGTGTGAGAGACAGTCACGTTGAGGTCTTATGCTCACCTGTGTGGGGTTGAAAGGTCAGGGGTCAATAGAGATATCAAGTTTAGGACTGGATGATTACACACCTGCTGTGGACCTGAAGTAGAAGTAATATAATGTTTCAGGGGTAAGCACTGATGCAAAAGTACATTGATCTTTTCAGCTTTCCTCAAGGAGATTTGTTTTGAAACTATATTTCTACCTGATCTTATCTTCTTATTCAGGCACCCAACCAAGTAAGATTATTGCTCAGTAGTCACTACTACAAATAGCAAACTCAGAGATTTTAACATTTCATATTTATGGTTGAAATTATTATCAGCAAATTTTCTGAAAGGAAATTTGGATTCATGATATATTAAAAAAAGACCTCATAGTGACTGCTTACTGTGAAAGACACAAATGCCTTACCAGAAATTGAATTCGTTATCACTTTAGGCCTCTATGCATACTAAACTTTTAGAAATTTAGGATTTGAACCATCCCTGAAATGAATTTAGTTATATCATCGCCTGGCTGGCAGAAGGGCGCTAGCTCGAATTTCAGGTCAATAATGAAACCTTAAGCAGAAGGGCGTTAGCACTAAATCGCCTCAAACTTTTATAAAACTGACTTATTTCGGAGAAAAAAATTGTGGCCGTGTTCTACTACAACATTTCTATTAGTCTTTTATGTTTTAAACATATTCTTTGCACGAACGAACTAACAAACAATGTTTTAAACAAATTTTCGGGACGGAAAGCAGTTTGAATATAAAACAAATCTTTAAATGCAAATAATTCGAAAAGTAGTTTTCGAGTCGCTTGCGCGCTAACGCCCTTCTGCCACCCGGCCGACGATATTCCTATACTTAGATGTAGTTAGAAGGCCTGAACTGGATTTAGATCATTAAATAAGGACTTCTCACCTTGAAAAACTGTTTAACAGCTAGAATGTATGAAATATAACTTGGCATATAACTTGACCTGGCATTCTGTGATGAGAGAAAGGTTAAAGGAGCATGAAGAAAGTCAAGGAAAAGCTAAAAACTTGACACATGCACTAAGGATGGATTCTACGCACTTGCATGCATGTATATATGGGTGCATCAGGGAGGTGTCACTTTTCAAGTCGTCTTTGCAAGTCATTTTTTTTTACCTTTATACAGAGTTGTATTTAGTAAACTTGCAATTTTTTTTATAGACTGCAGTAATGATTTGGAGCTGACTATTTTACTCAACAGGCCTGTTTTCATCTTCTCATCAGACTGAAGTTGCAAAATAAACCGCTATTTTAACTAGTCTGATCTCAAACTAGCCAGCTAATTTGCGTCTTCGTCAGCCCGCAGTTGCAATTAGCGGGTCATGTGGTCAAGAAAATATCCCGAGAAATCTTGGTCTTGTTTCCAAAATAGCCTGCTAATTGGAATAATTTGTGTTCGTCTTCATCTATTTTGTGATGAGCCTATCGGTCTGGTGAGGACGCAATTTCGAGCTATAGGGAAAATAGCAGGTTATTTCGCTACTTTGGTCTGATGAGGACAGGTCTTATGAACATAACAACATGGAACCCAAAACATTAAAGGCAAAATATTTTGGGGATTGGTTCTATTTATACAACTCCCGCCAAACAGACTCCAAACTGATCCTATCTTAGCCATTAAGAGTTGCTGATCTCTTTATCAGATCAGGGATAGATCGCTAGCCCTGGGTAATGTCATTGTGTGTAGTCGGTCTCATGTCGGCCCGTGACGGTCTCATCATTGGGACTCGGGTACAAGTCAAGGGTTACAATGTTTATACTATTGGCAATCTATTTAAAGGAAACAATGATTACGTGTTTTTTTTAAAGAAAAATATTTGAAAAAAGATGAAGAAATGATTCATTTGACGCCTTCATTTAAACTTCCAGCATACACTGTATGAATAAATAGATGCAATGAATGATTTACGAGAAATGAGGTACAGGGTGTACATGTAGATCATACACATAATCCGTATAAAGTTAGAAAATGTCATTTATAATTTCCAACTTGCCTTTCAAGTTTCATTAAAATTGTCAAGCATATCAATTGACAAGTGGACAAATTGAATAATATATGACTGCTGCAATGAGGGCATAGATTGTGAGGTCAAGTCCTAATGGTTCCCTACTGAGTCATTACATCCATTACATGGTTCCCCTGCTGAGTGATGATCAAAACTCTTCTTTAAGGCCCATTTACAATGCAGAAAAAACCATTAAAACAAAAATTTATCTCAAAAACTTCCATTCACACTACTGGAAAACGCATTAAAAACCCCGCCAGTGTTTGATAATTCTGGGTTTTTTTGTGTGTAAGTTTTGCGCACGCGCCACTTGTTGAACGGAAACGAGGAGAGTCATAATATGTGACCACAAACCGGAATAACTCACCAATGTTTTGAGAGTGAGCATTCACATTGCAAAAGCCAGCGGAGTTTTGACCGGTTTAAAAAAAATATAGACTCCAGAGGTGGGTTGTTCGATTCAGGCTTGTCATGTTTATGGGTCGTTAGTTGCCTAGCAACTTCAGACAAAACCGCGGAATTTGAGGAAAAAAACAATGGTTTTTGCTGGCAGTGCAAATGCTCCTATAGTGCGTTCTTATAAAGAAAAATGAATATTTAGCCCAGTGCTTCATTTGATTTATTTTCATTATTGGTATTTATTCTTATTCTTTTAAATGTATACCAATATGTAAGATATTTGTCATCAATGGTTATATTTAAAATGTCATGATAGGTATAGAGCCTCATGAAATTCAGCAAAACTTTCAGTCCGAGCATTATGCCATTGATTTATTTGATAAGAAAGGAAATAAAGACGAAGTTAAAAAATATAGAGAGAAATTAAAGAAATGGCATATAGATAAAGCAATAAAACTATGAAAGAAGTGATTGGCACTATAATCACTCCATCATTCTGGCAACTCTCCTGCTCTTCAAAATTAGATCCTATCTTACAGAGATTTTGAGATATTGTGATAGAATTATTGAAACTGAATCCAGGCTGAATTTTTACTTGAAGTAAATATGACAATTAGATAAAACCTGCAGGAAAGATTCTCCTTGCTTCCTTTTCAGTGATGCAAAATGTTAAAAGTTAATACGAGCGAATTATTTCTAATATTATATACTGGTACATATAGCCTATAGGGGTAAAAATGTCTGTTGACCAGATACAATCAAATCATTTAATATTATAGATCGTGTTCATTCATCAGTATGTTTGTGTGACAACTGCTACACTTTTTTGGGTTCCAGAAATAGCTTTTATACATGCATAGGAAATAGGTAGCAGAGATGAAGTGTTAGGCAAACAAGATGGAGAAAAAGAAATGAGAACATCAAGAAAAAATTTCTGCAGCACCATCTCTTTGGAATGCTCTTCCACTGAGGATCCGATCTCTAGAATCCCTAGAAACATTTTAAAAGAATCTAAAGTCATATATGTTCACATGTTATTTTAGTTAATTATATGTTGAATGTATACATCTATGCATTTTTTTCTTCTTTTCTTTTCTTCCCCCCCCCCTTCTCATTTCTCTATGTATCTCATTCTAAATCTATCCCTCTGCGCCTCAGAATAGTTTACTACATCGATGGCGCATAATAAATGCTGTATTATTATCATTATTATTATTATGAAATTTCAAGTTCTTCTCATTTGTTGACACACCTATATAACAAAATTCCTTTGTATTACAATATATTACAATAACGGTCATCTTGCACATTTTCCATGAGTATTAAAGCAATGTTTCCTCAGAGCAGGAAAGTGATATTATGTACAAAACGGATAGAGAAAAGTGAGAGGATGACATCATCAACTCGCTAATTTGCATACAGCCTGTAAATGTGATACATCTCTTTCTTTGCATGAAATTATCTGAAACTCAAAAATTCCGTAACATTCTTATTTTTATCAGATTTTGATGAAACTGTATGTTCAATTTTTCCCTATTCATTTCAACTTGCGAATGGGCCGGACATGCCCTTTAAAGATACTATGTCCCTTTTGCAGCCAACCTCAAATTCTGTAGAACTTTGCAGGAATTATGAATATGTCATGTATGTCCTATCTGTGAAATTTTAAGGTTAGTAGTGTCCTATTATTCAAATTATGCAAGGAAACCCGTTTACTTGCTAGACTTCACTGGCAGACACTATTGTCAGTATTGAGTGACTGACTGGCTTTTGCTTCTTCTTTGGTAATAACGTACATAAAATGAGCTGTAAAGGATTTGTCTACATCAATAACCCATTCTTGTAATGGCCAAAATTAAACTGATTGAATCTTTGCGCAGCATAAAACGTACGACCATGCTGTACAATGGTCTGAAAATCAAGACTATTACTTATTGGCTCTATAGCTCCTAAGTTGATTCGACAACTAATAGTTATTTTCCCACTTAAAGACATTTTCAAGCCCCATTTTTTAAGGGGAGTTCTAAATTAGTATTATTTTTCAAATGCCATTGGAATTCATTTTTGGGGCCTGCAAAAGGGACATAGTACCTTTAAGAAGGTCATTTATATATAACATATGGTGAATTGGTATGCTAATACTCTCGATTTTCTATATTTCATCTATTAGTCAGCTTAAAATTATTGAAATATGAGAAAGAGCTCGAAATTCAAGAAAAATCTTGTGTAACTTTTTGGTAAATCATAGTCATAGTGAGAAACAGCTTCAAAGCCCAAAATAGAAAACATTTTATCATACGCGGTCCAACTTTGATCACACTAAATTGTGATCAAAGAAATACGGTTCAACCAGAATTTTTTGACACCTCAAATTATCTCAATTTGTTAATGACAACAATTTTCACTGGCAAGAAACTTAATACACAAACTGCAAAAAATGAGTCTTGTGTTAAATATTTTGCGGAATGAGGCTTCTGCCAGTTGTTACCTCTTTGGAAATTCACAAACATTTGTCATGTATGTGAAAGTCTGTGGTTTTAGAGTATAGTACAATAACATGACAGCACGCTTTGTAGTTTTTTTCTTCCTTTTTTCTTCAATTTCCTATGAAAGTCAAGACAAATATAGTAGCTTAGAGCCAGTCATATTTCAATGCACAGGTGAATATTTCCTTTGTCAATAAAAAGCATTAAGTTCAATGGATCCTCATAAAACCTAACGATGCATGATGGAAAACGGTTCACGTTTAATGATTTTCAAATCAGATACCAGTAATTGGATTTGGTTTTTAGAAATCTCTTTATATGTGAATATAGCAACATGTCAGCCTACTGATAAATGACCGAATCAATATACTATTCAGATTTTCTGAAGGAGAATTCATTTAGTTATATCCTGCACTAAAATCCTTGACAACTTGTATAACAAGATCAAAATACGCCGTTGCCCGTAAAGTTTGAATAAATATTTGTCCTTACCTCTTTCCATGAAATGGTTGTGACAATATGGTTTATACTTGATAGATAAAGTTTACATGTTTTCTCAAAACTTTATTTACTATCTGAGAAGATATAAACTTTATCTATCAAGAATGAATCACATTGACACAACCACTTCATGGAAAGAGGTAAACAAAAATTAATCCAACTTTATGAGCAATAGTGTATCTATGGATTTGGTCTTACCATTGACGTCATACAGTGGTAGTCTAAAGTACATGGTGTAGAATGCAGAAATCTAGTATGGAACAGTATGGGACTTCAGTTTTTTTTTTACTTCAATTTTCAATTTTAAAGATTGACATTACAACTTAAATGTATTATTGAGTAACCCAAGGAGTAGTTTTGCCTGCAACTTAATCTACTTATCGTTGGGTTTAATCATATTTGCACAAATCAGCAAGTCATTGTGAAGTTTCTGCCAGAAAATTAGAAGAACTAGAACTCAAATATTTGCCTGCCACTGCCTTTGAAAGGTGATCCAAAATGGGAGTCATAGGACTGAGGTGCAAAAAGGTAGATCTTGTGGTCACTCATAAGGCCTGTCTTCCTCAGCTCAAGTTTATCAAATAGCCCACTATTTTAACTATTCGCCCGCAGTTGCAATTAGCGGGATATTTTGTCGAGAAAACATCCTGAGAAATGTTGGTCTTGTTTCCCAAATATCCCCCTATTTGGAAAATAGCAGGCTAATTTGCACCTGTCCGAGCTAGTTTGTGATGAGCGTATTGGTCTGGTGAAGACATAATTTTGAGCTTCGGGATAATATCCTGAGTCTGAAATAGCAGGTTATTTGGCAAACTCGAGCTGATGAAAACAGGCCTATCGGGTGCCCCCATCTCATCACAAGGCTGTTGGTAATGAATATCATTGACCAAGAAGTATTTCAAAATGGAATATTTTTGTTTTCCTACTGGATGTATTAAAAAGGAACAAGAAATTTTCACCTCGTGTTTAACTGAATTTCTATTCTAAAAGATTTGATTAACAAAAGTAACATGGATGTATTTTTAACCCAATAATGCCTCTAGAACCTCTGCAAGTCTTTTTATTTTGTGGTGTGCCTTCAACTGAAGGCCGTGATTACAGTGATCATTGTTAGCTAGTTTAGAATTTACAACAATAGAGAACAGAATATGAAGTTCTGAAGCGGAAAATTAGAATTACCTCTATAAAAATTGAAAAAGTATGTGATATATAACCCCTAACAAATCTAAACTTTCTATAGAAATGCAGAGGTCTCTACTGTTTTTAATGTAAGTGTCTATCACTCTATGATCATCTATGTATTTCTCTTTCCTTTTCTTAATTTTTGTTTATCTTTTTTTCTTAACCCTTTGATTTTTATGTTTTGTTATCTGCCCTTTCTCCCCACCCCTCGAAAATAGCCTATGTCAGTTGAGTTCACCATGACGTTTTTATGTAATCTTAAGTTTGATTGGAGTTCTCTGCCATGACTATTTTGAGCTGGTATATAAAGTGACTCATCATCACCAATAGTATCCAACTTACATACCTCTAGGCCAAGGACGCTTATGAATTTCTTAGCACCTTGTAACCTCACTATCCCATCATTGCCTCCAACTATTACAAAAGCTTCCATGGCAGATCTTACGCTCAAATCCAATTTGGGAGATGGAGCAAGCAGAAAGTTCAAACAGATTGTTTGAAGAAGAAGGAAAAAAAGCCATCTAAATATGATGTAGGTCATTTGTGTTAAGTTTACTTATTTCAAACATCTTTCAGTCTTTAAGTTCAGACCTTATCTAAGTTTTAATGTATATCATATTCATGTTTTAGTTTGTTATCTACTGAATAGTAAAATAAACATGGTTGTATCACAATGCAATGCACAGTCCACATGGAATTTATATTTGTGTAAGCATTGTTATTTCGGTAGTTCCTGTAGGAATATAGAGGCAAATTCTTGTTGGTGGACTGTTGAAAGATGTCCAGCAATATTTCTTTGAAATTTGATCGTTACCGGCTTGCCTTAGGGATGAGATTGTTGAAATGTACAGTAATTGGCTGGACCGAGTGAGGTTATAGATGTGATGGATGAATTCATAGTAGTGCACTCAATTCAGTTCTGAAGTCAAAACAATCCTCAGAATCATATGGCATGAATGATTGAATGAATGAATATAGGAAGTAAATATCTTTATTACCAAACTTTGATAAAAATAAACACGCCTACAAGTTGAGATTGCCATCTTTGGTGACATATATATGATGCCCTCCTCCCAGGCGCTGTTTTAACTTTTAGACAAATGTTTTATTTGAGATGGGAGCTGTGAGGTTCTTGCATTCATTTTCCTCATGGGCCTCACTCAAATTTCTTTATAATTATAGTCAAGAAATATATTTTGTTAGGGGCTAGGCATTTTGTGAAATGATATTCATGGCATAGAAGACCCTCCCCCCTTTTGCAACCCCCAAAAAGCAGATTCAAAGCTGAGCATATCCAATGGTTTACCTCCGCTTAACCTTTATGAATGTTTAATGATACCTATTTTTTTTGCATTATGTTTGCAGATGGGAAGGAGAGCCATGGGGTGCATGCACAGTATCATGTGGGGCTGGTAGCCAGACTAGAGAGGTGTACTGTGTACAGAAGATATCAACAAGTATGACAGTGAGACTATCTGACGATATGTGTGATGGCTCCAGACTAGCCTCAGTACAAGCTTGTAATGCTCATCGCTGCCCTTACTGGAAACCTGAGCCTTGGTCACCGGTAAGTAGGCCTGTTGAAAGTCTTTTCTTACAAAAGCTGTGTTCACACACAGAACCATTGGAGTTTTAAATGTTAAGTTTGTTAAGTTTGTGGAATCTCACACTCGTACACTACTGTCCACTAACAACGCTGAGGGTTCACACAGGACCATGTACTCTCTAAAAAAATTGAGTGATCACGGACGTCACTCCTCTGGAGAGTGAAAATGTAGTGAAAATAGAGTGAACATTCACTCTTTTCTTCTAAGAGAGCACTCTAAAATCAATCGATTTTCACTCCTAAACAAGTGATCATGGACGTCACTCCCAAGAAAGTGAAAATAGAGTGAAAGTTCACTCTTTTTTTTTTTAAGAGAGTAGTTTTAAATGTTAAGTTTGTGGAATCTCACACTCATTAACGACAAACCACTAACAATGTTGAGGGTTCACACAGAACCATGTTGTTTTAAACATTAATTTTTCGGAATCTCACACTCATGAACTACAATCCACTAAACATCCCAAAGACCTACATGCGCATGTGTAGTAATATACCATGGCAAATGTATGTGATGTTTGATATTTGAGGAATAATTATATTTTTTTAGCTTATCATCCAATAAGGTTTGATTCACAATTGTGTATAGTCACAATGGTTCCTGAAAATAAAAGGGGTTGGATGATGATTGTTATTTTACATTTAAAAATCTTAGATGAAATCAACTCTCTTTTCAACAAACAGCTGCTGCTGATACAATCTCCCCTCCATATCCAAGAACATTCATTGACACCACGTTGACCTAAAGGAACTTATATCAGGTAGCTTTAATAGATACTAAAAATAGATTTATAGGAATCTCCTTCTGAAGAAAAAAAAGTGTAAGACTTTTTGTGAAGTTTTATAAGCAGACTCTCCCAGGGCTTACTATAATACTCCCATATAGGAAGGTGTCACAGTTGGAGGAAATGTATCTATTTTATCTGCCTACCATCTCACATGGGTACTGCTGTGTTCTGTGGAGTAAGTCTGTGGAGTTCAAGAGGAGTCATTGTCACTTCCAATGATAAAGATCTTTGTTTGACATGACAAAGCAGACTATTTCAAACCTGATATACAAAATCAGATGTGATGAATTGATAGGATATTTTTTAATTTGCAGATATTTTATCCAGAAGTATGTACATGTTGGTAGCTGTAGGGAGAAATCTTTGTTTTGCTTTATTTTTAGTCTTCCTTGATTTATGTTCTTATTAAATTGCATCCTTGTTAGTAATTGAAATATATTATGTACTTGTCAAGTTACTGTGAAAGATTGTCGTCAGTAGGGAGATAAAAACCAAAGTTCTGTACTCTCCGAGTAATATAATTGTTTAGCTGGAATAGTTCGGATATTTATGATATATGGGCATTCAAATAAGTATGCAAAAAGCCTTTCTTGTCTCACAAATGAATTGTGTGCTCCACAATTGTATTTGTTAGCAATATTTAGAGTTAATAGAGTTCAACAGGGCAAAGTGAATGAGATATTAATGGCATTGGTGTAAACTCTATGAGGACATGTATCAATAATATAGAGAATTATAGAACAACTTCTAGAAATGGACTGCATTTGCTACATCCTTATTTCAATCTATAAAAATCTATTATCTGTGTACACTGTGTCAAGTTCATGTAATTGATATGCACCTGTTACAAAGTGCAATTATCTGGGGTGTGCTCAAGAATTAAGGGAACATATGTTTTAACAAACCCCCCCCCCAAAAAAAATGTCAAAATCTTCTCACTCAGTTTCAGTGCTATTTAATTTGCACAAATATATATATATATATATATATAAAGCTTAGTACCAAGCACTGTATTTTTATGATTAGTATGTGATCACAACACAGGCTGATAGTTACCTGTTCATAAAGTGCAAGTTGTGTGATCTTGGGGGGGGGGGGGGGGGGAATTTCACCCTGGAAAATTGAGAAAAAAAGCAATTACTCCCAAGATAAATTTATTGAACAATGTTTTGTTTTGTCATTTACATGCATAAGGTAAATAGATTTGTATTTATCCTCTGGCATATGCCTCTCATCACAGAGGCAGGTGTTCTACAGACCTTGTGTTACAACACAATGATTTAAGTTCATATCTAATGTAATTGACTATGTTGTTATGTTTGTAATGATTAGAAAGGTAAATGTCAACAGCTGTGCAGAGCAGAGTATGGAAGAATAATCAAAGGGAAAGGTAGATATAGGAGAGGGAAGTAAAGCTGGATTGGGAAGAAGATGTGAATGTAGACTTTTTGGATGGAGATGGAGAGAGAGAGAGAGATCGAGTGATTGAGATTGAGTGATTGAGAGAGAGAGAGAAAGAGAGAGAGAGAGAGAGAGAGAGAGGGGGGGGGGAGAGGGAGGGAGGGAGAGAGAGAGAGAGAGAGGGGGAGGGAGGGAGAGAGAGAGAGAGAGAGAGAGAAAGAAAAGCAGTTCAAAATAATCTTGATACACAAGCATTCATCATGGTAAGCTATCCTTGACCAACATCTGAAATGATTTATAACAGTTTTACTCTTATGATCATATTAGTTATAACAAGAGAGTACATGCTATTAGATGAACTGAACATTTTTATTTGCTTTTATTGAAAAAATTACCTTCTTGATTGCATGTATGTACATGTATACCTGGCCTGTATAGTAATTTTGGCATCTGATTTTCATCTTTATCTATCTCCCTCCTACAGTGTTCAGTTAGTTGTGGCCAGGGGATGAGCACCAGGGATATTGAGTGTCGCAATCATCGCAACCAGCTTGCTATGGGATGTGATATAGACACGATGCCGTCCATTACAACAGTCTGTTTCCCAGGAGTCCCTTGTCTGCCAGACAGGAATACTGATACACCAGAAGGTAAGTCCCATACATCTTGTCTATATACCAAACCCTAATACTAATACACAAGAGGATAAGTCGCAAACACCTTGTCTCCCAGACCCTAATATTGATACACCAGAGGGTAAGTCCCATACACCTTGTCTCTCCTACCCTTATACACCAGATGGTGATTCCCAAACACCTTGTCTCCCAGACCCTAATATTGATACACCCGAGGTAACTCCCATACACCTTGTCTCTCCTACCCTTATACACCAGAGGGTTATTCTCATACACCCTGTCTGCCATGCAGACCCTAATATTGATACACCAGAGGGTAAGTCCCATACATCTTGTCTCTCCTCCCGTTATACACCATACACCTATACACCTTATCTACAGACCCTAATACTAATACACCAGAGGGCAAGTCTCATACACCTCTGACAGACTCTGAATCTGATGCCAATACATCAGGCAGTCGGTTCCAATTCATAATAGAACCAACATTGACTTTGATAGAGACAGATGATATAGAGTTTACAGATCATATTTAATGTTTGTTACAAATAAATATTATATATTCAGAGAAAACACAACTTACTATTTATAATCAATATAACCACCACTTCTTTGCTCAAAGCTATATCATTCTGTATCCTTGAATGGCAGGTATACATACCTTATCATTTAGCAAATACATGATGTAGCACAAAGATAGATAGTTTGTAGAATACTTAATAGCTGTCATTGCCACAAAAGTATTAATATTGTAAAAAAAAATGTAGAATGGAATTGTTATTTCTGTGTTTAACTTTTTTTAATACTTCTGTTTTTCTCTCCATACAGTTAATAAACCTGAACTAGCGACAACGTCTCCTCTTGAGAAGAAAGAGACAGCTGAGGTGCCCAGGTAAGTAGGTATAGCCAGCAAGTTTGGGGGAAATTTAACTCATGAATGTAAATACATTGTAAATACCTGTTTTTTTTAATATAATAAACAAGTGAAATATCCAAATAGTTGATAGTAATAGTGGGAGGTGTTTGGATTGTATAAGGTAGCATAGTTAAATTTAGTGGGGCAAAAAGACACGTCCAGAATGCAAAAGGCATGATAGTTACTGATGGTTTATTTAATAATGAATTTGTTATAATTTTGTTTCCATATGTCAGTTAAAATCCAAGTGATATTAAGCCTAATTCAGATAGTACACATATGATGTGGTAATATCTGGTAATATGTAATTTTTGTGCCACTACATTTTGCTATCAAAGCTTCCTAGCTAAGTAGTTTATGTTAACTTAGCTCATTAATTGCTCCCTTTGCAACCTTGTAGACAACACTTCACCATCTCTTTTTTTGGTACAAGTTTCTATAAAGTTCAAATGAAATTAAGCTTCTAATGCTTTGCATGGAAACAAAGATATCATGATTTACAATTCACTGATATGTGATACAGAAGAGATACTTTCTGATATTAATGATGTACTTATTTTTAATATTTATATCAGATACCATGCTGGAGAATGGAGTCCCTGCAGTACCTCCTGTGGTCCTGGTACCAGAACCCGCAGTGTGCGATGCAAGGTCTATCTGAAAGCCTTTGATTCTAACTTTGACATCAGTGACCTGGACTGTCAAGGGTTACCCCGCCCTCATGATGTAGAGGAATGCCAGGATGTAGAATGCACCCCACCCCAGGGAGGCTCTCTCTTTGCTCCATCTCGGTCTACTGTAGCAATTCAAACGGATCCAACGGAACCCAATGTGGTCCATCCAGATACAGACCCCACTTTAGAGCTTGGACCAGGACCAGATGTAGATATATTTATCTGGCGATATTCAGGCTATTCTCCATGCAGTGCTTCATGTGTTGGAGGTGAATCATTGAAATTAACACGCTAGAAGTATACTAGGTAGTACTTTAAAAAAGTAAAAGAAAAAGAATTACTGGGGTATCTTTTTATATAAAAGTAATTAAGACATAGTATGTCAGAAACAAGAATATATATCCCTCACCTCTTCTCTAACAACAGAGTCAGAATTTTTAAAAGATATGACATCTATTATGATTTGGTTTGAAATGTAGCCATCATAAGGGTGTAAGGTTTGTGTGCATGATGGCCTTAACACTTTAACTGTTAAGTTTAATGCTAAAGATGTAAACAATGTATGTACATCTATTATCAATCATCTACACACATGTTCATGTATTTATTTTTTAAAGTTTGATAAATATTATCTATGTAGTCATAAATATTAATTTGGTTGGAACTCTATGTATTCTAATTGGTGTGGAATTATTTCTAGTTTCATGTCTTTAGAAAATCAAACACAATAAGATAAAATGTGTGTGTTATTTTTCTATGTGTAGGTGTACAGGAATCAATAGTGCGTTGTATCAGTGCTTACACTGATGAGGTCGTGAGTGATGCTCATTGTGATTACAGTCAGAAGCTGCCTACCAGTCAACGCTCATGTAATGAAAGACCATGTGCACCAGAGTAAGTACACCATCAAAACAATAATATTTACATTCACCAAGCAGTAACGATCTATGTACTTCATTATTAATCCGACTACCATCATAGTGCTCACAGAATTTGCTATTCCTGCCTTGTAGGTGTATTTACTTCACCTGGGTTGAGAGAATCAGGGCAAATAACTGAAGGTCACAAGCAGGAATTCAAAATCTTAGTCTCTTGAATTGAACGTCTGGTGAATACATCAATTTAACCTTAATCACATTACTATCAATAATCCCACTGCTGCAACCAAAACAATAAAGTCAACATTTAAACCAGTATAGCTACATTCAATGAGAATATTTTTTTAGTTGCTATATGAACACAGCCATAGCTAGTGCTCTGGTTTGTGTTACCAGACATTTCAATTGCATGGGTTCATATCCCACCGCTGCCACCATAACAATAAAGACAACGTTTAGACCACTTGAGCTACATTCAATGAGAACAATTTCAAGTTGCTATATGAACACAGCCACAGTGCTCTGGTTTGTGTTACCAGACATTTCAATTGCATGGGTTCATATCCCACTGCTGCCACCATTACAAGAAAGATAACGTTTAAACCACTATAGCTACAATGAGAACAATTTCAAGTTGCTATATGAACACAGCCACAGTGCTCTGGTTTGTGCTACCAGACATTTCAATCTATGGGTCGATATCCCACCGCTGCCACCATATCAACAAAGACAAGGTTTAGACCACTTGAGCTACATTCAATGAAAACAATTTCAAGTTGCTATAAATTGAACACAGCCACAGTGCTCTGGTTTGTGTTACCTGACATTTCAATTGCATGGGTTCATATCTCACCATAACAAGAAAGATAACATTTAAACCACTATAGCTACAATGAGAACAATTTCAATTTGCTATATGAACACAGCAACAGTGCTCTGGTTTGTGCTACCAGACATTTCAATCTATGGGTTCATATCCCACCGCTGCCACCATAACAACAAAGACAACCTTTAAACCACTATATAGATACATTCAATGAAGACCATTTAATTCAGGTAATTACTGAACGCAGCTGTGGTGCTAAAAGGGAAGATGAACTATATCATGGCTTTAAATGACATTAAAACAAAGCCTTGCAGGGTTCTTGCAGCACATACACTTACATTACAATGCATATGACGAACTAGCATTGTGGATGCAAATTCATTTCAACATACTTTACTAACACAATATAGTGACATAGTATTATGCATTTAGGATTATTTTGCACACAGTACTAACTATGCTGAATAAATGCTATATCAAATGAGAAGTTTTGAAACAAGATTATTAACACCCCCATAGCAATCTTTCCTTTAATCCTACTTATCAACTCTATTATTGAATGACTAAATAGATGGAAGGTGTTCCTGTATGGAGAATGTTCTTCATCTTGTGGTCTGGGAGTGAAGTACCCATCTGATATATACTGCATCCAGAAAGCATCCAGGACTGCCGAAGCATCTATCAATATGCTCACTGAAGATCAATGTACCGGACCCAAACCCAATAACTCATTATCATGCGAAACCACATGTCCAGCTACTTGGGTGTTAGGAGAATGGTCAGAGGTAAGAGTAAACTCTCTATAATATACTCAATCGAAAAGTCATATTAGTAAACATTGCATATAGAATTTTTTTTCTTTAATATGTTTGCCTTTTTTTATTTAAAAAATGAGGAGAGTATGACAGATGATTTTATGAAATAATTATAGCATCAAGAATCAATTTCAGTTTTGAAAAATGGTTGTATGTTTGTTGTTTGATATGGCAGTGCTTAGCTACATGCATACATAGACAATTTTGTCTTTAATATGTTTGGCATTGTAGTTGTAATTGTAAAATAAAAAAAGATGGTTTTCAAAAATGTTGTAACAATTAGAAACATGCATTGAAATGGATTTTCTTTTTGAAGAGGAGGGGATGATAGATGATTTGATGAAATTATAACATCAAGAATCAATTTCAGTTTTGAAAAATGGTTGTTGTATGTTTGTTGTTTGATATGGCAGTGCTCAGCTACATGTGGTCATGGTGCAGGGAATAAAACCAGGACTGTATCCTGTCAGCAGTCTACTCCATCTGGTGCAGATATTGAAGTAGATATTACCAGCTGCCCACTGCCTGTGCCTCATACAGTAGAGGAATGTGATAATGAACAATGTCCGCCATACTGGATTGCAAGATCAGCTTCACGGGTAAGAACTTGATTGTTACAAATTGAATCAGACTCATATAAAATCTCTTTAAGTTATTCCAAGAAAATTCTCATTTCACATTTGTATGCTCCCTGACTATCGCACATACTTTCCTCTTCTACTCTTTCCTCCCTATACTCAGAATCTATTTTGTGTATATTCTATCTCAACCTTTTGATTTTGTTATCCATACAGTACAATTCAATGAGAGATACCTAGTATCTACATATACATGTACATTCAGCATTTCATAATGCCATAGTTTTAGTCATTTACGTCAGTATATATATTCATATTTATTTCATTTCCAACAGAAAGTTAAACAAAGATATTACATTTTTTTTCATACATAATTCATTTTTTCAAGAAACTATACAAATAAACTTTCAACATAATAAAATTATTACAAGAAATGTTTAATTCTTAATTCTAAATTCTTAATTCTAAATTCTTAATGACTTGCATATTTCTTCAAAATAATGAAAACATGCTTTTATGATTTGTACACAACTTTCTAAGGATTAGATTGACTTTTTAATACACTGTTTCCAAATAGGGCTAAAATGATGATGATGAAGATGATGATGATGATGATGGTGATGGAAATGATGATGATAGAAATAATGATGATGAAGATGAAAATGAAGATGAAGATGTTGATGAAGATGATGATAAAGATGTTGATGAAGATGTTGATGATAATGATGATGAAATGGTGATAATGATGATGATGGCAATGATGGTAGTGATAATGATGATGGTGATGATATTAATAATTATGATGTTGATAAATGAATGAATATTATTAATGATAGCAGATTGACAATGTCTTTGTTTCTCTCTCTTTGCAGTGTTCTCAGAGCTGTGGTAAGGGTGTTGAGTCAGCATCATTGACATGTCACCAGATGACACCATTAGGTGAAGAGATTGAGTTAGATCGCCAGCTATGTCCTATACCACCTCCTCCTGATACTCAACCATGTAATGAAATAGACTGCCCTGTTCAATGGACTATACAAACCCTCTCACAGGTAATTCACTATCTGGATATGTCTTGATTTGGATAGAAAACACATTATACTCGAGCCTGAGTTATCTCAAGCGTAGCTTCCAACTTCTGAGGTTAAACCTCGTATCGTACTTTCTGTAAAGAGTTTTCTCATACTCAGTGATGCTTACATCTGTTTCAAAATGTTATATAATTATTGATATATATCATATTTTAGAGTGTTAAAGGTGAAATAAATGTGAAACAAGATTAAATACATGTAAATGATTAAATGAGGATTCTAGCATTTTGTCTTCTTTTTCCATGATTTTGCAGTGTTCTGCCACCTGTGGAGTGGGAATCCGGCTTCGATCAGTATTGTGTGGGAGAATGCTTGGTAATGGAACACAGGTATACATCGATCAGGGACATTGCATTCCCGAAGCAAGACCAGATGATCATGTGACATGTAATTTACCAAAATGTAATGGTAAGAATACCTATCAAACACTCATGAAACAAGTTTCTTAGATTACAAATTCTATGAAAACAGTATAGATGATTTAGTTAATAGAATATTCAAAGTTATATTTCTTATGTTATTATACCGTAATTAGTGTAGAAACTAAAGGTTTTGAATTACCCGTAGTTCTAGAATTATGGCTGTTGATACATCGGGACATTGCAAGCAGTAAATGGAAGCTAGTATACAAAATTTTGAAGTAGTGTCAGTAGAATACCCTACCTATACCCGTAAATCTCCGTGTATAAGACGCACCCCTATTTTGGGGCCAAGAAAAAAAAAGCCAGTTCTGTGTTAAGAAACCCACGCTGGAAGGACTTTCATTTAAATGCAAAGTGCAGTTGAATGTGTAAGATCATTAATGTAAATTTAAAAAACAGTAGAGGACCTAGGATGGAACCTTGTAGTACGCCGTGTGTATAGAAGAAAAATTGGAGGAATTATTATTATAGACTACATATTGAGATCTATCAGAAAGATTAATTTCAAACCAAGATGACAGACAAATTTGAGTGTTGTTCTAGTTTCCGAGTGGTGAGTCAACACATCGATTACTGAGCTGGGAGACATTGCCAGGCATAGCGCCATGTGGAGGGGCATAAATCAAAACTTTTTTGTTGTTGTTTTGTACTTGTGTATAAGACGCACCCCCGACATTGAATTTTTTCGGCGGCAAAAAAGTGCATCTTTTACACAGAGATTTATGGTATTTAATTTGTAATCTACAATACACTAATATATTGCTTTATTATTCCTAAAACACAAATGCCATAATTTTCTCATCATATACAGAAGTTGAGATCCTATCTAATCATACTACATACTACCAGACTGGACTGGTCAGCAAAGTGAGATTGGTGATTGGTCAAGAAGCGTACGTCTTTGAATCAACCGTGGTCACTATCAAATGTCCAGTGGTAAACTTCAAGAAGAGCCAGCTGATATGGGAGAGAGGATTGACCCCTATAGTAGACACTGATCCAAAGATGAAGGTGGTGTCTGGGGGTATACTCCGGATCAAACACGTTGAAGAAAGAGATTCCGGTGTGTATGCTTGCAGAGCTGGTGATCAAAGAGAGACTATTACACTTCATGTTACATCTGGATGTGAGTATGATAATGTATTAGATGTATTAGATGAGTTCATGATTATTTAGTGTTTTTTGTTAATCCATTTCTATCCTAAATGATTTAAATATTTTAAACTTACATGGTACATTTTATCACAAGGATATGTATTTTATATATTAATTGACCATATGCTGGTTTACATACATGTTAGTTTTGATTTGTTTATCTTTTAGTTCCAACTTATGAGAAATCATCGGACCAGGCCTCTTCCAATTCTACAAACAATGCAAATATAAGGTAAGATTTTCTGGAGTAATTGATAGTTTGAGGGTTTTTTCACCACATTTTGACAAATCAATACTGTAGATTTACAATCCACAGTGCCATCTAGCGACACCAGTGTTTCATCCATATCATGCGATGCATCATTGGAAAAGTTGCCAAACATATCAGCTGTGGCATTGTTATTTGGCATAGGAGATAAATGAGATTTCATCAGAATATTTAGTGGGGAAAGCAGATTGAAAAGCTTATCCGGGCTAACAATTTTACACCGATTCCGAAAGCTTCAGTCTTATCGTCTCTAGGCCTACTCATGGTGTTTTGGTCATTTTGGCCACTTTTTTTCCAAAATGACCATGATGGTAACTTTTGGTCAGGGGTTATTTTTCCAACCATTATTATCAGAAGAAAATTATTTAATGGGCCTCTTTTGTGTAAAAACGTGCCCTGATGCTAGCAAAAGTGAATAAATGTAAAAAATTGACCTGTTGCGGCTTGCCAGTGGGGGCGCTAATTGCCAATCCACCCTATTTTATCCTGTTCCCTCTACATTTGTTTAAAATTGTTTTGTTTGTATTCACCTCTTGTTACCGTACTTGTTAAACTGTTGTTTATTTTGATGTGTATAAGTTTGTTATGAATGGGAAATCATTTTACAAAAGTGTCATGAGACTCTATTGATGAGAACATGGAGTACAGACTTGTTTACGTGCATGTTTGGACTAAAATAAAGCTCCCATTGCATTGGTATATATCAGGTGGCATATGGCTGGATGGAGTGAGTGTTCAGCTAGTTGTAATGGCGGCTGGCAAACCAGAGAAGTGCGATGTCTGAGGAACACTCTTCTTGGTCGATCTAAACCAAGGGATGCTGGACTATGTAAGAGCTCTGGACTTGAAGAACCAATCGGTCGTAAGGAATGCAACAAACATCCGTGTCACAACCATTGGGTTGCAGATAGTTGGTCACAGGTAATCAGTTGCTACCAGTTCAAATATTTAAAAGAAAAACCTGTTAACTACAGTATGTTTTTTAATTTAAATTATGATCAACGTTTAAATAAAGAGGGTGGTTCCTGTCCGCAATGGAGTAATCAACAGCAATTTCTCAAACATGATTGAATTAAAAAAGGAAACATTATTTTGTATACTATCTCTCTGATAGGACGTTAAATGAGAGGAGAGTCACCAACTTTGCACGTTAAGAACCCACTGTACTCGTATAAGAGTAGGGAGAATTAAACTCCGGTGTAGTGGTCCACCTGCACAATCCCAATCAGTAATTCGGGGAGGAGAGACCTAGGGTTACAGTGATTTGCTTTTCGCTTCCCAGGCTCAGGTGACGCCAACATAATAATTATAATAATATATTGTTCCATTTACATTGGACTGAGTAATACATCAATCAATATCAAGGTGCAGAAGATTTATTTGTGGACAATTTTTTTTTTTTATGTGCAGTGTACTGGAGAATGTGTTGGTGTAAGACGATCATTACAGACGAGAGGAATCTTGTGTCGTAGCCCATCCCAAGACTTACTCTTTGATGACCAATGTTCATTGGCAGCTAAACCTATTACTGAAAGACTGTGTATCAATGATGAATGCAGGCCAAAGTGGCTTGTTACTAAATGGAGTAGTGTAAGTATACATGCAGTATGCATTATAATGCATTATCAAAATTAGCCAAGTACCACGGATAAGTAGGATCTTTATAAGGAATTCTAGATGATGTCAAAGTTAAGTTCATACCATAGAGATGAAATCACTGGATGCTCCGCTGGGTGCCCAATTGTCATGATGAATTCTCACCTACATGTAAGCTTGTGTCCATGAAATAAAGCGCAAGGTGAGGGGGGGAATCCAGTTCAGTTTATTACACTGTTCCAAATGAAATAAAAAAAACTTGAAGACAATCATGAAAATAAACAGGAGGGTAGAATCCTACTTCTAATTAGTCCTCAGATCAAAGAACAAGTTCCAAGTTGTGGAATTAAGTCCAAAGAAGTTGTGGAAAATGAATCTTTATAAGCAAGTGCGATAAGGATAACCGCTAGTAGAAGGAGTGATGAAAATGTCAATGGAGAGACTTTTACATACATGTGCGTGGAAGAAAAGTAAACAATGTGTTGCTGGATGGATTGGCAGATGTAATTAGCACTAATTGAAAATGTCCAGAATGTAGAGCTGTTCTAATTGTGATGAAATTAAAGTTCATTGACCAAAACGTAATAATGAAAAGTTGAATGATAACTATGAACAAGTGGATAAGACAACAAAATTGACAAATTAATTTGTTACTTTGATAGTATGAAGTCCAAATGCAACACTTCGTACTACTTCCTTGGTGTGACATTGTGCCTATTTTTGTTATAACAGTTTAATAAAGTTGTAAGATCTGTATATATGAGTGGGGATTGATCTTTCTATTCCCTGCCAGGTTTCATATCCTGTTAATGGGATATGGAACATGGCAGTGGTGCAGTGTAAGAAGTGCCCCTTTTCTTGTTTCAGTCTTTAAACCATCTTTGATGAATGTTGTTTATTTCAGTGTTCATCATCTTGTGGAGTGAATGCTGTTCAGAAGCGTAAGATTCGATGCGTTACATCTGACACCAGGGTTAGAATGGAGAGCTCTATCTGTGCTGCAGTCTATGGACAACCTCCTATCATGAAGAAATGCCTTCTTGGTGCCTGCCCTAATGGTGAGCTAGCTTACCAATTCTCATCCAATAAGTCAATTTATAGATACTATATGTGCATGGGCAAATACACCTAGGTTATTTGTACCAAAATTATCAAACTCTCCAGATGAATACATGCAGGATACTATTACGTGCTTGTGAAAGTTATCCAAACATTATACTTTAATTCACCAATAGCACATTCTCTGATACACGGGTGAGAGTATTCTTCTGAAGAGGGCAATTAAACTAAAAGTATTTATGAAGCACCTCAATCACTTTGGCTGTGATTATTCTACATGTAAAATGCATAAAGCGGGACCTCATTTGGGGGTCATTGGTACCAAAGCTAATTACAAACTGGTCTATTATTAACTTTGTTTAAATATCAAACCAGAGTAATTGATCTTATTAAGTATTGTTGTTTCTATCTCCACACATGTTGTTTTACTCTTCTATATAATATATACACACTGTATGTCAGAAGTTGACCATGCAACATTTTCTGAATCAGAGTCAAAACAGATTGTAAAAGAACTTGTGGAAACCACTTTGATTTACATGTAACTTACTGATTAAATTTAAAAAAAAAAAAAAAATTCTTATTATATATATTTTTGTTTACATTTTCAGATACTTATTAGTGCTGGTAATAAATTTGCTGTGAATATTACCCCTTTCTATGTAACATAACAATTTTTAAGAGTTACATTTCTTAATTTATTTTCTCAAAATTTGTTATCCAGGATGCAGCTGTTTTCCCTTCTTATCCTATTTGTCTTCTACCTTAATTTCTTATTTCAATTTGCATATTTTCTGGTATTCTTTTGCTACCCTTTAAAAAATAATGCGTACTGATGTTTTCAAAACTATCGCAAGTTCTTTTAAACTAAATGTATGTGGGAGTGTTAATTATTAATATCTTCGGATCTTGTAAACTAACTTTCCATTTTTACAGTAAACTTTCTTTAATTGATTTAATGGTGGTTTCTCTATTCTCTTGCTAAATACAATTTTTTTCTATCCTTAATTTGTTTACATAGTTCAAACGATTGTTTTTTTCATGTTTTTTAAAATTAATTCATTAGTCTGCAACCTGTGTGGCAGTAAAAAAAAATCAATTACTATCTTTCTTTTATTGATTTAACATTAGTTTCTCTATTCTCTTGTTAAATACAGGCTTTTGAATTATTCTTAATTTGTTTGCATAGTTCAAACAATTTGTTTAAAATTAGATGTCACATTAATTCCAGGAATTGCCTTCACACAATGTGTGCACTAACTCCACCCCCTAGAAAGTATGGCCACCATGGAGTTGTTTGGCAATTTATTTATCAAACATTGAATTATGAGGTAAAGATACTACAGTTTAAGGGGTTCAAAATATTGAAGCAGCTTCAACATAATACAAACAGTGAGCCAGTGCCCAATGCTGATTCCATATTAAAAATAGGATGATGGAAGCTGCAATTTCCTCTCGTACACGTATGTACACGATGATGTCTTTTAACGAGTCTCTCATATCAATCACTTTCCTTATTTGTTTGATTTGACAGAGCAATGCTCAGACGAGGGATCATACTGTAGTCTCGTTCACAGACTGCAGATGTGCAACAATCCAAGCTACCAACGTCGCTGCTGTAAAACTTGCCAATCGTACGGCTGATGTCTCCCGCTCAACAACCCAAACAGCATTGCAACCGATCACATATCATGTGAACCACCTTTGACTGACCATATAGTATGTGTGTACTGTAGAGCAGCCCTGTTCATATGCTAGATTTAAAGCTTTATTGGACTGTATATACAAGTGTTTGGAGGTACATCTCATTATTAACTAAAGGGCTTTACATGATGAAGTATCAGTACCTGGTTTCCATATCCAGTATCAAATCTTTTTGTTGCTCATTTTTTAAAATAAAAGCTGTTGAAATTAAAGCGTTTGATGTATGTATATCTGCCAAATTTGGTTTATAGAAATGAAGTGTAGAGATTAACTCTCTGTACCTTAACCCATACTCTATGTCACCAAGTGTATACAAAACATATCATAAAAAATATATTTTACTAGACTCCATTTTTAAAATAATTATGGTTCCTGTTTTAATTGTTCATCTTGATCCAACAATGTTCTTTGTTTTCTCACTATACAATTTTGAGGAAAGAGACAAGCTTTCTTAGTTCCTCCAAATCAAATACAACACGTAATAAAGTTAGTAGTCACTATGGCTCTGGAATGTTGATAGAAATAGTACTGGTTTTTCAAATTATAAAAAATTTAATTATTTTCTGATTTATTACACACCTGTATATATTGAGCTTGAGAGGAATGGCTCTGATCTGATAATTATTTATATTCATTGTAGGTATTACATTTAAACTAATGATTAATCCTAGATTGCAATTTCCGTTCATCTAAAAAGTTCTCCCAGTATGTTAAGAAAATCATGCTCTTTTCCAAATTGTTATCTCTGTTACTAAACAGATCTTGCAGCGTTATTTACATTGAATCTATGTACAGAAAACTCTGTGAATTTCAAAAGTATAGGAAAATAACTTTAAAGAGGGAAATAAAGTCTGTTAATCAAGTGATTTTTATATTCAACCGGTTTTAAAAGAGCAATGTGTATGTAGGCAAAAAATATGAAAACATTATTTGAAAGGTGAAACCTGTACGTGTTATCTTTTTTCTTATTGTTTCCTGATATGAAGCGTCTTATAACAAAGCTACTAAACTTTGGCTTAACTTATCTATGGACATCTTGACTGCATTTCATTTTTCGAAACGACAAACAACTGACATGTGATTAACCTATTGTATAATTGTCATATTTTACCACATAAGAGCATCCAAGAATTTTAAAGCAATTAAGCACTTTGTCATCAGTCACTTCCTGTCAAGTTTCTCATAAAGCATTGTTTTCTCCCTCTTCTTACAAAGATCCTCTTTAATAAAATTCACAACTTTTTTGGCCTATATTATTAAAGATAAAGACCAGTTATGGTCATGCGATTGCATTGCGAAAGAAACGTTGTGGAATCGATTAGAAAAGGTTGATCATCTAGCATATACTGTAAGTATTGGTGTGTACTGCAAGGTTCTGGAATCATCAAAATGATAAGAAATTTGGCCCAGTCTTTGTAAAGTTATAAGCACTGTACACAGAAAGAAGAAAGATGTATATGGGACTACAAGCACACGTGCGCGACACATGCGTTTATCTCTCACATACCAATAGATAAACTAATTTACCAAATATATCAATTAGTAGGCGGTTTCCTGGCAAATTTTTTATCATCATGTATTAGTCAAAACATATATTCTTTCACATGATTGGTAATAATTAAGAGCTTCCATTTCATTTTTTTTTTAAATTGGGGCGTTTCCAATACTGGTCTTTACCTTTTATTTACCCAAGATTATCCATTTTACCTACAACGACAAATGAAACATGTTTCATTTTCCACAATCTAAATTAAGCGCAAAATGTAATAATTTCTGCATCAATATAGATCAGAAATTGCTAAATTGAGTTCTAGCTTGCCTTAATCACTTAAAAAGGATACTGGTTCTACCCAAAACAAATATGAAAAAATAAACAAAGTAAAGATATTTGTGAAAGTATACAATTTGAAGTACATTACAGTGAGGAAGTCTTCGAAAGACAGGATGTGTGAGTGATGGATCAACAGTACTTGAAGGTCTTCATACTTTTAAGTTAAATATCAGAGACCGGACAAGATGGAATTTTTTGGTATGTTCATAACGTAACCAAGTTTATACTTAATGCCTCAATAGGAATTAGTCCATTCACCTATTACAAATAATTGTATTTCAATACCGGTACTGGTAGTCAGAATTCAAATTGCATATATTACGTAATGTTAGGTAGGACAAGCCGTAATGTTTTTCCTACTTACAATGTAGTGACATTTAATGTATGCAAATTAAATTCTGACTATTCACAAAGGCATATACATAAATTTGGTTACATCACGAAAATAGACTATTGTTTGGTATGAAGGAAACATATATGCCATCATTGCCATGGTTCTATGAACATCAATTACATGTATGTAAGAAATATAATTGATTTCAATCCATGCACCTGGTTATTCAAATAATATCCATATTAGTCAATATTTTGTCTCATTTATTATTGAAAGTGTATGGTGCTTATTGTCTTATGGCTACATGCAGTTGTTGTTCGGCCCGTATTTACTTCACACAGAGTCAGTGTTTGGTTATCAGCATATAATAAAATAAACAGCAATATAATTTTTTAGTTTGTGCCTTAATAATCATTATTTGTCTTAATGTTACATATTGTGCCCACTCTAGAGTAGAAAAACAAGTTACTGGGGGCTATATAAAGGAAAAAATGACTTGTGGAATTGAGCTAATGTCATTTTACGTATTGCCGATATATTTTTGTGCTACTATCTTTGACATATTAGCAAGTACATATCATACTTGCTTTGATTGCTTTTTATACATGGGTTGTTGACAAAAAGGATTTAATTGTCTTCCTAGATGCTGTTGTGACTTATAACTGACCTTCTCACTAAATATGAATTGGTCTTTTGTCATTGCTCCGTAGCTAACCAGTAGTGAAAGAAATATCTATCTATGTCCCTGTAAACCCTATAAAAACCTGTTGTTTCCCCGCCACTTCCACATTTGATTTTCACCATCAATCCTTTCATGGAGAGTTCATGAATGTTGCTATGTTATTTAACTTGCTATGATATAAATGTATGTATTCATGTCTATGCATTTAACTTAAATCTGTGCATACTTAACTAAGGAAAGAGTCTCCTTTTTTTAGATATACCGGTAGTGAACTTTGTAAATATTTTTCGGTGTTGATACATGGCCATTTTATCTTGAGTTTAGGGAGGTGTCTTCTTAGGAACACTTTATTTTTAAATTGTAATGTATTAAATGATGAATAAGAGCAGACTTGTTATTTATATGAAGAACTAGTAATGGATTAATGGATGATTACATGTCTATCTTCCTTACATGTACTCCTTCATTTTGTAGCAAAAGTGGAACACTAACGATCTAATTTTAATAATTTATTTTCTCTGATTGGAGTGTGTTCAAGGAGGGTACTTTTTGTTCATATGATTGATTGCCAAGACATTGTTGTGTGTCTGTCTTTTGTGGCTGAAATATTTAATAAATGGTAATGAATACTAAAATTTCACAAGCGCATCTCGTTTATTTTAAATGTACATTTTTATTTTTGAGCTTTTTACTCAATATTATAGCTAAATTACCGGTACCAGGGTATATAAATGTAATATCAAGGTATACTGCATATCCTTATTATTTGATGAATAAACAAAAAGAGTTGCAATAACGCACATCTCAGAATACACATCTCAGTATGCACATCCCATAAAGTTGAACAAATAAAAAAAAAAATTATCAGACCAGACGCTTCAACAACATGAACAATATAATGTTATGCATAAATTGCAGTGTTTATTACACATGTACAATGTCTATCAGCTCAGTTCATTCACTATCTTTCAATAACTTTCTACAATGCAAATACATTTATTCACAGTTGAATTATAAATACACAAGAGTTTCAATTTGGAAGTAATTGCAGTTTAATGTCATATAATTTAATCACTCCCTTCCTGCACCCCCCCCCAAAAAAAAAAGGAGAGAGAGAGAGAGCTGAATCACATTTTGTATACACCTGCTTCTCATCAGATATCTGTTTGCCCTTCATCTTGCAGCTAAGGAGAACTTTATCAATTTTGCAGACTGAGAGCATTCACTGATATATTAATATCCTTGAAAGTAGGCCTACGTGTACCACAGCAGGGGAGAATTCATCTTCCTCTTTTCCCCCATTAGGTCCCCTTCACTCGGCACAGGGCTCGACAATAACAGGTGCCCAAGACACATGTGAGTCCAAAATCCAAGCCTGGCCCCCAACATTTTAAAATGTTCACACTAGGCTCATGCATCTAATACAGCCCATTAAAAAAGTTCAATCCCGGTCCCCTTTCCAAAAAAGTTAGTGAGCAAAGTGAATTATGAGCTTATGAAAATCCTATGTATACAGATAAGCATGTATGCATTGCAGTAAAGTGCGATGAAATTATGAGTACAATGGAATACCTCTACACAAAATATCAAGCCAATATCTGATTTATTGACATGTGTGTGATAGAGAGAAAGAGAGAGAGAGAGAGAGAGAGAGAGAGAGAGAGGGGGGGGGGGGGGGGGGGGTCAGAGAGGAGATAGATAGGTAGAGAGAGAGAAATGCCTACAATAGTACATCCCTCTCGAAAATGCTATTTGAATCAGAAAAAAACATGGATGTCTGAAAATATTTCACAATATAGAATGTGAGATTGTCTCTGAAATGAGGCTACTCCATTATAACTGACATAATCTAAACTAGACTACAGTCATGCACATGCATGTACCTGTTCTAATGATTTTCCTTATCAACTTGTTAATGTGACCCCTAACTTTGTCTGTTACACAAACAGACAAAGTTGGTATTTTGGTGATTCCACTAGAATTGATTTGAATTATCTAAATAGAAAATGCGAACAATTTTCATACTTCAGAAATAAATAATACACTATACACATATTGTACATACCATTTTAGTTCACAATCAAAACAAAATAGTATAAAACACAAATATTCTGGAGAAGTTGGAATACAAATGAACCATTTGTGAGTTCAAACAAAGCTATCTGATTAAAATTCATATGCAGTAAACAATAATGGATCACATCATTCATGCAGTCCAATATACAACAATACAATACAATAATTTCCCAACACAGATTTGTAAAAGAATTATATTAACTCTTTATCACCTTTGCTTGATCAATGGAGCACACATTGAACTGCCACAATAGACATTTGTCACACATGTAGTGCAAACGTAGGACATATTCAAAACAATGTGGTAGTCGAGGGATTTAAACTTTTAATCCATGGCGAATATCGAATAAAGAGTTCATCAAAAGTATCTGAATCCTACAGGCAATTCTGCCACAAAATACAAGCTACTATAAATGTGACCACCACAAAACCACCAAAAGGGTGTGATTTCAAATTAAAGCTTGAAAGGTGCATTTGGTCAGGAAAGTAAAACTTGTGTTTTAGCATTTCCTGAAAGATTAGATTTTCCTCTGTATGAGTTGAAACCCTCCTTTTGTCACCTCGCACAAACCTTGTGGGTTAGAGTGCTTGAATGCCTTATACAACTTGAAAGTAACTTTCTCTGAGGCTGGACAGTCTCTTCACTTTTTCAATGAGTTAGTGATTAGTCATATATCATTTTAAATCTGAGAATCTCCTCTTTTGAGTGAGAGACTAAAACTAAAACTTTTTTTTAAAAAAATTAAAAAAAATTGTATCTGCCGACTTTTTTGGTAGTTTTGTGGTGCTTGGTCACAATGTAACTGGGTACAAAGTATGTAAACTTATCTTATACTAGTTCTGAGTATTTCTGGAATTGTCGCATGCAATTGTCTTCTAAATTACATCAAGAGCATATCACAGCTCAAGTTAATCTGTTTGAATATGTTTTTTAGTTTGAGTAACTAGTTATACTTATATATTCATTGAAAACAAAAATGTCCCATCAAATTTAATCTGCACTTAGGAAGTCACATACCGTCATCCAATAAAAAGTGAAATATTATCAGGCAATACCATACTGGAAAAAAGGGGAACATTTTTCAATGTTCTAGCTTAATGACTATATTACATGCTTGTTGACTATTGTTTGTGACCATTACATAGTGAAAACAGAAAGAGATTTGACTCAATGGTCATATCAATTGATTATTATTTTATTTCAGGACGGGATAAAGGGATAACAGACCTATATCATGCAGGAAACATGCAAAATTAGTCTATGTTTCCATTAATTACATCCCCACTCTAAGCATAAACCATTGATCAATAAAGAGAATATTTAATGACTAAAACAGATATCTTTATTGCTTAGTTTTATAAGTAGTAGGCTTGAGCCTATCAGCATTTTCTTTTTTCTGTGATCATACAAGATAGTAATTAGGCATGGCAAGGATGACTACTTGAACAAGTATTTATCCAGTGAAATAAATGTTCATTGCTGGATGACTTGTATAAATGAAGGAAACGAAAATTGGACCAATGTTGTTCAAAGTGTATCGGAATGAGTTTTCTTTCTTACCATTAAGTACATAGTAAGTGGAGGAAGAAGGCATTGAGTTGATTTAGAGAGCATAACGTGATCGGTTGAGTGAGAAGGCTTGCTTGATACCGCGGCTAGATCCCCCCGCGATGAAGAAGGCAAAGAGAGTCATGACGGCGAGAGTAACATAGGCAACGGGTAGGGTGACGCTGTACAGCTGAGACTTGTTCAACAGAGTCTGTCATAAGATAGAACAAAAGATAATAAACGTGTTTCTTGGTGAATGTATGGCTTAGAACCGGCATATTAATGCTACATATATTTTGCTGTTTTCGGGAGAAAGGTAGATATCAAACCAACTGTCATTGACTTGAATGCTTGGGTGCCTTTTCATGGTAGCTCGGCTAGAGCCGGGGTAATCAGAGCTGCCAACCTTGTGCGACCAAAAAAAGGAATCATGATGGCAAAAAAAAAGGAATTTGAAGCAAAAAAAAAGGAATTCATAAAAACAAAACTTACAACCACGCGCGACATACTTCTAATGCAGAAATGTTCATTCATCATGCTGTTTTTTCCATACAAGCAGGAATTTTTTCTGGTGGTTATTTTGGTATTATTGGCATTTCATTCTTTTTGAGAATATTTTTCTTTTCAAGTATGTTTTAAATTGAGTTTTTTGTTGAATTTGAGATCAAATTACCATTTTAGGGCAGTTGTTTGACGTGTGGTATGTAAAAAAAAAAAAAAAAAAAAAAAAAAATTAAAAATAAATAAAATTTAAAAAAAAAAACGTATTTTATGAAGAAAAAAACGTAATACCGTAATTTGGAGGAAAAAACTGAGTAATTCCGGCAAAAACGGAATGGTTGGCAGCTCTGGGTAATGATATGATTACAGGCCCCTCTGGGGGAAGAGTATTAACAATGATAAGGCTATCAGGGGTAAACAAGACATACCATTATTATTATCATTATTATTGCCTAAGTTAATAGCGATAACAAAATCAAGGCTCTTCTCATACACGTACAAAGTAGTATTATAAATAAAAGATTCTATATACACAGGGCTCAACACCAACAGGCGCCCTGGATACAAATTCTAAACCCAGACCCCAAAAAATGTTGAAGCTCAAACAAACAGACTGTAAACTATTTTAATCGGACCCCTCCCCAAACAGTTAGTGTGGAGCCCTGATATATTAAGTGCAAGTGATCATTCACCGCCTGACAAACACAAAACAACCACTCGAAATTACAAGAATGTTATTATTGTTTCTCTGGTGTTTATTGGCGGCTCCTTGAAACTGGCGACAAAGGGACCACGTAATTGAGTTTAATGCATGAATCTTTGTTAAGTTTAATGTCACAAATGATTTTGTTCACCTGTTATAAATAATTGTGTTTCAATAGTCAGAATGTGAATTTCATATGTTAATTGTTGGTAGGTAGGACAAACAATATGGCTTGTCCTACCTAACAACACATATCTTTTTTCAAGCTTCAGATATGTCAAAAGGACCTTACCAGCTCTGATACAAGGAAGTGTGATGCCACTACAATAAGCACTGCCCAATAACGCCTCGTCTCAAAACCCCAGTAAAAGATAACATTCCACATGATGTGAAGCAAGATGAAACATGATGTCAAGAAGGCTGTAGGAAATAGGAAGAAAAAAAAAACACTTCTTACTTTCCATCTAAAAAGTTGTCAATGGTGAATAGAGCATAAATTGCTGGAGAGCATCACATTGTTTTAATTCAATTTAAAAACTAAATATATATAATCACTTCTTTATTCATGCATTATCAATTGATTTAATTATTTGTTTATTCATAATTCTATATATTTCATGTTTTTTTAATTAAAAAAAAAATTAAACTTAAACCTTCAAAATTCATGTTATTTGTTCAATCTAAGAGCTTAGGTGGAGAAATATAAAAACCCTACACTTTTTAAACCTTAAGATTTTGGCAATGAAGAGACAATATAACTGCACATATGAATGTGCCATGAAGATATCTGTCATGTATCAAAGGCGCTAAATCACCTTCCAACTAAGCATTTTATCATCATATTTTCTGATTGTCACTTATAACATTACATCCATGTAACCTTACTTTGAAAGGTAGCTTCACATATTTGTTATTCGTTACATTTCAGGAAAATATGACATTAACACTAGATAAAAACACAATTTCATAATGCAACATCATCACAAAAACAAACAACAATATTTCATACCAGTTGACTGCCTAAATAAATATAATGAACTGTTAGAAGATAAGTATACCTGATGTAATAAGGAAATCATGGGGATCACCATGGATACCAACGGTTCCTGGTCCTTTGGAGTCTGCTAACACGTTGATGAAGGAAAAGATTCCACTCATTGTACCAAAACCAAGACCAGCAACTGTAATACACACAAATATTTGTTAAAGTTATCACTCTTTAATAACACTTCGAACTAATGTTTTTGTATTCTCATCTATATCATGTATCATGCTTGATTGACCTAAGCACTTTTTAAGAAGCCAGAAGCCAGAAGCCAGAATCAATAAACATATATTTGATAAAACCCAGTATTTTAAGATTGTGCTAAAAACTTACCCAAACCATATTTTAAAACCTTTAGCCTTCCATCAATAAAGATCCAAAAAAGACAAAACAATTTTTTCTTTTAGGTTAATAAAAAAAGTGTACTATAAAATTTAGTTTCATTTTCAATTACCCAACACACACAATCGAAACAGTCATTTTTTTTTCTTTCTTCTAAGCTCAGGATTAACAATGGAAAACAATAATTTTCAACACTCTTTTCATGTCTACCCTCTATTTCATTGTTTTAGAGATATTTCAAAACAAAAGTGCCAGTAAAAAGTCTTTCATACCATAAGCATATCCATGTCTGGTTTTGTCTGATGTGCTATCTCCATTGCTATTCTGAGCTTGTTGTTGTGCTTGTTCTGGTGTGGTCTGGTTGAACTGCTGTAATCCATCTTCAGCTTTTCTGCAACATCCAGGAACAAAGAAAACAATAAAGTATTTCCTCTCTTCTAATGCTGTTATGAAACCTTTTTTCTTCAAATAAAGCCTTCAATTTTGTACCTTGGTATTCTAATACCGTCATTCAGCAATATTGTAATTTCATAAAATCTATGTAGGCCGTCTTGTGTTTTATTTCGCTGAAAATACATGCATCAATTTCATTACAAATTTATGGCATTAGTAGACTTTTAAGAAGCAATGCATAACTAGACACAAATATAACAGTAAAACAAAAAAATACTTACCTCACAATCTAGTTCAGAAACTAACGCAATAGGCAATTTTTGTAATCTAACCAAATTTACGCATTTGCCTTTGTGAAGCATTGATACAAATTATTTCATTCACCTGCTGCAAATAAATGTATCTCAATACCTAGTCAGAATTCAAATTGCATACATTAGTTGTTGCCAGGTAGGACAAACATTATGGCTTGCCCTACATAACAACTCAATATGCAATTTGCATTCTGACTATTGAAATACAATCATTCGTAAGAGGTGAATGAAATAATTGTTATTTGATTACATTATGAAAACGGCCTATTGTAAACCATGTCCTCGCTGAACTCACCTCAGAATTTTGTAGTAAATGAAGCGGAATAATTCTTGGAATAAGATGGAGAACGTCAATCCAAATGAGATCTGTCCTTTAAGAGGCCAGACAGCAAACCATAACACAGAGGACGTCAGCAGAGAACAAAGCCAGAAGAACATTCTGTGTCAAGGAGAAACATTTATTAAACATCATAATAGTACTGATACAATTTGCTTGATTTAAAGCCCCACTGTCCTACTTGTAGCTACCTCCTCCCTCTATATATAGAAAACAATGCCTAATCGGTGATGATTTGTTCCCCATGATCCTCTTTTTCTTATGTTAATTGAGAGCTGAGTTGATGAGATAGCCACCTGTCATTGACCACGCTGTGTTGTCTAATCCCTTCCGGCCAAACTAGTACAGCTGGCCTTTAAAGACATTTTTGGCTTGCACCCAGTAAATAAAGAGTCAGAAGAAAAAAAAATTCATTTACAAGATCTAGCACACAATCTGTATCTACTGGGTGCAAGCCAAAAATGTCTTTATAACAATTTAAACTTCTCCCACCCAAGAAACCAAGTTTTTGGTTAATAAAATTATTAAAATCATGAACAGCAATGCCACACTTGTAGTCTTTTCATCCTCTGGATTTCTGTTTTAACTGATTAAAGAACAAAAGCACTATGACAGGGATTTCAACTTACCCAGCCATCATGACAATAATTCTCAGAGGTTCTCTAGAAATGGTGAAGAGAAAGAGAGAGAATGCTGGTCCATATGCTATGAACATAGATCCAAATAGCTGCAACAGCGTCATGACTAAAAGAAAGCAGAAAACACAAGATGAATGCAACTGCATCTCTAATATATATACATGTATGTTTGATGATCCTGTAATCTTTGTCATCTGACCTCACAAACCCAAACTCTTTTCATATGATTATGTAATGTTCAAATGTACTTCAGCCCAGTTTGATTTACAATGGTTCCATACTTCTATTCCATTTTTGTTAAAGTATTACAGTAATATCATAAACTGGGATTTTTAGCACTTGTATGACCTCTTACATGAACATCTGAAATGGTTAACTGGTTAAATTCTTGACCAATTTCAAAGTGTTCTGCAAAAGTAGAAAGAAGAGTCCTGCAGTGAACTCTGAAGTGAAGGTAATTTGCAAGGTTTGTCATGTGCGGCACAGTGCGGGAATGGTCATGATTGATTACAAATATACTCTACATTCTTTAATTGTACATACTGTAACTCTTCTGTCTTCACACTGACAAACAAAGGGATGATTGGACAGTTTGACTGTCTTACCGGTACTCTTAGTCTTACTGTCCTTTGGACTTGTGCATGCAAAACTGCAAATGAACAAATGGTTTAGAAAACCACGATATAGTAACAAAAATCACCGTAAAAATCAAATTAAGTTGATTTTTTAAGAAAACAAAAGACGGTCAAAGTGCCTAACTGAGGGCTGTCAGCTTTGGGTAACTGCTTGGAGGAAGATTTGTTTTCTTCAGGGGTGATAGTGAGCACCAAAAATATGTATTTTTTTTACTCAACACTCTCTCCTTCCCGACTGTACACTTGTTTGTCCTAAGTAATCGCTATCGAATGAACCAAAGTGGAAACTAACGCATTCGAAAATTGAAAGTTTGTGTTTATTTTGGTGTGGGAGATATTCATTTTACACGCATTGCGGGAGAGCGGGGCGTGGTGGCGGGAGTCTCCCGCTACGACTATGAGCCCGAGACTCCCTTCAAATGTGGGAGGGTTGACAGCCCTGCTAACTTTTCTCCTTGCCATTAATAGGGAGGCCAATGCCCGGGCGTAAGGCTTCTACACCTACGATTTGTGCGCTCGTCGCCCACTTCAAAAAATTAGCAAAAGGAAAACAAGGGAAACGCTCTCGGCGGTCTCGCCTGCATAACGCAATTCAATATGATAAACCAGAACGTCAATGACGTAGCGCTCATCCGCATCTCACAACAACAAATACCGTAAATTTTATGTGGTACACTTTTGAACTGGTCAAAAAATAGAAATTTGATGCCCTGGAAGGGACATACTTTCATTTCATTTGCATAAAGTACCATAAATAATCAATGGAGCAAAATCTCACAATTCTGTGTAGAAGTTTATTGTTCCAAATTAAGCTCTACCAGATAAGGCAAAATCGGTCAAGAAATGAGGGAAAAGAAGTAAGTTTTGTTATTTTTGGAATAAATTTGCATAAATTACTGTAATTAATTAATCGAGAACAATTTCAAAATTCTGTGTAGAAGTTTAGTGTACCAAAGTTAGCTCTACGATATAAAGCAAACCAAATCAAAAACGGTCGAGAAATGAAGGAGAAGAAGCCTTTTTTGTGATTTCGAATAAATTTGCATAAATTAGCATAGATAATGAATCTCACGACTCTGTGTAGAAATTTTAAATCCCTCCTAGCCCTATCATATGAAACAATCAGAATCAAAATCGGTTGAAAAATAACGAAGAAGAAGCATTTTGAAAATCTTAATGTTGATGCCACAACAAAGTCTAAGTTTGTTGACCTTAAATGGCCTTTGACCTTAACTTAGTGACCTGAAATTTTACTCACATGATTGGGGAGACTTGATAACCCTATAGTCCAAGTTTCATTGACTAAGAACTTATACTTTCAAAATTATATCAAAAATTCAAAAACTTAACCTTAGGTTAAGTTTTCGATGATGATGCTACAACATAGTCCAAGTCTGTTGACCTGAAATGACCTTTGACCTTGACTTTGTGATCTGAAATTCTACTCACATGATTGGGGATACTTGATTACCCTATAGTCAAAGTTTCATTGACTAAGAACTTATACTCTAAAAATTATACCAAAAATTCAAAAACTTAACCTTAGGTTAAGTTTTTGATGTTGACGCCGTCGCCGTCGCCGCCGCCGTCACCGGAAAAGCGGCGCCTATGTCTCGCTTTTTGCTACGCAGGCGAGACAAAAATGATGTAAAAATAAAAATTGAAGAAAATAAGAAAAGAAAATACAATTATACATTTCACAACATACCTATAATCACGGATCTGTAACAGTCTTTCACCATTTGTTGACAATCTTGCAGATTTTGACGTTTTTTAATCCAATAATTGTGGTTGCAGACGACCTTGACGCACTCGCACCACCGACTAAGAAAATCCTAGAGGGCGTAGAGGTTTGCTCACTAAAAACCTTCTCATTGGCAGAAGGTAGACCCTAAAAATATGGGATCCGTTTTGAGTAAAGAACTTTTGATAGAGATCAACATTTCAGATGTTCACAATTGCCACTTCTAACAACTAGAAAATATAAAGAAAAAAGATTATATCTTTTTAAATACAGATTTTTACAAACTGAACATTCGAAAGTAGATAGAGTACGATGTTTCTGTCAATCTTGCGTTGGTTTGAGCCCTATAGCTACATCCATCTCAAAATGAGAAGGAAAACAGTGAACAGTGACGTCATTGTTCGCGCCAAAAATAAAGGGTATTGCGACATAATCTGAGCTCCGGTCAGATCTTGCGCAAAGCGTAGTCTTATTTATAGACCCTAGTACCTTATTCTCACAGCACTAGATACGAGTGTCGTGCAGTAATGTATGAGAAGTGTTAAAAAAGATATTTCAGTAAAAAAAAAAGTCTACGTGAGCAGTCTATACTCCAATTGAGAATTGAAATGAAAGCCATGATTTGAAGGTGTGTGTTGTATGATACATGGTTAGTGAGTGTGTATGTTACCTTGTTACGTATAGCGAAAGGGAGAGAGAGAGTAAGAGAAATATTAGTACACGTACGTTGCATGCATGGATGTGCGCTATGATTGTGTTCGCTGCAAGATGGATTTTAATTGGACCTTGTAACTTCTCGATCGCTGATAATAAGGAATACTCATGAGGAAATCAAATTATTGGAATACACATCTAAGGTAAATATCAATGAATTATATATATTTCTTTCCTTTTTTGAACCATCGTCTTCGGCTCGTAGTAGTAGAAGATGTAATCGTTCGCACATTGATGGCTGGACTTCAGCCTGCATCGGGGCTTGCCTGTGTCGGTGGAGGGATCAACTAAGAAGAAGAAGGTGTGTACGTGTGCGACCGATTCAAGGCTAGCCGCTGTTGAGTGATTGCACTTTCGCGCGAAGTTTTAAACTTCATCATGAACTTTGTCCCTCGGGCCTGTCTAATTATGAACGTAACTTTGCGACATGAAATATAATTGTTTCAAGGCTCTTACGTACGGAAAGGCGTAGAAGGAAGCTGGATGAAAAGAGCTGGATATCTCCTATTTGATGGAACTTCTGGAGTCGGCAGATGGGTGGATTTTCTTAGTGAAAGTAAATGCTTTCTTTTAATCTTAGTTTTAGTATAAACAAATTAGTAATTAAAAAGTTAGATTTGGGCATTGGCCTCCCTACCATTAACAATCACATGACACAGACGCTGACAAATGACAAATACTGTACATGACTAGGCCTATAGCTGATCAGTCGCATACAGTCTATCACACTCACTCACTCCCTCAGTCACACTGCAAACAACACATTCAGGACACAGAATTGGCCTCACACGTCACACTCTAAATTACATAGATCAACATATTATAATTATATCCTTTTCAGTATGTATTTAAGGTTATCATTTTGTAAACTTACCGGCGTAATATTATAGTCTGTGTGCGACAAATTTGGTCAAAATGTGAGAGAGGAAGTGGGTTTCACGATCGCATAGGCTAGCTCGTCTCATTTAGCTGGCTTATTTTTGCGGAAGAGATAACGGCTGATTCTGCTTAGCCAATTTGACGTTTGGTCTGAAAGAAACGATTTGTATCACATTTGTAGGAAAAAAATACTGGTAGATCCTCTGTTTTGTATATTGTTGTAATTTGTTTTGATTTTTCTTTGCTTGTCAAGGAAAAATTTAGAATCCGTTGTGTGTATTCATGATAATATTACTCATTGATACTAAGTTTGGGGAACATTTTTTAGGCGGGGGGGGGGGGGGGGGGGGGATTTATGGGTCATTTATTTGTTGGAAAATTTCCTTTCAGCTATACTTAAGTCGGTCTGATACTTCACATCCCTCCCCCTTCCGGAAATGAGGTGTCATGCCAATGATGCCACCATTTGTAATTAATGCTCTTTATATGGTTTAAAAGATTTTCTTTATAGTTCGCAATACAGGGTAAATGGGTGAGCTTGACAATTGGAAGGCATCGTAAGTCAGACACAAATAAAGAAACACATCTAATATCAATTTGGACAGCGGCCCAAAATTATGAGCATATCAGGCACCATTAATAATATACTATGGCATTTTGGGGCACCTACATGCCAAAACACAAGGTTATGATTATGACATAATCAGGAGGGAATATATATGCAGATAAATTTCACAATATCTAAACATTGATGATAATCCAACATTATCTTTTCGTAATTATAAATTGATTACTTGTAAGCCTACTTGGTGAATTTCGACTAAACGGTTTTGAATATTCTTGTACCAGGAGCGGTCGGACGAATACCAAAGTGGGGGGAAAAAAGGGCACCTACAAAGGGAAATCTGAAAACGAAAATATACACTTTTTTTATAGATACTAGTATAAACCCTTACATTGTGATTATATTGTCAGGGATGATTTCAATATTTGTTTCACTTTATACACCATACAAGATATTGCTTTGCAGTTGGGAGTGATGATCTGAAAATCTATTTGCGAGCGAGCGAGGAAATTTTTAAAAATTTGTGAGGTGGCAGTGCGAAAAATTACATCTTATAAAGAGGAAAAACTCAATCCTGATGGGGTAATAAGCTCATTCTCATAACAGAAGACTGAAAGGACCTTTGATAAGTAACATAAGTATATCATCTTATTCTATAGATGCCTATACGAGCGTAGCGAGCGAGCTTTTAATGAAACTGCTCTTAGTTGCTTGAAATTAGGGGCGCATTTAATGATGAGAGGAAAAGGGGACAATTATCAGAAAAGAAAAGGAGCAGGTGTCAAAGTACAAAGATTGATCATCAGAGGTGAAAATGGGGCACTCCTTACACCCTCAAAAAGAGGCACGCACCAGGGACGGAAAAGGGGCATTTACGAAAAGAGGATAGGTCCCTTATTAGAAAGGGGCACGTATCATTGCTAAAAGGGAATATATCAGATGTGAAAAGAGGTACTTATCGCATTTGAAAAGGGGCAATGACCAGATATGAAAAGTGGCACTTATGTGAATAAAAAAGGGGCATTTATAATAAAGGAAAATGTGCATTAGTTGAAAGAAAATGAACACCGATTAGATTTTAAAGGGGTGTCTATCATTAGAAAAAGGGGCACTTATTAGAAAAAAATGGAGCACATGTGAAAATATAAGGTGCGCTTATCCGAGTTGAAATGGGGGTCATTATTAAAAAAGGAAGGTGCACTTCTTACAAAGGAAAATGGACACTTGTCAAAGTGAAAGAGACACCTCTCAGATTTGGTGTCATGGAACCTCGGATTTGAATAGGGTAATTATCAAAGGTGAAGGGGGCACTTATCAAAAGTGAAAAGAGGCACCTCTCCCACCTGACTAGAGATTAAAAATGGCACTTATGAGAATGGAAAATGGACACTTATTGCAAGGGAAAATGGGAAATTGTCGAATTAAAAGGGGCACGTGTCCAAATAAATGGGGCATTTATCAGAGTTGAAAAGGGGAAGGGGCACTTTTACAAATTAATAGGGTTGTCAAAGTAAAAGGGGCATTATTCCTATGCAAAAAAGACCTCTTCTTACAAAGTTATAGGGGCACTTTTCCCATGTAAAGAGGGGGTACTTTTAGAGTGCTTGAGAAAGTGAGGGGGCATTGTGCCCCTGCCCCTGGGAGGGTCGCCTCTAGCTATATACTGATGTTACATCATAACAATGCAGAACTGTTAAAGGTAATACAAAGTTTTGGGAAATTTTTAAAATTTGGTATATTTGGATGCCCCTGTGGCTGTTTTTATAAGCACTAGAAAAATTAGCCCCTAAAACACTTCTGCTTTCGAGAAAAATTGAATATAACAATTTACCGGTGCTCCCGGAAAATTTTGATAACTTTCAAATAGCGCCTACGGCCATACAATAGTAGCTGCGACCATGAAAATATCAGAATATGTAGTTGTGATATATAATTTCCAATCAGGAGTAGCTAATCGGTCGATTTTAGTCTAGAAACATTGTTTTATAGCTTAATCAATATCTTGACTTTGAGAGGGAGCTACAACATAAAGGGTCTATTATTTATAATTTCATAACTTTAGACTCGATTTCAACCGCGACACGATCACTGAATTTTGTAGGATCGCATATGCTTCCAATATGTTCATTTGAACCAAATTCATGACCCCATACCAAAACTTTGTAATACCTTTAACCCATACTCTATTTCAATAACTTGATTTGAATTTTTATTTTTATTCCCTCAAAAAGTGAGGGTCCACAGAGTCTGTGGACCCTCTGGTCTGACCGGAAAATACGTATTTTTTCAGTTCTGTTTGACTTTGAGGGACTCTAATTTAGTAATGTTGATAAATTTAGTTCATGAAATCGCTAAATAACTATTATTAACGCAACGGAAAGGATCCTCTTGAATATACCTTCATTATTTATCTGCCAACTTCAGCACTTTATTACCATAGCACACTGAAAATGGCAGAGGATGGCAATGGAATTGGAAACGCTGGGAAAGTAGAAGTCACAGTGTTGTTTTTTGCAAAAAGTCGAGATCTTACAGGCACTAAAGAAGTCAATCTACAAATTCAATCAGAATTAAACGCCAGCTGCCTTCTCAACATAATAATCGAGAAATTTCCCAGGTGATTTACCAGTTTGCTAAGTTAAGTTACACCGCATTTTGCTAGTTTCAGCTCGCGCTCGCGCTCAGGGCCTGAGCTGGTCGCGCCGCCCAGCGGCTGCGGCGGCCTGCTCTGTGACGATGCGGAGGGCTGGAGAGCTCTTTACCAGGCCATGATTACTGAATTAGCTTTGCCGAACCCTGGTCCAGGGCCGTATTATCAAAATTATGTTTTCTTTCATGTTGTGAACACTTCTATGCTGTTTCTCATCAAACTCAAACTCAAACTTTGTCTATAGATCTAGACCCTATGGCCCGAATTCACAAAGCAAGGTTTGAGCTCAGACCAAGGTTTACGTACGTCATATGACGCGTTTTAGACCTTGGTTCAGACCTTGGTCTGAAATGCATTTCACAAAGCCGGTTTGTCCTCAGACCAACGTTTATGTACGTCATATGACGCGTTTCAGGTTTGAGTTCAGACCTTGGTCTGAAATTACATTTCACAAAGCAAGGTTTGTCCTCAGACCAGGTTTATGTACGTCATCAGACCCGAAATTTACAGACTGCTCAGATAGGAGGTTTGTAATTTCTCAAACCTGGTTTGAGAGCTATCAACCAATCAGGATGCAGCACTGGGTGGAGATAATTTATGCTCGATTGATTTTATCCAAATAATTCACCGCCAAAACAATCTGCGATAGTATCTGGTCAGCCCGATTTTAGTGCAATTGAAATCTCTCAATCTCTCGATCCTTTCCTTAAAATCGTAAGTATAAAACCTGTACATGTAGTCGAATCCATACTCTTCACGTTACTGACATTTCAATATGTGATATGCTTTATAACTTTCCATTTTCCATGAAATGTTCGGTGTTTACATATCCGACGGCCTCTCAATTCCAGAGTTCAGGGACTGAGTCCGAGGGAGCTCGAGTCCAACGCCCAAGGCGGCGGCGGAGCTCGCACCCTCTGACCCTGGGCTGGAGTTGGGCCTAGCCGGGCCTACAGTACGCTATATCTGAGTATGTCAGTATGACTGTCATGTTTAATTTCGTCTTGTTGTCAGCAATGCCATGACACATGCCAATTAGAATAGGCCTAGACCTACACTAGTTATTACAAATTCATGATAATGATAATAATACCAGGCTCTCGCCTACTACTAGTAATAGCCCTGGCAATGATGTCCATCACTTGACTTGTTTCACTGACACTGGTACCTAAATAAATAGAAATTGACATAGATCTAGCATCAGCAATGCCAATGTTCCCCAAAATGAATCACACTGACAGGCATAGACCAAAAGCTTCAGTCTCTCTATATCGCCGGTTGTTCACTGAGACTACGCCTGGCTCCACTAGATCTAGACCTCCGATTATAGAATGTCAACAAATGTCAGTTTTAATATTATTTTTATTAAAGAAATGACCCATATCACTCAGACGGTTATTTCTGTCTATGACTAGATCTAGATCTAGATCTAGATCTAGTCTAGTATGAGTCATGACAAGCAAAGCTTAGTTTTATTAAATTTAGATCTAGTTCTGATTGTCTTAATTAACTGGCTTAGTCTCCGGAGAAAGGATCACCCACAAAGTCACAAGCACAAGTAATAACATTTCTTTAATTTAAAAACATTGTTTAAACATTTGTTTAATTTTATCTTCACTCTAGTAAAGATGGTAGAAATGCAGCTGATTCAGCATAATGAGCTGGTGTACCTGGAGGAGGAGCTGGAGCAATATATAGCAACACAACCGGGCAGAGGCCTCTGAGTCTGAGATTGGGAAAACCTGCTGGATGATGAGCCTTTTGTTTTAGATTGAGGTAGGCTACTTTGAATTCAAATTCTGTATTGGGAAAGTTGCTGAAAACATGGCCATACTACTTGATGAATATTGTTAACATAGCTATACAAAAAAAGGGCTTCTGTTGTAAAATCCAACCCTAGTGTCGTTATTAAAATGCAGAAATATTTCAATTCATGTTGACCGCCTAAATTCACTGTTCGTTTGCCCCGCTTCGCTGGTCTGCCTACGACCGTGCAAGCCCCCAATGCAATACACATGTGCATTTACATAAATTTATTCAATTTCTAACTTCTAAGCATTTTCTGTCATATTCGATACATTGATAGATTAGTTATGATATTTATTCTTTTACATGGTACTGTAGGTGATGGAAGCATTAATGTTCATAATTTGTGTGTGGGGCATTTCCCAATACTGTTATTTGGCTTTAATACATGAGGAAATTATTCAGATTATGTGTTGGAAACAGGTTTGTGATAGCCGTGAAGGAGATTAGAAAAGGCATAGACAATTTGTCTTTTACGTTAAATTGATTCACACCACATCTAGAAATCAGGATTTTTTTTTTTTTTTAAGTGACAGTGACAGTTGGGGATGTAAAAATATGATAGCATAAACCAGCAAAAAAATGATTTATTTGAATGCTTGTTTTTTAAATTTTTTTAAAAAGGTAATTCGATCTAAAGGATGCATTGTGAAGAGGTGGCATGCCGTGTCATATTCATCTGTTTGCCGAATGGAGAGTAGTGAGGGATGTTTCCGAAGCTGTTGTCAGAAGAAAGGGACAAGTCATGAAGTTTCCTACAAGTTACAACAAGGCAAATAGTGACTACTATTCAGAAGCAGTTTTTCCAGTACTGCAGATTTCCAGGAGTTGCTGTTGATGGGACACATGTTTACATCAGGAGCCCTGGTGGGGCAAGAGCCAGGTACTACTTCAATAGGAAGAACAGGTACTCCATCGATGTTCAGGTGAGAATAAATGAATACATCATGACTGGATCCAGCACGGTTTTCCCTTTAGACCTTTTTTTTGTACCTTGCAAAATTTTCACATTAGATATATACACTCTCCAGTCTTGTGTGTTGTACATCCATGCTAATTCATTGGTGACCAATGCAAGATTTCTAGTGGCCAAATGGATATTAAAGTAATATTCGCGTACAGGTACTCATTTCACTGCCTTTGTACACAGTTAAGAATATCCAATGGATAGTTAAACTTAAAAATCCTAACACTCGTTAATATCTTTTTAACGAAAGGGAAATTTGAAAAATCAAAACTTGTTCCATCCTTCTATTGGCAATACGGATATGACCTCTAGATTTCTGATATTTTGTTGATGGCCATGGCAATTGGGCCACTGTTTTTGCCATTGATCAATGAAAGAAAAAACAACAAAGAGAAATTTGTAAATTGATCAATGGCAATTACCACTATATATTTTAAACTATAGAAAAACAAACAGGTTCATTTCCAATAAAAAGATGCGAGAGTGGGTACCCCCTCCCCCCCCCCCCCCACACACACACAAAGCATTTTTTTGTTTTAGGCTTGAAATGTTTTGTTAAAAGTGAGATTATTTTTGTTTACATTGTTACAAGATAAACAATGAAAACATGAGTTAAAAATGAAGAAATACTTCATCAGTCAATAAATATAGGGTAATTAGAATTTTCTTCCAATTTTTGTTGTATGAATAGATATTGAAAAGCAAATATCACATATTCAACTGCATTTGCATTAATTACCATAAATAACAAGTGAAATTTATACATTTCACGGCCTATCTGAAGTGTGAAATGAGTGAGTTTTCATAACTAATGAATGCCAACATGTTATTTCATATTGACAGGTTGTCTGTGATTATGCTGGGAAAATAACTAGTATCGTTGCAAGGTGGCCTGGACTGGTAGCAGCCACGATGCCAGGATCTTTTCTGAGTGTGCACTGAATTGACAGCTTGATGCTAGGGCATATGAATAACAGTTGATTCTTGGAGATAGACTATAGGGTAGGTACTGTAGATTATTTCTTTATATGAAAACATTTGTTTATTCTTTTTCTTAATCAATCTTGTTTCCTTTTTTGTATTTGGCCAACATGTGACATGTTAGGAATATTCATTTGGTAATATAGTAACAACTCGCATTAAGTAATTAATTCAAACGAGCTCATGTGCTTTTAAATTTCAGTTCACAAATCACAATTAATGTTTTTGATATCTGGATGCAACTTGATTAGTTTGTTGTCAAGTGGAACCTCATAGTTTTTGTATTAGTGACACAGGATTGAATAATTCCTGATTATGTGTACAATACATTGTATCCTTTCTATAGTATTACCCCCCACCCCCCTCCAAGAAAAAAATGAACAAGTCGAAATTAAGAATATTGTTTATGATATTGTTTATTTTGTCCATTCAATTTTGCAGGTATCCATGCCTTCTCTGCCTCATCAGAAGCCATTTCTTCATTCAGAGGGTCGACCACAGATGTGCTTTAAAGGCCATCTGTACTGGTTCAGCCAAAGAGGATTAGACAACCCAGCAAGGTCACTGACGGGAGGCTATCTCATCAATTCAGTTCTCAATTAAAATAAGAAAAAGAGGATCATGGGGGATTAACAGGCACAGATTGGGGAAGTTTTCTATATAGAGGGAGCAAGTAGCTAGAAGTAGTACAGTGGGGCTTTAACACTTCACACACAAAAAAGGGAGATGTGTGATTGAGCGCATATTTATTAAATGCAAGGATGAGGACGTTCCATGCCTCATCAATACTAAGAGTATTTCAAAATACGGCCCCTCCCTGGTGTTCCCACAATACTTCGTAGTTATGCAGCATTACATCAAGAACCTGGGTGTTGAACCGTTGATTATTTATGAATATTTTTGAAGTTATGTTTAGTTGATAAGTATTTGTTGTCACTCTGACGGTATTTGTAATTAAGTGTTCTCTATAGATTAAATGCACCCGATTTAACTATAATTAGCATTGTACTGCTGAGTTGAGGGGTGGGTCAATATAAATTATTTGGTTGGCAGCTAGGGGAGAATATTCGAACAAATATTATTTACTGTACTAAGCGAAGTCAGAATTAAAGAACTTTTATGTGCAAATTTGAATTTTCGTCACCCATTTTGTTGTATTTCTGATTTTCTTTCTGCTAATAGCGCTACAGTGAGACTTTTAATTGGCCTTCCAGAGCCTCTCTTAACCTCTAGTGGGCTATATTTCATATAAGCATGCTACAAAATTTACAAATGTGAACTGCATTGTTTGAACAAACGGTAGATTACTATTGTGTTGTATGCTCAATTATTTATGTAAAACATGAAAATACGAATACAATATTCTTGCTTTCATATATTTACAAAGATAACTGAAATAGATATGTGTCAGATTCTCTCTCTCTCTCTTTCTCCCCTTTTTTTGGGGGGGGGGGGGGTGCAGATGTGTGTGTTTGCAGTTTGCATGGTTTTGCATTATGTGTTTCATTGCAAAAAAGAAGAAGAAGAGAGAGAGAGAGAGAGAAAGTTGAATAGAGAGAGAGAGAGGGGACAAAGAAAAAAATTAATAGAGAGAGAAAGGGAGGGAGAGAGAGAGAGAGAGAGAGAACAAAAATGGGAATAGAAAGAGAGAGGAGGGACGGGGACAGAGAAAGAGACAGGGAGGGAGAGAGAGAAAGATGAATAGAGAGAGAGGGGAGAAAGAAAAAGAATTAATAGAGAAAGATAGGGAGAGAGAACAAAAATGGGTAGAAAGAGAGAGGGACGGGGACAGAGAAAGAGACAGGGAGGGAGAGAGAAAGAAAAGATGGCCATAGAGGAATTTTTTAAAAATTAATATTATATGGAAACAAATCATTTACCAGTTACAATTTTGATGTGAAAAAATAGCCAGTTGGGGAAACAAACGGGGAACTAGTTAAAATAATAATTGATTGACCATTCTAACAAAAGAACTATATAGATCTATAGTAATTAACAATTGCAATCAAATGAATTAATATATTAATCACAATAAAAACTCAATTCATATTAAATCATTATTATTATTATTATTATTATTAGGTGATTTTATTGATAAGAATTTGTAACCCCCAAAACAATAATACTCTTACAGTTAATTTAAAAGAGCCCTTGACAACCTTAGATGTATTTATCTAACGAAGGTTTTCAGGTGCCGATGTCAATTTGTTCTGGGTCAGATTGAGTGCTTCACCAGCACCACACAAATGTGAGTACGTGGGGCACTTTCTGCATCGGCGCGCCAGTTTGGTTCGATTAATTCATGAAAATGCGATTCAAAAGTTTATTTCAGAGATGTTCTAACCATCATCTTTTCAAGATTGCTCATTAAGATGTCCGGATCGTACTAAGAATGCTTAGTTTAACAGTTTTTTCAATTCTTAACATTTAAACCCTAGCCCATAAAAATTATGTTAGAAACCCTATGGCTGAGACTAGTTTTACAAACCTTGGTCGGAGGTTTGGGAATTACAGACCAAGGTTTATACAAACCTTCCTTTGTGGAATGGGTTTGAAAATAAACCAGGTTTGAGCTCAGACCGAGGTTTGTACAAACCTTGGTCTGATCAAACCGGCTTTGTCCTCAGACCTCCGTTGTGAATTCGGGCCTATATATATTTTTTTGTGTGTGTTCTTTTTTTTCTTTTTTTATCTTGTCAATGATTGTTGTTGTTGCTCAATATTTCGAGTCTGCGCCTGCGCTGTTCTTGGAGTCAGTGCTATTTCTCCCTGCTGGGCACATCAGCAGTAGTGCCAAAACACAGCTGCATACCCTTATCCTTTATTTTATACGCAACCTTCACACAACCCGTCAAAATCTACTTAACGACCTATAGAAAGCCATTTATGTAACTTCGGCAGACTCACAGTGCCGACGATCTCCGACCTGAGCGGAGGAAGGATACAAGAGAGAGAGAGAGAGATTGGACAGTGATTCATGAATTGTTGTACCTCATCATTTTATTATTATTACCATTTCTGTAAAGTCACATGGATTGGAAAAAGAAGACCTTCAGGTTACAGTTAATCTGTTTCTTTTTCGGCATCCATGTGACTCTTTTCCAAATGGTCCACTCTTGGGTTTTGTATTCTGGTAATCTGGTATTCAATGATTTTCTTTGTTTTTTTGCAGAATAAATAATGGTAATAATGATAAAGCCTGTTCAGCTCTGCATCTGAATAATGTTAACTTAGCCTTAATTTCTTAAAGTTAAACTAGATCTAAGTGAAGTCCACCCTGATGATATTAAGTTGGTTTGAATAATAATACTTTTTTTTTTATAGAAGCAGGAAAATGAGAGTTTACAGTAACACTACAGGTCAGTGAGATTTAGAGCAAATTCCAAATTTAAAATAAGAAAGTTATGAAGTTGCTATCAATCAAACACAAATTAGCAATTCTGTAAAGTATCTTGCAAGCTCCCCACCCAATTGCTCTGTACTGAAAAAAATTCTGAAATTTTCAACTTCCCTCATTATATTAATATAGCCTCAAGAAAATTTTCAATAATTCAAACCCCAAAATAAGTATTTGAAATGTGTTTCTAACTTTCTATTACTAGTTTCTATAGACTTACTATACGACCCCTGTATGAAGAAACAAGAAAATCTATTTTGTCATCAATAACTAAGAATACATAGAATTTCAGAAACTTTCATTATCCTAGTCTAAGATAATGAAAGTTTCTGAAATTCTATCTACAGAGGTACTTAGAGCAAATTGGAAAGAAGCTCACACAAGATACGTCACAGTGTTGCCAATTTTAGCAGAAAATTATCACCCACTAACATGGTAGTTGGTACAAACGTCCTCACATTAGGCATGATCATGGTAATAAAGATCCAATAGAGTAACATATATTCAAATTTTATGCATACCTTGAAACAGAGGTTGTTCTTGACAACCTGAAATCTTGCTTGAAGCTTGTCCAACATCGCAACAAGTAATGTATACAGGCTAGATTCCAATTATTGAAGGTCATTCATTTATAACAGGTTAGTGGAATATCTCATAAACTAATTGGTCCCCAGGAAAGAAGCATCCATCTTTATGTTGGTAAACCTGTCTATTGATAGAATTAGATTGAAATTACGCATTTAATTTACGCAGCATTACTACAGACAATTTTGTTTGCTCATTTTTACCAAATTATTCTAGAGTAATGACCTCTGCAATGTAGAGGTAAACTGAAGCTGAAATTCACACAGTGCTGCATACGGATGATTCCACAAGTGCGCAACATTTTCTTGAGTTGGAATTGTGACATAAGATTGTTGTTGGTATTGGTATTAAAAAAATATATACAAATTCTACATGGCAGCCCGAGGGCTGAATTTCATGGAGTCTAGACAGTGAAATGACACCCCCCCCCCTCCCCCCCCAAAAAAAAATGGTATCATAATCATTAAATAATATGAAGGAGAGAAACAGAGAGAGAGAGGGGAAGAGGGAGAGAGAAAGAGAGAGAGAGAGAGAGAGAGAGAGAGAGAAGACACAAAGGAGAGAAAAATAAACAATGATATAGCGGCAGAAGTGTGACAGTTGAGAGCCTTAAAGGAATATAAATGACACAATAAGTGAGTGGAATGATTAACTAATCATCTCATTATTTTTGTGCAGATTGGCTGCTATTAGAGATTCCATAGTGTTGTGCATCAATCAGGAGTACATCTCTGGTGACAGTTCTTACCGTCTATCTCCTGGGGATGAGGTTGCTGTCATCCCACCACTTTCTGGAGGTTAACACATTTATTTCTATAACTACTTGTAAGTGAATTTCTCTCTTTTGTATTAACTTCTGTGCCATTACCAAAATCTACAATTATCAGTTTAAATCAGTGTGCACTGTGCACAGTAGTCCAATAAGATTACAAAATATCGTTCAGTTGGCGCCTGGCAAGTTGAGGAATATTTCCTTGATGCGATAAACGGAACTAAAGCTGTGATAATTTGGTTTGATTTGAAGTAGAAAAATCTGTTTTCAGAATTAGATCAATTCTCATTTAATTTTGTACTTCCCAGTCCAACAGTTTTGCTTCGAAAAATTAATTAATTTACAAATAACTTAAAGTTGCTGCCCTCCCCATTCAAACGTGATTTCGTAGAGGATGCACTCACATTAATCATGTTGTAGTATGGTGTTAAACAAAATCCTTATCAATACTGAGGGTGTTTGGGGTAACAAATCTATGAATGTTCATGTATGAGCACCCATGTTTGCTCAAACATGGCAATACAATGTGCAGGAAATATTACAGAGTTTGAACGAGGGAGAAATATGACTTTGATATCAAACAGTACATGAAAGATTAAAAAGATATTGTTTGATCCATTCGCAGAAGCAGGAAGACATTTCAATATGGATGATGTCAAATTGACGACAGATATTCTAAGTGTCGAGAGAGCTGTCCAGACAGTCACCGATCCTTCATGTGGTGCAGTCTCAATGTTCTTGGGTAAGTTTGTAATACCTGTGAACCACCTAAGGCCCCTTATTTTCCCATACTACTTCAAGAAGTGGGTTTATGTGTTACACCAGAATGTCTGAAGAGAATTTTGAAAGAACCCACTTCAATCTAAGATGTAAGAGCAATCACTATCAGCTACTGCAAGAATATGGATTTTGAATTTTAGAGCAAAAGAGTGCGCTGGCTAATCTTTACGATGCAGGCAAGAAAAGATGAAAAAAATGCAGATGATTCAAACTGAGCCCTTGTCTAGTTTTACGCTTTGTGTTGCTTCCTGAAGAAGAAAAAAAAAAAATCAATGAATTAGGTATATAAATTCCCAGATGAATTAGGTAAAACATATGTTTTCCAATCATCATTTAAGCATATTTCTCAGTAAAATGAAGACATCAACTTTGGACAATCGAATAATAATAATAAAATGGAATGTAATACTAATAACACATACAATGCATTATGCAACCAAATGCATGTAGTTTCAAATGGCAAGGACATTGATGTGCACACTGAGACGCACATTGTACTGTTTGACTGCGCTTATGTATTGTCATTCAATACACCAAAAATGGCAGCCTCCTTGACCGTGCGACTGCTGGCATTTTTATCAGGTTTATTACTTTTTTCTCAACTTTATACTTGTATTGTAGACCTGTTTTTAAAAATAAATAATTCATGTTTTGAAGCTCATGTATTAGTGATATGCACTACACTCGGTTAAGTCATGGTGAGCCGGGTAGTGAACTCCACTGAAGTCTCATTCATTACTGATTGTGATTTGACCTCCATACATTGCCTGTTCATAATGCAATCACAAATTATGAATTATTTGTATATTGGTAATAGAATAAATTGATTATAACAAGAGGTAGAGCACCAGACAATTCAATCGAATGATCTTTCTAGCAGGTACAACACAAGAAAGCTTTGATTGAAGAAAAAAAATAATTAATTGTAACAATTGGTACAATATGGCAACTTTGTTTCTGTATTGGCATGAATCGATTGTAACAACAGGTACAACACGAGACAACTTTGATGGCAAGAAGGTGGTCCGTCTGGAGTATGAAGCATATGAATCAATGGCTGAGAAACAACTCAATAAGCTCTGTATAGAAATGAGACAGAAATGGGACCTGCACAATATTCTTATTCATCACAGATTAGGGTAAGTTTGACACTTGTCACCTGATAAATGAGTAGAATAACCCATCAGTGCAGTAGGTTTGCTTTAAAGAATAAAGAAAGTTTGCTTTTTAAAGAATGCCAGCCCTAGCCTGTAAGTGTCTTAAAACTCCAGAGCCTTTTGTGCACAAGTTTGGTACTGACAGGCTTGATACTCTTGTTGCTATATAAGCAAAAATGCCGCTCTGTGGTTTTCTTTGGATAGTACATGTAATGACAGGGATATTTGTTTGTTGAATGTTAATTGACGAGAAGGGAAAATTATTTCAATTTGATCTTATTCGTGAGTGAATGTATTTATTGTTCAACTGAAAATTAAACAAGATATCTAGATTTGTGCATTGAAGCTCTGTGTTAATTCTATTTAGAATTGTATACAGTATACAGTTAAGTAGATCCATGTTTAGCCATTGATAATGTATGGTGATGATTATTATTACCATCTTCTCTGTTTGATTTCAGCCTTGTTCCTGTAACAGAAAGCAGTGTCATGATTGTCATATCATCAGCACACAGAAGAGAATCTTTAGAGGCAGTACAGTATTGCATAGATCAACTCAAGGCCACTGTTCCTATATGGAAGAAGGTATTGAAAGGCTTAAAGGGTATTAAAAGACTTAAAGGGCAAGTCTGGTCCATTTTTAAGTTGAATTGAATAAAGTTTTCATACAGGTGTGTCCAAAAAAGAAGTGAAACTAGAAATTTCATTAACAAAATATATGGGAATAGTGAGGGGATGAAATAGTAAAAAACTTTAAAATTCCTTACTTTCTTATTTTTTGTCCAACTTTGATGGTACTTTCAGTTTTGTAATTTAATTATTGAAAAAAAACAGTGCACACAAACCCAAGTCTGACTTGGGTTTGTGTACACCGTTTTTTTTCCTCCAAGTTATTATTATTGTTATTGTTGTTGTTATTAATATTGTTATTGTTGTTGTTATTAATATTGTTATTGTTGTTATTCCAAAATGTCTTCATATTCCTTATCCATTAGCCCATGGAATGCTGGTAGGGTTTTTTTAATTCATGTTTTTGAAATTGATGTTTTAGATGTACATAAATTACTTGTTATGTGATTGGTGCACTGTAACTTCATTCCCATGCACTTGCCTGGCTAGTTTTCTAGAGCTACTGCTCTTACTATTTTACATCAGTAATTAATGTTATTATTTTCTCTCACTTTATCTCTCTCTATCTATCCATCTGTCTGTCTTTCTGTCTCTATCTTTCTTTCTCTCACATACTCTCTCCCTCTCATATCTATTTCTCTCTCCCTCTCTCTCTCTCTCTCTCTCTCTCTCTGTGTCTGTCTGTGTTTGTGTCTGTTTCTACAGGAGATATACGATGAAGGAGATGGATGCTGGAAAGCTAATAAAGAGTGTTCATGGGCCAGCAAATCATGAAATTATTTAAATCATGTTATAAATACTTGTATTTTCCAAAACCTGTTGAATATCCATAAAGCTTGATGCAACTCTGACCAGAGTCCGTGGAAGATGCATGTTATACCAAAATAAAATCATATATCCAATGGATTGAAGTCCTATGAGAGTTTGGCTTTGATTTGCATAGTTCCCATATTTGTCAGTATTCAAATATTTGTAAATGTAAATGAAATACAATGTCTAGCCGTAAGACAAGGCCTCTTATCTCAATACCAGATATGACTTGTTTGAAGGGAGACTAGCATAGAGGATGTGTTATCCACGTGGCCTTTACATTCTTACTATATCCTCTGAACTTTTGGTATATAGTTTATTGTATTAAGTTAAGTGTATATACCGGTTCTGATATATGAACAAGATATGGTCAATAAAAAAAACAAAAAAATAAACCCTGCCATATTGATATGATAGCGAAGTCATGAATAATGCATAGCGTACTCACGTATTCATGCTTCATGAAAAGCCATATCTTGTGGATATACATGTAATTGAGCCAGTCCACTTCTGCTGGCACTGCGAAAGCCACACACATCGCAAGCATATGGCTTCAATTGTAAGTGCAATAATTTTAATAATAATGTTTTCATGTAATGATATATTGGAGTACAGAACTGTCAAAATACTTGGGGGGGGGGGGGGGGGGAAGTAGTCTGAATGATGATCAGAATTCTGGTTGTATGTATAGTAAAAATATTATGAAATTTATTTGAGATTGCTTCCAGTAGTGATCATTATTATTTTATACCAAGTATTATTTAGAATTTAGGATAGTGAAGCACATAGTCTTTAGTTAGAACATACAATTAGAATGATATGTTTCTGAAAATTTCAAAATCAATGAAAATAAAGTACATTTTGAATTTAACTAGAATGAACCGCTGTATGGGATTTATAGAATTCATTTTATTCAAACAGAGTCAGCTGTATGACAAACTTAAAAAGGTTGAATGTTTATTGCTTCCCAGGTTATTACACAATAATAGGATTTGTTAAAATACAGTTTTCAACTAGTTTTATGAATCCAATAAATATAATGATCATGTGTTCCGCAAATATCATTTACCGGGTAAGGCCATTTACTTTGGTTTGATGTAATTTTTAATCAAACAAATATGCAACAGTGACATTATATAAGGGTGACAAATGTTTTGTGCCTTCTATTTATATTTATTGATCCAGTATTTGATTATAAAAGATAAGTTTTTAATTAAGATGGATTCCATTTTGTCTTCTTTTGCTTGTTGGTGTAATTAGAAAGTAATATATATACATGTACAGGGGCGTATGCAGGGGGGGGGGGGTTTGGAGTTAACCCCCCCCCTTAACTTTGTTTATGTGTGTGTTTTGAAGGAAAAGTCCCCCCCCCCCTTTTTTTTTTCTTTTTTTGATAAAAAAAAAAATAATAATCAAAAAAAAAAAAATGAATAAAAAAATTGTGGTAATGGGTGACCCCAAAAAGCCAACCTTGCCCCCCCCCCCAAATGAAATAAAATACAGATCGGCCAAATTTTAAAATTTTGGAACACCAAAAAATTAAAAAAATGTGCTCTTACCTCCCCCTGGCTGAGACATTGCGAAATTTGTGAGACCCCCCCCCCTTCTTAACTTTGTTTATGTGTGTGTTTTGAAGGAAAAGTCCCCCCCTTTTTTTTTTTTTTTTAATAAAAAAAAAAAATAATTAAAAAAAAAAATATGAATAAAAAAATTGTGGTAATGGGTGACCCCAAAAAGCCAACCTTGCCCCCCCCCCCCCCACGAAACAAAATACAGATCGGCCAAATTTTCAAATTTTGGAACACCCAAAAAAATGTGCTCTTACCTCCCCCCTGGCTGAGACGTTGCGAAATTTGTGAGACCCCCCCCCCCCAAAAAAAAAAAAATAAATATCCTCTTACCCTCCCCCCCCCCCCTGCGCTTATTCAGCGGCTGGCTAATTCGTTAAATTTTAAACCCCCCCCCCTTTACATGTATATATATGTTCTCATCATCCCCAATCTCTCTCCCGATTGTTCTTACTCTCTGTCTTAGTTGCACCAATATTTTAAAAGTGTGGGGGGGGGGGGGGGCTAACTTTGGGTGAGGGTGAATATAGGGGCAAATTATTTTTTCCTGTACTGGAACTGGTAAACTAGTCATTTTACCAGCCTTCCTAATGTTGCAAAGTGGAAAAGCAGTAACAACAATGAATACAAATTTGATACAATATATACGATTTAAAACAAAACAGAAATAGTGATTTAATACAAACACAAAAATAAACTTGTCAACCTAGAGTTTAGTCTTGGCCTCTTCCTGAATACATGTATGTTTATCTATATTTATCTCTCCTTGTTCATGTGTGTGTGTGTGAGAGAGAGAGAGAGTGAGAGAGAGAGAGTGAGAGAGAGAGAGTGAGAGAGAGAGAGAGAGAGAGAGAGAGCTGTATATCTGTAGATGGTAGCTAGATCCTTAGATATGAGATTGGGGGGGGGGGGGGGTGGTAGGTGCATGCCCCTTTTACTTTAACATGTGCCCCTTTTCATTACTAACAAGTGCCCTTTTCTCTACTGCTAAGTGCCCCTTTTCCTTTTGTAATAAGTGCCCCTTCCCCTTTCTTGTGTATATGCCTCCTTTTCACCCCTGATAACCACTCCTATCAAAATCTAAGAAGAGTACCTTTTTATCTCTGATGAGTGCTCCCTTTTAGGTATGAGAAATTACACCCTTTCAGCTCTGATAATTAGAGTACCCCTTTTGCTTTGACAGCCATGCATGGTTCCCTATTTAATATTTAATCATTGCCCTTTCCCCTTGATAAGTGCCCATTTCCCCTTTTTAATAAGTGCCCCTTCCATTTCTTATAACTCCTTTCACCTCTGATAAGTGCCCCTTTCAAAAAAAAAAAGTTTCCTTTGTAATTTTTGATGTAAAGGCCCCTTTTTACCTTTATTTCCCACTGTCGCTTACAAATTGTGCCCTTTTGCAGTCACTTTCTAAAAAAAACTGGAGCAGTTGGTACGTGTTTTCTACCACCACAAGTAAAGGCAGTGCATGGAGCCTAGGGGGGGGGGGGACCTGTAGAATTCCAACTATTCTGGGTGCCATTTTCGTTCTACAGCTGCCAACGTGATGCCCATTGCCTTTTTCTTCTTTCTCTTTCTCTTTGAACACGTAAACGGCATGCAATCATAGATATTCTTGATTATTCTGTATTCATAATAATCGTTTTTTTCTAATAATAAGAGAAATTTCCTCAAGAAAAGCATGCATCTTAATTCCCCCTATTCTCATTCTTTTTGTTATAGGAGGAGGAGGGGGGGGGGGGGTGGGGAAGGGGGGGGGGGGGGGTAAGGAACTGGATCCACCGTGTCTTATCACACGTTTGAGTACTGTACAAATATCGAGCGTATGGTATATTTTTTCTTTTTGATTTTGTGTGCTCAAGGATACCAAGAGTTAAGTCGACTTACGCCAAAATGTACGTATGGGATCGGGACAAGATTATTTGGTCGAATGTCTACTCGCAGCTCGAATAGACAAACTGCTCATCTCTAGTGCAAGAAGTAGCTCGAATATCTGCATGATCTGGTGCTGAATCCTGTGAGTCATGTAGAGTCTATTTGTCAACTTATCTAACTAGAAAAAGTCGGCGCTAGTGTAGTTCCGTATCCATTTTGTTAGCAGCTTAATATCCATCATTAGCAAAGGAGTTTTAGCCCAATTTTTACTCATTTTAATCATAATCATATAGACTAGGGTCTATCGCAATTTCCACCTGAATTTGGATCACATCCGACATCAGGAAGCCTCCGTTTAGGGCTTGGATGTCGACGTCGTCGCTCAGTACCGTCTCTACGCTATAGCTCCGCACTTCAAACTGAAGCTATCAGTCCAAAAATATGCAGACTTCTCGAATGGTTTATGTATTACGAGCATCCACGATACCATAAACCATACGAGAAGTTTGCATAATTTTGGACTGATAGCTTCAGTTTGAGGTGCAGGACTACAGTGTAGAGACGGTACTGAGCAACGACGTCGACATCGAAGCCCTAAACGTAGATCTAGGCTTCCCGATGTTGGATGTGATCCAAATTCAGGTGGAAAATCTATATGATTATGATTCAAATGAGTAAACAACTGGGTTAAAATTCTCTTATTTAGAATGGATATTTAACTGCTAAAAAATGGATACGCAACTACACTAGCGCCAAAAAGTCTAGGTCCTAACTCTAAGTGAAAACTAACAACAAGTAACAATCCCAAACCAAAACAAGGGTGCCTTTGGCTTTGCCAAAACAGACAGAAATGAAGTCTACCTGCACCAGAAAGGCGGAATAAGAGATGGGAAGGGGAGGAGAAGGTGTGAAGAGATTGGGGAGGGGATCCAGAGCCGGAGCCCCGGGGGCCGTTTCTCGAAACCAACTCCATGACAGTCATATCTTTGTCGGCGACCTACGGAGATGTCATGAAGCGGATAAACCGTTTCACAAAGCCATGACAGACATGATATCGATATATCGCGATACTAGCAGCTCAAGAACATAGTCTTTGTCACGATCCATTTGATTTATCAAGAATAACCCAAAACAAGTTTTGTGGCTAAAATTGTTCAAAAAGAAATATATTCATATAAATTCTCCTAAAATAAATAATAAATAGTGTCATTATCATATTTACATCATCAAACGATTTGCATATTTCTGTAAAGATTCTTAAATTGAAGAAAAACCGGTGAGTGTTTTTTTTTCGACAGTCGAATCAAAAATTAGTTGAAGGATACCGTAATGTGATAGTTTATCAATACGTACTTTTTTGTTTATTGTGACGAGAAATTTTAGGCAAAATGTCTTTTCTCAGCCAGTTTTTATTCTAGAGTCTCATAAATACTCGTTATATAATTGATTTGATGTTGAAAATATAATTTGGATGAAGTAAACAGAGAGGGGAAAATAATGCACATAGGCCCCAAAGGTATGACGGTATCCTAAGAAAAGACTATGGATCGACTATGGAAAACGGTGTGTAACATTCTTACCTCTCTTATTTATATGTTATAGTTTAATGATTTGGGATTTAATGTTTATATTAAGCTTTTTAAAGTTTCTGTATAATTTGTATTCTCACTTTTGTACATTTGCATTTCGCATCCCAGAGAATTACGTACCAAACTCGTCTATATTTTTCTCAAAATGATAGTGAAACTAATCGTCCATTTCGCGGCCCATGGAATGGCAACAAACTGACTTGTGATGGCGCTTTACAGCAATTAAAAAGATATGACAGGTTCGGAGCAGTGACAACTCGCTTGTCGCGGAAGTTGTCGCTCATCTTGGCAAAGACGGCTTCGTGAAACACTTAGCTGACAAGTTGCATGACAGTGGCGAGATGTCGTTGATCTTGTAGTTATGACGGTTTCGAGAAACGGCCCCCCGTTTCATAAAAGTTAAAACTAGTTATCAATAACATTAACAAAGGCAAAACTATATCACTCGCAAGTATCATATTGATATATTTGCTCTCGGACTCATACTCGGCCAATCAAATATATATGCCCTCACATGCCCTCACATGTACCTCGTCTACGCGGACGATCCTCATTCTCAGACCAGCTAGTGCCCCTACTAGCCGGTAAGGGGTACTGTCTGTCACTCTGTGTATGTGATAGGTAAACAAATACAAATGTGTTTAATAAAACTGACATTTGTTTACCTTCCCCATACACAGAGTGACAGACAGTACCCCTTACGTCCTACATCCAAAATGCTCCTTCTATATCCACTTTCAAAGTAATGTTAAAAACCCATCTGTTCAAATCCATATCATGAATTTTGTATTCTCTAAACATGTCAAATAAATAAATGATGTCGTACTACTATTTCTTATGAAATATGTCATCTTTACCATAATTTAAGTTTAATAGATTAAGTTGATTTATTCATTTATCTGTAACAAACTGTAATTTTGTAACGTAACATAGCGTAACATACTGTAATTTTGTACTGAATAATATTGTGTAATGGTGGTGCTGTTGTCTCGGCTTTTATTTCGTGTAAGGACATTGCTTCACTTAATGCAGGGCTGTCAACTTTGTGGAACTGCTTCGAGCGAGATCGAATAAAATTTGTTTTTGACTCAACAGGGAAGGGGGGGGGGGGGGGGGGGGAATTGAGTAAAAACAAATACCGGTAATTAAAAAATCGAAGTGCTCACTACCCCCCCCCCTACTCCCCCGTTGAGCAAAAAGAATCCATATGATACTAGTACGCTGGTTCATTTACACTTCTGGTAGGAGGTTTTTTCATAAACCGCGAGATTGCGGGAGTGAGGGCGTGGTGGCGGGAGTCTCCCGCTACGAAATGGTGGGACGGCGGGAGAATGAGCGTGGTGGTGTGAGACTCCCTCCAAATGTGGGAGGGTTGACAGCCCTGCTTAATGGCTGCTGGGACAACAGCACCACAGCGCCTAGAAACAATGTATTAGGCGCGTTATAAAATGTGATCTATTATTATTATTACCAACTACAGTAGGGGCACTGGTCTGAGAATGAGGATTATCCGCATAAATGAGGTGCATATGAGGGCACATGGCAATTACCTATGCAAAGGCATTCTTTATCCTTCCAGGTCCCTATTTCTCTCCTGGGTATGGAGTGGCAAATGTAGATTAATACATGTTAGGGATCAACCCACGACCTTTGCATTTTAAGTTAAGGGCTTAAACCACTAGACTATGGAATCTCTTGTATGATCAGTCTTTGGACGTCCTGTTTGTACCAAAATATTGTTGTCTATAAACAAAGTGAATGAATGAATGATTAATTGGTAACATAAGATTTAATATGTACAATTTGAAAGGGCCTAATAATCAACTGTATATGTCTTGCCATTTGTATTATTCATGTCTTTACTTTTAGGTGATTTGTAACAGACGATGTCTTAAAAATGCTGAAGATAGAGAAAGTTATTCAGTTGAAGACCAAGCAAGGGAAACCATTGCGAGTAGTGCGTGAACAATATCTGAGAGATGATGTACCATGCAACAGTGAATTGTGTCCAAAGAGCTGTTCAATGTGTGAGTTAGCCAGTTCATGTTTTATCTTGAAGACTGATATTAAATGTATTAATTAATATATGCTGATATTTTTAATATTCATTATAGATGTTAACTAGTATTATTATTTTATTATTGTTATTATTGTTATTATCATTGTTATTGTTAAAAATAATAATAATTAAAAAAAAAAATTACAATTATTATTATTACTACTACCCCTCCTACTGTTCTGCTACTGCTACTATTATATTGGGATGTGCGCATGACAAGCGGGACATGCGATTTGTGAAGTATTTGAAGGATGTGAATGCTGAACCTTGTTAAAGATTAATGAAGGTTCGCTCATACTAAAGAAAAAGTACATGTTTTGATCTCAGGAGACACTTTGTATTGATATTCACAGCTGAAAGGTGTGTTGGTAGAAATGTATCTCACTATGTGATTCCTGATGGAGGAACTGCTCGAGACTACCTGGATATCCTGGAGCTAGAAGAATTCAGAGGTCTCATAGTCCTTCAAACAGTCCTGCATTTTGTGAGTTTCATATTCCTTCTTGCCATTGATTATTCTGTGTTAGCACACAAAAAATCTAGAGTATTTTGACCTCATGTAACTTCCTGAAACTAATCATTTTTTCTGTGAAGCAATGCAGAAGCAGCCTTCTCTTCATCAAGATATACAAATAGACTAAAGTCTAGTCATGAGATAATGGTAATGTGATGTTCTGATTAACTTAGTTCTGATTAATTAAAGGTTATATATGTATATATATCTAATAATGAATGAAATAAAAGCATTGTTGGAGAATACTTAAACAATTTCAAATATATTTAAATAAATGGTATACAAGTTTTTTTTTTTCCCTTACAAAGTTTTGGAATATTGTGTCATATGTGTATTACGGTATAGTATTAATGACTGCTTTATACGCTCAAGGGAAGGTTACAATTGTGCTATCGCCTGAGGCGTGCCGAGGGCAATAGCCCAATTGTAACCTTCCCGAGAGCGTATAAAAACAAATATTTCTCGAATATTAAAGTAGTCATTAATACTGTTATATGCTGAAAAAAAAAGTCAACTTATGACACCACATTGGCCTTTCTCTAGTTTATCTGCACGGTTGTCTTTCATGAGTGTATCTTTGAGAGTAGACTAGATCTAGATTTTATAGTCTAAGCAAGATATTTTTACGATAAGGTATAAAGGTATCATCTATTTGTATAAACATGTAATTACATGAATTACCAGAAATTTGTTACTGTAGCTCTGTATGCATAGACTGGTTTCAATTGAGTTTTACATGCTATCATGTTCATAAATTAATCACTCCAATATAATGATAATATTTAGATGAATTTATGTAGCCTAAATACTGTATATTTAGGTATATTCCACTGGGCTATGATAAAAGCAGAACTCCCAACAGTACTAATTTATAGACACACAAACAAAAATATTCAAAAGCTCTTGAAAACAAGTGCAAATTCAACAAAACTTTGAAGACAGCAGCACATGAGGCTTTTCTTATATCTAGTAGTAGGTTATTCCAAAGCTTTGGAGTGACGCAACTGGAATTGGAATTATTTCTTTGTTGTTGCCATTAACAATGTAATCGACTGTATTGTTATTAGGTGCAGCATAATGGAAGCAGACGTCTACTTAACCGACTTAAAGGCAAAGTGAAAGACAAGAAACAAGGCTGTGCCTTCTTTGCTGATGAATTCTGTAGAGGGGCTTTCTCTCCAAGACAGCATGGAGAGAGTGAAGAAGAGTGGCAAACTAGGTAAGAATTATAACAACATGGTGGGAATGGTTGGTGGTTGATGGTTGGTTATTGTTTTGCCTGACTGCTTTGAAAGCATGTTTATGCTGATAAGTTAGCAAACAGGGGACCGACAGCTGAAAGTCCTCTCCAAGGGACCTGATAATAAGGGCGCGAGTTTTGACTTTGTTTTGCACCAGGGACTTCTCGGTTACAAGACCACTGCTCTACCACTGAGCCATCGGGCCTCCTCAAAAGAGGATGACAGACTGAGAGACTGTCAGTGATCATAATTTTGTATCGGTTCTGAAGAGATGAGTGCTAGTTGCTGGTTCTAAAATGGATATAGTTAACAAAATTAAAACATGATCTTTTCAGTCTTTTACATCTTTACCTCAAAATTTGTCTGTCATGACAAATTTAATCTCTTCAATTTTTAGAGATATCTGTCTTCTTTTTTCTCATAATTACCTTTCCTTGTCATTTTTTTCTTCTCCTTTCCATTCCAGATTGGTGTATGCTTCAGCAGTCTGGTATTATAATCATTTAGAAGAAAGGATTGCCATCGTTGTGCTGACTGATAATCAACAGGTACTGATAAAGTGTATTCAGATGTTATCATTTCTTTTCAATTTCTAGAATATATTCTTGTATTGAAGTAAAAAACAACAACCACTAAGTATAAAGTGAAGATCACTCAGGTTCTGTGACCATACATGTACCTTTCATTTAATTGTCAAAATACAAATTGCATAATTCAACATTACAGCTATTCCAAACCAGTTGAACATAAAACAATCTAAAGGCTCACATGGAAATTGAGTTTGGAGTTGACCCATAACCTACAGGAACCAGATGGTCACTGTATGAAGCTTATGGAATTGTGATAATTCAGTAGAAATAGGTTAACTTCCACATATATCAACTCATCAATGTGCAAGTCTCTTTTATCTTTATGTAGAGTGATACTGTATCTATTAACTGATATGATATTGAAAACTGTTATTTTGAATGTTGCCAGAAGTAGAACCTTGGAGATACAGATTAGAGAAAGAAAAGAATGGTCTACTGGAAATTGTAACATTACAGGGGAATTTTTATGTTGATTGCTAGTGAAGAATAATGTTATATTGAATGTTTGTGCAGGCGATTGAGAGGTATGGGAATCAGACCATGAATGTACATGTCTGTGCAGTGGGGAACTATCTATCCTTGTTCTGGCCAGACCTTACTCAAGCTCAGGACATTCTGGAATCAGTGAAAGCATCTCTTGCAGCAGCTGAAGAAGAAGAAGAAGGTAAGCAAGTACCGCTGAGGCAATCATTATAAGATAAGAAACAGTTTAGACAGATAAATACATGTAATGAGTGACAGCATCTGTAGTGACAGCTGAAGAAGAAGGTAAGGAAGTACCGCTCAGGCAACTTAAGAATTCATTTGAAACGGCATACAAAGATACCTACCCCGGTATTCATATTCATATTCATATTCAGTGACAGCATCTGTAGTAGTATACTACAGCCCTATACTTTTGAAACATTAATATCAATAGATTTGTTTGTGAATGTTTGTTTATATGATCTGTAGATGGAAGTAAAGAGTATAGAGACCACCTAACAAGTGATGATTTGGGTTCTGGAATCAAGACGGGAAGATACATGGATGGGATGCTACGGGTTAACAAACATCATGCTCAAGAAGAGGCTTACTTACAGAGAAAAGGGTGAGTATAAATTAATAACCAATCTAAATATAATGGATATAATAATGGTGAATATTAACACTTTGGTAACGATGGGCTTCTATAGAAGCCGCAGAGCGAGTTGTTAAGTCTGTGACGACGAGCTTCTACAGAAGCCGAGATGTATCCCTAATATTTTGACAAAGTTTTCCAGCTTATTATTAGCCATTATGTGTTAAAGTTCTTTGAAGTATCATTTAGATATATCCATTCATCTCATCTATTAAAAAAATAATAAAGTTACGTGGAAAAAAATTGAGAAAAAGTGATATCATTTCAACTTTACCCTAAGTTAGTGTTCGGATCGAAAAAAGGCCTTTGAAATACCCGTACAGCTGGAGACGGACGTGTATGCGCGCGTCCATTCTATATTCTTGCCAGGATTCTTGCTTGACGACGTCATTGTATTTACATAACTGATTTAGATGCATAGTTAGAAAATAGAATATGAAACACAAAAAGAGTTATTCAAACATTGGCAGATCTATGATACAAAGAAAAAAGGCATTATGAGACAGCTATATTATTGCATTTTATTATTTATGATTCAAGGCTTCGGATTATTGGTTTTGTTGATGAAGATGGTTACATGGTGATTTTCCATCTGTGAGTGGATTATTTTCGCTGGGCAATATGAGAGGGCATTGTTTTCCTCACATTTCCATAGATGTTTTGTAGTTATTAACTTTACAGATTTTAAGGTATTATTTTTTCTGTAATTCATGTTTCTACCTATTTTTACAAACTTTTCTATTCTAGTTCGGGCCTTGGATCAAAAGATACTGAGTTAGAATGTGACATTTTGATATCCGGAACTAAAAACAGGTAAGATTTCTATAGAGTGGTGAAGTGTGACGTCATCAAAAATCTATTTTTGGAATTTCTCAATTTTTTCTTCATTTTCTGAAAGAGCATTAAAAATAATATCCAAATGTCGAAAACCAGCTGGTCATATCTCAGCCAATACTTAACTTTATTCAATTGGTTTTTGACATTTGGACATTATTTTTGATGCTCTTTCAGAAAAAAATGAAGAAAAAAAAATGAAGAGATTCAAAAAATAGATTTTTATAATGTCACATCTTCGGTACTCTATTGACTTGCTTGCAAAGCAAGAGCTGGGCGCGGCACAATTATTTCATTTAAGTTTTATATGTATTTCGTGTCAGATCTATGCACTGTAATGGGAAATACATGTACTTGCATGCCAACTTTATAAATCAAAGCCCATTGATCTCAACTGGTGAAAGGGAAAGTCCCTCAACACGCAAAAGAACATTCACTCCTTCTATGCAGTGAACGGCGGTTCCAACCCGAGAATTTGAATGTTGAACAACGTGTTTAGACTGAAAAGGGCTTACGTACGGTACATTTTTTTTTCCTAACAGAGAAACAGGGACCTTCATTGTGAAGTTTATTCCAATGCATTATAATTTATGCCAAAATTGGTATGAAACATCTCATTGAAAGTCTGTTTATCAACTCTTTAAAGTCCATACATGAAAATTGCTCAAAACCTGAATGGCATTGAAGTGGTTACCGGTAATGTGGATTGAGTGGAAACAGACTACAGTATACAAGAATTGCAGAACAGCGAAGTGTAGAAAACTTTTGCAATCAACCTCCACACTGGAAGAAAATACTATAATAGAGACAGATTAGGATATTATGCAAAATGTGCTTTCAATTGTCCCTTGGTTTATGTTTCTATAAATTTATTCCAATTTCTAAAAAAGCATTTCTGGCATTGATTCAATTCCTTGTACCTTAATATGGATCATAATAGGGAAATAAACTCATGAGATATTACGGTCATTTTGTCATTGCAAATTTTAAGAAATCTACTCCGATGGAAGATTGTCTGCCCTATTAAACCAATATGCTAAGATTAAGAAGTGAACTTTTAACTCTTGAAAGTTCATTTATGGTACCATAGTTGTGTGTCTATGCGGTGGCATTGAATTTGATATGGAATTTTTAAGACGTCTTCATCATTAAGAATCAATTCCTTCTTTTTTTCTGTACCAGAAATCGAGCAGTGCATGGAGACATAGTGGTGGTTGAATTGCTTCCAAAGGCTCAATGGACTGGCAAGAAACTGGTCTTAAAATCTGGAGGTAACTTTCAGTCATACTTTATTACTTCTTTGTATCTTGCTTTTTTTTTGTATTGTCTATTTTTTGGAATTTCTAAAAATAATAGTTTTACAAGTATTATTAGTATTTGTACAACTTTGATTCGATCTCTGTTTCCAGTACAGTGTACTTTCAATTTTCTTTGTAATATTGAACAATTGTTTTTCACATGTGGTTTATAATGAAACATGTCTTGGAAAGGTTACATTCAGTCTTTTTGTGAAGAAAATTACTATTCAATCTGGAAGGAGATATTAGGAAAAAATAATAATTTGAAGGTCAATGTTAGTGAACATACATAGAGAAGCAACAACTCATTAGTTGTTTAATTATATGGAATGAAGTAGAAATATAGAATGTAAATATTACAAAGTATGACTTTCACAGAAAAAAGAATCCCAATTACATGTGCTTAGACAAGATCCAGTTCTGTATGCCATCAAGAATGAATGCTTCGAATTATTCTCTAGATGTGTTTACTGCAGTGAAACCTGTCTTTAAAGAGGACCCAAGTGAGACAAGAAAAGTGGTCTTTCTAGGCAGGGGGTCTCTATGTACAGGTTTCAATGAGAAACCCGGCATTTTCAAGTGGTCTTGACAGGTGGTCTTTCTAAACAGGTGGTGGTTAAAGCAGGTTTGACTGTATTACATGCTTTGCTTGGTCTCTCGCCTACTCAAATGTCACAGGGGAGTTATAACAAGTCTGTTCATATTGTGTATCTTTCCATCCTTAGATGATAGAGAGGCGGAGGACGTGAGCGATGCGGTTCCATGTGGTAGAGTGGTTGGTATCTTAGAGAGAAACTGGAGGGATTATGTAGCTACATTCCCAGAGAAAGATGAGGTAAAACATTTCCACTCCTTTCTGTTACTCATTCAAAGGTCTTCTTTCTTTTTATACCTTCCTCTCTTAAAGGGGGTGTAGCATGACAAATACTGGTTGATGCCATCTATGACTTCTTTAAGACAACTGCACGTAAATGAATGGAGTTGACTAAAGGTCAGCGAACACTAGAATTCGCGAAACAGACTAAAGTTCTCCTCACGCTTCGGTTTTGCATATGTTGCACGCACGTGAATACTGCGGTCGCATCGTCCGTAGTCATATTATACCCAATTGCCCCCAAGTCAGGCCACGGGAAAGATATAGTCTCGTCATGCTACACCCCCTTTAAACTCCTCAATTAAAAAAAAATTCTTTTAATGTTTTCCTTTTATCACCCCTTGGAATCAATCGCCGTTTTAGAGCCAGAAAGGAGTTAAATCAAACACTTGAACAAAGAATTAACACCCTTCTGGCTCTGAACAGACAATATGTATCTCTTTTATCTTTCTTATTTTGACTCTCTCTCTTTTGTGCTCCTATATGTATTTTACATGTATTTGTTGTGACATGATGATGAATTGACTGTCTACAATAGAGGTTAATTATTTAGATTCGAAGGTCAAAGACCTATCATGTGTCGGTTATAAACATGCTTCATCATTTGATATCCCATATTTGTTCATCAGATTAATTTTGGTCACACTTGTACCACTCCCGGTAAGCCTATGCATTGCTATAGAGAGAAACTGGTGGAAAAAACACAAAAAGGTACATTGATATTGAAGTCAAAGGTCAGAGCTTACATGTCAAATTTTGAAGAGATTAAAAAGGTGAATATCATTTTAATGCAATGTTTCCCCATGGTTTCCACATAGCATGAAGGCAATATTTTTATGACCATGATTATATTATATATGTGGGCTACCGGTATGTTAACATCTGTAAGTGATTATGCTATCAAATCCTGATCACTATTATTACCATGGTGACGCATCACTTCTATTCTCAGACAGGAGCAAGTCGAGGAAGTAAGATTCTCGTCATCCCATGGGATTATAGAATCCCTAAGATAAGGGTTAGTACCAGACAAGCAGATGCACTCAATGATCAAAGGTAAATATTTTCTTCTTCATTTTTCATCCTATTTACGTCTACTTCTTGGCAGTCAATCACAGCCCTTTAATCTTTCGCGTGCTTGTTCCTTTAGTTTCTGCTGATATTGTCTGACTTCTGCTTCCTGTTCATTCTTGCGATGTACTCTGATGAGGACAAGACAAAAAGCTTTAGCATGCCTGTTTTCATTGCTATTTGAATTCTTTAAGTACTTATCATTTCTTTAGAACAATTCATGTTCTTTAAATGAAGACCTACTGTTCTAATCTTTAACAAAACAAAGTTATAAAGAGCTATGAGGAGATTGTGATGGAGCAATATTCTTTTTTTTTGCTATTTACATTGTTATTTTAATTCTTTTTAAGTACTTATCATTTCTTTAGAAAAATTCATGTTCTTTAAATGAAGACCTACTGTTCTAATCTTTAACAAAACAAAGTTATAAAGAGCTATAAGGAGATTGTGATGGAGCAATATTCTTTTTTTTTTGCTATTTACATTGCTATTTTAATTCTTTTTAAGTACCTATCATTTCTTTAGAATAATTCATGTTCTTTAAATGAAGACCTACTGTTCTAATCTTTAACAAAAAAAAGTTATAAAGAGCTATGAGGAGATTGTGATGGAGCAACATTCTTTTTATTTTTAAGGATTGTTGTTCGACTTGACAACTGGCCTGCAGACTCCCAGTATCCTAATGGTCACTATGTGCGGTCACTCGGTCCTATTGGTCAACTGGAGACAGAAGTGGCAGCTACCTTGATTGAAAACAGCTTACCAGTGGGTCCTTTCTCTGAAGGACAGGTGAGGTTACATGTCAGAATAGGAGTAGGATAAAAAATAATGAAGAGCCCTCTCATGAGATTAATGTGGATTGATCTCAAGTTCTCCAATCAGATGCAAACTTACAATTGACTATCTCGTGTGTACAGAGTTGTGAATGAATGATATCAAGGACAAGTCTCATATTAAGATGGGGTTTGGCTAGAATGTTAGAATAGCTTGTGTTTTATTGAACAACATGTTGCAAAACAGAACTGGTTTTGATTCAAACATTTGGAAGGGATCGTGTTTATTTTCAAGTCCGACTTGGTAACGGTACGCAAGGTTTTATGTAAATCTTTGTTTTCTTCATAGTCCTTATCCGTGTAACGCAAGGTTAAGACAGATGTTGATTTGATAAATTCTAGCTGTATACAATTTTTTTGTTTAGATGATTATTACACTTTAACGATTTAAAGATATCATCAAGATATATCGGCATCGTTTCCCGAAACCGTCACAAGTACAAGTTCATTGACATCCCATCGATACACATGTTTATTTTGATACAAGTGTTTCAATTAGTTTTGGGCAATCTTATACTTATGACGGTTTCGTGAAATACTGCCCAGGTGACTTGTGCTTCTTTTTCCAAACAAGTGGCAATGACACATGTCTAACTTTACAACAACAGATTAAAGAAATGCCTGTTAATACCTGGGACAACCCTGGCTAATGACTGACGAGGAGATTGGTAAACGGAAAGACCTGCGCAACTCACACCTTATCTTCAGTATTGACCCCAAAGGCTGTGAGGATGTGGATGATACTTTATCTGTGAGGTAAGAGGGCTTTAAGGTGCCTTGAGAATGTTGATAGTACTCTGTCTTGAGTCTCATTTTATGATCTTTTGAATGAAAGATTGGTACTTCTCTTATGATATGTACACATGTATGATCATGTATGCTATTTTTATGCTAAATATTGAAGATAATATTGTGCGCTCTGAAATCTTATTTGATGTTACCAAATATGGTCAGATACTACTACTAACTATATAGGATATTTATAATGCTATCAGGGGGGCGTTTCACAAAACAGTTTTTGTTATAAGCTACTGAAATCCTTGCTTCTGATTGGTTATCAGCAGATTTGTCACTGATATTTGTCACACGTCATTGAAAGAAGGCTTTGTGAAACGGGTCCCAGGTGTCGCAGTCAAGTGGTTCAATCACTTAACTGGAAATACCATGGTCGTGGATTAGAGGCCTGATACGAGCACTTATGTCCTTGAACAAGGCATTTTATCTGTAAAATTGTTGGGTACCTAGTAGGATGCAGACGTCTTTGTGGTCGGATTAGAATGTGCCCCCCAGTATAAGGGCAACTATCTGGAATACTCTCCAGGGAGTGGAGAAATGTGTACTATAATAATAATTATTAAAAAAATGACTTTATTAATGTGCATAATAGCTATTTAATAATGGTACTGAATAATTAAATAATAGAGGTAATAATAGTACTACAATCATTTATCTCCATCTATTGATAACATTTCTTTGACTTTCTCTTCTCTTTCCATGCATTCTCTTCCTTCTTTCACTCTGCTCTCTCTCTTGATTTGTTACTTTCCTTCACATAACTCAATTCTATTCTTTCTTCCCTATCTATCATGCACATTATAAACTATTCAGGGAGCTTGGCAATGGAAACATAGAGCTTGGTGTGCACATAGCAGATGTATCCTACTTTGTTAAGGAAGGCTCTCTCACAGATCTTGAAGCAAGATTAAGGTATCATTTTCACAAACATTTCACTGTTCACCTTCTGTACAATATTTTCACACTGTTTAAAAAAATGTTCATAATTGTTATTAATTATTGTTAATAAAAACAACAAAGTTGCAAATGTTGTGTCATCTGATATTTTTTTAATGACTATTTCTTGTGATCTCAATGAATATTAGGATGTTTGGCAAATACCCCTAGAAGATGTGGTACAGTCACTTGCTACAATGTAGTGAGACTATCTCGGCTTTTTAATATGCTTTAAAGCTAACAGAATTAATAGGATCTAAAATGATAACGTTTTTTAAATTACTACTAGTAAATATTTCTATGAACAATAATATATGAGGGTATTCAAGAATAAATGCATACCTGCCAATCACCCCGATTTAGGCGGAGTTCCTCCGCATTTTTCATACGAACTCCGAATTCCGAATGCATGCCTCAAAACTCCGATTTTTTTTAAATTTATTTTTTAAATTTTTTAAAAATTTTTTTAAAATTTTTTTAAATTTTTTTTAGAGTGTAATGCACTTGGAGAGTATATAACTATTATGTTTGTATTTCGAAATGTAAAGCGCCTTGAGCATGTTCATGTAAAGGCGCTCAATAAAACCAATATGTATGTATGTATGTATAAGACTAAAGCATAACACAGCACTGATAACCAGATCACGCCGACATCCGTGCTCGCGCTCATAGAAGATATACACAGTGCAGCCCGAACGTGATCGTTAGTTCCCCACCCCCCAATCTACGGGCTACTACCCCAATCCTTCGGTGATTCGCGACCTCATAGTCCATCCAGAAAAATTTACTCCTAATTTCTCTTGTCTCAGGTTGGCAGGTATGTAAATGGTCAATATTTTGTAATTCTTATTTGTACCATATTTAAAGATAGACATGCTTCTTTGCAGACTACATGTATATATGTACCGGTATGTGTTTAATTGTCATTCCTGAGGAAGGGGGACTCCCCGTAAAAAAATTGGAAATAAAATGACAAAGTTGGCATAAAGTGCATTTCTTCAAAGTGTGATCTCGAAACTGTTAAACACTGCCAGTACTTGGATGAATCAACATGTAATACAGAAGCTTATCATTATTATTAGTTTCTATTATAATTACACTTTACATAAGTCATTCTTGTATGTAAATGCTGACATTAAATGTAGTACCATTCAGGGGTGACAATGTTAACATTGTATTTTAGATCAACCACGGTATATCTAGCGGACAGACGCTATGACATGCTTCCCGAGATTCTTAGTGCTGATCTCTGCTCTCTGATTGGTGGAGTTGATCGCTATGCTGTCAGTGTGCTGTGGGAGTTGAAACCATTCACATTTGAAGTGATCAAGGATAAAGTTTGGTATGGGAGAACCATTATCCGCTCAGCTTACAAGATGTTCTATGAGGTATGTTTATCCATTCTAGGTAAACCGTAAGCCTCCCGTACCCGTCTCTGATCATCCTGAATTGTATTAGATAGGAAATCTAAACAAATATCATCTTCCTGAAGTTTATTTAAGTAAAAAAAAAAATAACAGGTAGAATAGTGTTTGAAATAGTGAATGGATAAAAGGAAGATTGACATCTTATCATCGAAAATATTTGAGCCTATTTGGTAAATTGTTTTATATTGACAGATTTAAGCGTTTTCATTTTCATCATCATGAAATACCTTAGATGTACATTTGGAGAGTTAACATAATATACACTTTAAAAAAAAAAAGAGATGTGGTATGTTTTAAGTTCTCCTTGAAGCAGAGGTTTCATGTGTAAACAGTATAAAGAAAGGCATTAAATCAATCTATACAGATTATGACATATGGATAAAGTATTGTAGATCATGTCTTACTCTTGTTATGGTAAATTAATGAAGGTAAATGATTTAAAGACTATAGATAAAAGGTTTCATTCGTAATAGGCTGATGAATTTTCAGCTGCTTCTGTGTGAGCCAGATTTCTTTTGTTAATGCACTTTTAGTTCTACATGTTCATATACTGGTATGCTCTCCTATGGATCACCAAAATGAGCTGCGGATAAAACCAGAAATTCTTATAATGTAAACTTTCAGGTGTTGTTAACACATACTATATTGACCAGGAAGAAACTCATGTGATATATTTATTTGTTATGTCTAAATCATAGATCTAAAGAAAGAATTTCACAGAATGTAAGTTTTGCCAAGCTGTACCTCTTGCAAAATTGTCATCACTTTCTGGTTATACAACATGCTTTTTGCTCATCAGCAAATCATTCTTTCTTGTACTATTTTTCAATTGTTTTCTTCTTCAGTTTCTCTTCAAAGAGAAAAAAATAGGGCAAAATGTAACAAATGTTTTTTGTATATCTTGAAGTTAGTTTGAATTGATTTTTTTTTTATGCAGGCTGCTCAAATGCTGCATGATGGGAAGACATTGTCAGCAGACGACATCCCTGAACTGAGAGATGTAGATGATATGACCAAGGAACTAGAGTAAGAATTTACACCCTCCTTCTCCTTTTATAGTTTACCTGTATACAGATTATTTGTATATAGTGTAATAGATGGAATAGGAAAACATTTGAAATTTGAGATTTTTTTTGCAGTCTGGAAATGAAAATAAATGCACTGTTGATGTAATGATACATATCATGAATTTACATTATTGAGATATTATAATACGCTTTTAATACAAAGCTATGAAAAAAGAAAAAACAGTAGTTCAATGAGAAAAGCTTTAATGAGCTTGTTTGTTTCTATAAACAACATACATGTATGTCATAATGTATGCACACATTCCATTTATGGAGTGTACAACCTGTTGTACATTGATTGTTTATTACAGTCTAAATATTGATAAAGACCTGTTATCACCAGATTGTGGATTACATGATTCACGGTTCAAGCCCCGCAGTGGCATTAATGTCCTTGGGCATGACATAATCTAAATTTGCCACTCTTCACCCAGGTGTAGTAAATGGGTACCTGATGGGAATGTATTCTCTGAATGCCTTTAGCACCCTGGGTAAGCTTTGCTAAAGCCAGTGCAATAATAGCACTTTGCAGGCCTCTTGAACATCCCCTGGGATGGATATGTGCACAATATATTAAAATAAAGCTATTATTATTATTATTATTGATTATGAACCTAGAATGAAAAACTTTTAACATTTTTTCAGAGGTTGCCTGTCTAACAATTTTTTTACAGGTTACTGCATTATTTGCTTATGCAATATTATGTAACCTAGATGAGAAATTGCTTAAATGATTGTCATAATACCAAATTAGGATCATTATAGCATCTTTTCCTTTTAATATTACTTACAGAGATAAAATTGATGGTAAAATAATTCCAGAAGGCCACCCTTGGCTACGGGGTGAAAATTGAAAGATAATTGATGTTATGCTATCTCTCATAGTTGTCTCTTTTAAAGGGATTGGGTAACTTTGTCTCAGATTCTGAAACAAAATCCTGGTTTTAGTTCATTCTGCAATGATAATTATAAACCTTTAGGTCAGTCAGGAACCTCATGACTTTTACAAGCCGATTGCCTGTCTGATTATCAAGATATTTATGATTGTAAATCGAAATCAAATTTCACGTTTTCCTAACGTTTTTCATAGCACTTCAGTCTATTGGGGAAAACAAGTGTGGTAAAACCGGTCACTTAAAGATTTTAACTTTTTAATCATTTTGAAGTGCAATTTTTTTAGGACTTCAATATTACACCATATCAAAGACACTAATAACACGTAGGGCCGTGCATCTCAGATTTAACATTGTTAAACAATGCCTTTAAATTGTTGTAATTAATGTTTAGGCTGCAGAGGTTGAAGTGGGCCGTGGATCAGCTGATGATGATTGCTAGGCGGCTCAAGGCACAGCGGGAGGTTGGGGGCGCTGTTCAGCTAGAAGGGACAGAGGTTAAAGTTGAACTCAACGAAGAGCAAGAGATTGAAAACCTTGTACCAAAGCAGGTTGGTGTTATACGCACTTCCCCTTCTCTATCAATCTTTCAAATTCTACCCTATACGTCTGCTCTTTCTTTAATCTGTCTATTTATCTCTTGTCCTTTCAGTTTTCTTTTATCACACAAAGTAAATCACAGACACACTTTTAATTTCTGAATTTTCCCCTTTCTTACTTACCGGTAAATAGGGATGTGATTTGTTTTCTGTTCATGCTGATTTGATTTGGTCTGAAAATAGATTGAAGTCCTAATAACATTCCATATTTTTAATATATAATCAGGAAATTGTCCTTTCCTGGAGGCCATTTTGAATTGATTTTCAACCAAGTCTTCTTTGTCAATGTTGTTGTTGTTGAATAGACTATGGAGATACATGAGACCATAGCTGAATGCATGATCTATGCCAACCATTGGGTAGCTAAGAAGATAGCTCAGTCTTACCCTCAAGCTGCTCTGGTGAGTCACTTCTTGTTCCTATTCATTCTATTCAATCTATCATCTTGTGACAATAGTGATTGGAAGAACATTTACTTGGATGTTGTATCGATGACCTCATATTATAGTATATCTTTAAAGTGCTTTAAGACATTGTAGGGGCATATTAACACGTAATGCATATGATTACCTATTCTTATCACCTCTGTTGGTGTATATACATGTATACAATGCTTTGGAAGTATACATGGTTGTTTTATACGGATAAAGTTGATTAGTTGGGATGTGATTAGATTGTGAAAGAAACTGTGTGTCATTATTTGAATGTGAAGGCATTTGAAGAGCAATTCCTTTTCAGGGGTCATTTCTTTATTGATATTCTTTCAAATTGACGCAAAAAGTATTAGAAAACATCCACATTATTTATCATCTTAACCAGAACTCAAATTTCTCTTAAAATATGACTTGTATCTTTGGTTGTCTCTCAAGCAGTGCAATGGTAAGAATGTGTAGTCAAAGCAACTACGGTAATAGTTCTGTAAAGGGATTTACTTGTTGGATTTGTTGTCAAATGTTTGCCCTCTTTAGTAACTGTCAAGTGAGAGTGAAAGATACATGTTATATGAAGATGTTGATGATGAATTTGTTTACTACATGTCACTTGATATGGTTAATCCATTTACATGTACAAAAAAAATCTGACAGTCAAAGTTAATTAATATGAAAATTATGAGAGCTTGTTTAGAATTTGCTTTTGGAGAAATGTTTGATCGGAAAATAAATTAGAATTATTTGGAATGTTTGTCTTAGCTGAGACACCATCCACTTCCGAGGCAAGAACAGTTCCAGGATCTGATAACCAGCGCCAGGTCCAAGGGATTTCATGTAGATACCAGGTACACCTCTTATGAGTTTAATATCACATTTTAAGTCATGGGTTTATATAAGAAATTGTGAAATGTCTACTAATTTCTGTCCATATTTAAATAGAAGGATGAAAGATTTTTTCTTAACCAATGCTGGTAATTTCGAGTCAAAATTGTTTTATTCTTTTAAATCATTAATCATCATTTTCATTATAGACTTTTTTTTAAAGCTTTTGCTTTTGTGAAATCCGGATTTACCCAGCTAGGAAGCATTTTTTGTCAAATTATATTGATGTGGATTGATATAAATTTAGTCTTGTTCTGAAATTGCTCACACAAAAAAGGTCTTAATATTTTATCTGATTTGAAGTGAACGCTATTTCATCATGTAGCTCTTTTCTTCTTACCCTTCAGTACAAACAAGAAACTTGCCGAGTCACTTGATGGATGTATAGATAGAAGAGACCCAGTGTTTAACAAAATCCTTCGTTCCTTAGCAACCAAGGCCATGTCTAATGCTCTCTACTTCTCAACTGGTAGTCTGTCTGTCGATCAGTTCTTTCACTATGGTGAGCTAAGTTTTACGTTTTGGGTGCCAACTAAAAAAATGTCGGAAGTAAAAACGTCAGTGGTATTGAGCGTGACAGGTTAACATATCAGATGTAAAGGTGTTTGATATATTAGAATGTCGGCAGATGTAAAAGTGTCGGAGGTATTTGTCAGAGGTTAAAATGCATGTACCATTCAGTTTGATTGATGCTGTTTGCAATAAATTAATTCCTAAGGCAATCATGATTTTTGGTACAAGTGTCTAGAGAAAATGATTTGTCTGATCTCCCTTCCTCATATCTTTTCTATGTATGAATGTGATTCTAAACAAATTTTGTTTTCATTCATATCTGCCAGGACTTACCGAATGCATTGTCCAGTGACGAATTAATCTTAAAGTGTACCAATCACCAAAAGATATTTTGATTTATATGTTTTTTTTAATTTCATTTATTTATTAAAACATCTTTAAACAGGATAACATTGGTCAGCTTGCAGGCTGTTTTACCTAATGGTCCTGCATAAAGAAGGAAATTACAAATTTAAGAACTGACAATACAAGTATTTACAAGGAAAATAGCAGTTGTATACAAGCGATAAAAATAGACACAACATAAATAGGAAATAACACGAGAGAAAAACAGAAAGATATACATACCTCTTGTGGAAAAATACTATTATTATTATTACTATTTTATCTTACAAGAAATAGTGCACTAGATCACTGAGACTGGCAAATGTGTTTAAATATTGCATACGACTGCACTGATTCTATCTCCCCTCATTGATCACGTTTGTCATAATGACTACTGACTGGATAGAGTTCATCTCTTTTTATGCATCATGTTTGTTTTTCAGTTTCAGTTTCATTTATTTCTCCTCAAAAGATCAACAGATAAAAATACATATATAAACAGACAAATGTATGACAATACATGAGATAGAATTATAAAAGTGAGGAGGGCAGTGGCCAAAAAGAAAACAAACCTTGTAAGAGGCCAACCCTTTAAGAAGACAAGATATACAAAACATCAAAAAGGAACACAAGATAAAATAAGAAATGAAGTACCTACCGGTAACCTATTACAAACTAACTATTTTGTGATGATGGCTCTTGACTAGATTGCCTTTTGGTTTATTTTCAGGTCTGGCAATGGACAGGTACACCCATTTTACATCTCCAATACGCAGATATGCTGATATTATTGTAAGTATGGCAGTAATTGAAACAGAAAAAGAAAATGAAAAGATAAACTTGCAAAAATTTTGACCCAATTTAATTTTATTCTATATAATTTTTTGATCTTTTTTGACATACATGTATGACTAAGAAAGCAAATACGGATTGCAAAGTATATCAGAAAGATTAAAGATATTGTATAAGAAATTTGCATGTTCCATTAGGTTTGTACTTCTGCTTTTTTTTAATTCTGCACAGTTGGTCATCTACATAAAAAAAACTATGTAGAAGTAGTGAATGGTATTTGTGTAATATTATTAGCCCTACATAGATTGAATAAAAAAGGTAACTGTACATATGATTCTGTTGGAGAATCAGAGGTTTGTTGGCTAATACTTGGTATGTGCAAACTGTACTAGCTTCTCAGTTAGACGTACATGTATATGCCTTGTAAGATGTCAAACTTGACCTGTCTTATGCACTCCTGGTACTTATGCTTAATGTATCCAAAGTCTTTAGCACAACATAGATTTAGAATGATGATATGAAAGTATACTCTGCCATATGTGGGTAATGCTATGGATGAAACTTACATATATTCACCTGTAAATTGATTAATTTTCATTAATTGTTACTTTGTAGGTGCATCGTCTGTTGCTTGCAGCTGTTGAAGAGGAACGAGAAGCAGAAATTGGGTTACTAAGCAACCAGAATCTGCAGGAACTCTGTCGACACCTGAACAAGAAACATAGAGTAAGTATGAGAATTTGTTTAATGGGCAAAAGTCCTAAAGCTACCAGGGTACATAAGCTACACCCCCACAAGTATGCACAATACAACTTTGTAGGTGAATGAGCAACGAGAATGTCATAAAGGCTTACCAAATATGTTTAGAAATGTTTGTATATTACTTGCCATGTTATCAGTAGTTTTAAATTGACAGAAGTGAAATTCACATTAGCTGCAAATTCAAGATTTGCATTTATTTATTACATGTGCACAGCTGATGGACCTTTAATTTTACATGAGCATTGAAAATGACATGAAATTACGCGCTAGTGACATTTGTCTGTTGTTATTTTTGTTCTACTATAGTTAGCTTCAGAAAATGTAGAACCAATATCAACAAAAGAAACACTTAAAACACTAAATGAGAGAACTTTCTGGCCATAGAAGAAAAAAAGTGCATAGCATAATGGACTCCCTGTGATACAATTACCAGCTGATACATGTATCTTACTTTGTTCAACATTTTTGTTGAAATTTATGTGTGTGTGTGCGTTTGTGTGTTGTAGAGGGATGTAAGATGCGTTCCTAATTACCAAGACTAATTTGTTTGATGTTTTTTTTTTCCAGGCTGCACAGACTGCCCAGAAAGACTCACAGGAACTGTTTCAGGCCATGTTTTTTCAGGATCGAGACGCACAGGATGAAGCATGTATCGTTGATGCTGTCATTCAGAACCTGAGGAATAATGGCATCCTGGCTTATATTCCAAGGTAGGCAGAGGGATCCTGCATGTTCCTTCCTCCTAACGCAACTACGTTATTTGGCACCAGCTACAAGTATATTTAGCACTTCTGGTTCCCATACAGATACAATGGGTTGAGAACTGAAAGTCCAATAGAAATGATAGTTTTGGAACCAATAAACTACAGGTAACAGATTATGATGGTGCCTACATAGATCTCATTTAATCACCGAGGGAGTTCATGAAACCTGAACAATAGTCGAGTAAAATTTAGAAATTAGTTGACATTGCTGTACATTCTTTATGGATGCCGGAAGAAATCTTGTCTTATCGTCTTCCTCAGTATAGTATCTGCATATGTGCTGACCTGCACAGAGTGGGAAGAAGGTCGCCATCTACAGTTGAAAAATATACTCATTTGACCATGTAGTCAATATAAACAATGGAAAATGACTAGGAGTCAAGTGTGCTAATAACAAAATCATGTGAAGGGCTGTGGAACAATCACACCTTTGAATCTGTAAGGACTACATGTATCAAATATTATTATTTTCATTGTAATTTTGTATTCTTTTTATCCAGGTATGGTATTAAGGGAGCAGTTTACCTTCGAGACAAAGCTGGACTAGTTTGCGATACATCCATCCCACATCAACCGCAATGGGTACAAGGTATATATATCCACTTCTTTAATCATCAGAACATAGTCATATTGGCAAAAAATCATGAACAGTGATATACTTTGTTTATACCAGACGCACATTGACTCCTACATGCCTATCAAAATTTGTAATACTAAAGCCTTCATTGTCGCGCCTAATGCACGTTTTCCTGTATTACCTCTACTCCTTTGAGGCTTGCACACACACACACATAACAAAAACACAGCTTTTTTGTGTGTTTATATACTGGATGAATGGTAAGTGGGGATGAAAAAGGTATCTGAGTGCAACAAAAGTCCCATGCATACCAGTTCTCACTTTACTTTATGATACAAAAATGTAGAGTGCTGTTCACTTATTAGTATCCTTAAAAAAATCACTGTGTTAAACAGCAGTGGTTTATTGTGGCATACATATGCAAACAAGCCTTACTAGTAAGAGGATCTAAAGGGACTTAATGATAATTGTCGTCATAGATTCTATTTCAATATCAGTGTTTTCGACGGGCCTTTCAATCATTTGATCATAATTTGATTGTGTGTTTCTCTCTCTCTGTCTGACAGGTTCTCTCTCAAGATCAGAGTTTGCTATCACTGTGCAGGGAGGGGGACACGTATCCACATACCAACTCTTTGACCACATCACGGTGAGTTCAAACATTACAGAGTTTATGACCAGGGGGGCGTTTCACTAAGCCTTTTTTCAATGACAAATGACAAAAATCAGTGACAAATCTGCTGATAACCAATCAGAAGCAAGGATTTCAGTAGCTTATAACAAAACCTGTCATTTTTCGCTGATGACAAGTTTTGTGAAAGGCCCACCAGGTTCAATTTGTCCTTTTATTTATTTATTTATTTTATTTATTTCTAATCTTTTGTCAGGGTAGCCCGTTCACCTTCAAGTAGTGGTCTTCCATGGGGCCCTGCATAAACATGAACATATTTACATCGTTTATAACGTTTATACAAAACAGTTTTGAAAACAGACTCATTTGCAAAATAAACATATATCATTAACCTATTAAACAGTAATGTCAATAGGAAAATATTGATTAAGTCGCAATTATGTGAATAAGTCATGTTAATATTACAGAACATTATGTCCTTCAGAATGTCCTTCAGAATCAGTATGAATATTTTCCATGCAGTAGAAGTCCATATGTATATGATACAAATTTTCAAAAGGAGACTTAAAAGCTTTCTTCTGAATAGTTACCTGGCTATTGCATTCCCCAATCAAATATAATTTGTAGTGTGACTTCATGCCAATTTGATTGTTTCTTTTTATAAACATGTATGTATTTATCAATGTTTTGCATTTAAAAGTGATTTTTTTTTTTTTGTATTACTGAATCAGTTATTGTTATTATTGTTGTTTTTGTTTTTTTTCTCATAAAATAATAATTCATGATAATAACTTTTACAGGGGGGCTTACACCCTACAAGCTCTGCTTTTTAGTTGGCCCTCCTTCCCTTTCAATTTCATGTTTATTTTTTTAATGTATTGTATTGTGCAAATTGATCTATATGTATAGAAATATGTGAATATGTTAAAATGTACCATCATTGTAAATAGGAACGATTGAAAGAGGAAAAATAAATGAATTGAATTGAATTGAATTGAATTGAATATATTATCATCCATCCTGTGCATAAGCAAACTCAATTTTACTTATGATTGTAGAGAGACATCGTGTCTGCTAGAATTTCAATGCACTCAGTGATAAAGAAATTACTAAATGGATTACAGTATCTTTTATATTGCAAAGTTGAAAGACTGGTTGAAATATGAAAGTTCCCAAGATGGGTAAGCCTAGGAGCTACTGAAATGCCCTATTACTGTGGCTACCTACATGATATACTAGCAATCCAACCCTTTTAGAGTAGTCTGTTAAGTTTGAATTTGTTAAGTTTGAAAAAAGTCAGCCTAAGGCACAAGGTCAGATTGGCAACTAATACAATTGTTTCATGTTTAAAATATTCTAATTTTTGTTTGGATGATATCCCCTAGCAGATTCGATTAGAAATTTAAAAATAAAGTTTTTTACAAGGCTGAGTAAGTAAATGAACACAAGAATGATTTGATCTGATTATACACTTGTAGGTTGGTATACGAGTTCAAAGCTCCAGAGCTCACCCACATTCACTCAGATTGGAGCTACTAGCATCAGAGCCTCATAATGCTGGCCTGCAGACTGATGGACTAGGCAGCACACTCAGGACTAACATTGTACAGGTATGACTAGGCAGTACACTCAGGACTAACATTGTACGGGTATGACTAGGCAGTACACTCAGGACTAACATTGTACAGGTATGTCTAGGCAGATTTGTCTATGTACCATTCCACTTTATATTTCTATTTTCATATGTATATGCCTATTTATTTTGATAATGTAAGTTTTCTTCATTTAATTTGTGTATGTTAATTATGTTAAGTGCATGAATACTGTATGAATACTAAGCACTATATAAATTATTATGATTATTATTATGTAATTATTACTTCTTATTGTATTTTCATTATTTTCTGTTACCATATTAGGAGGTGAAGTCGCTGAGTGATGAGAGCCCGTTTTCATCGATAACCCTGCAGGACCAAATCAAAGTCTTAGGATCCAGCCTTCCTGTACTACACAGACAGTATGGACAGACTGATGGAAGCTTCTACACCATGTTTCAAGACTTCTCTCATATGAACTTAAAAGAGAAAGATTCATGACAAAAATAATAATTATAATAAAACAGTGCTTATGAAGTGCTTTCCACTTAAGTCTCTATAAAGCGCTAACAGTATGGGCAGACTACTTCTATATCATGCAAATATACATAATGAAGGTAAAGTAGAAATCTTTCATTTGTTAAAGATGATGATGATGATGTATACTATTTTCAGAATGTCCAATTGTGGCCTTTACATGCCATTTTTGTCTCGCCTGCATAGCAAAAAGCGAGACATAGGCGCCGCTTTTCCGGTGATGGCGACGGCGGCGTCAACATCAAAAACTTAACCTAAGGTTAAGTTTTTGAATTTTTGATATAATTTTTTAAGTATAGGTTCTTAGTCAATGAAACTTTGACTATAGGGTAATCAAGTATCCCCAATCATGTGAGTAGAATTTCAGATCACAAAGTCAAGGTCAAAGGTCATTTCAGGTCAACAGACTTGGACTATGTTGTAGCATCATCATCGAAAACTTAACCTAAGGTTAAGTTTTTGAATTTTTGATATATATAGACTTTGTTGTGGCATCAACATCAAGATTTTCAAAATGCTTCTTCTTCGTTATTTTTCAAACGATTTTGATTCTGATTGTTTCATATGATAGGGCTAGGAGGGGGATTTAAAACTTCTACACAAAATCGTGAAATTCATTATCTATGCTAATTTATGCAAATTTATTCGAAATCACAAAAAATGCTTCTTCTCCTTCATTTCTTGACCGATTTTGATTTGGTTTGCTTTATCTGGTTAGCTAAATTTGGAACACTAAACTTCTACACAGAATTTTGAGATTTTGCTCCATTGATTAATTATGGTAATTTATGCAAATTTATTCCAAAAATCACAAAAAATGCTTCTTCTCCTTCATATTTCGACTGATTTTGATTTGGTTTGCTTTATATAGTAGAGCTAACTTTGATACACTAAACTTCTACACAGAATTTTGAAATTGTTCTCCATTAATTAGTTATGGTACTTTATGCAAATGAAATGAAATTATGTCCCTTCCAGGGCATCAAATTTTTGTTTTTTTTGACCAGTTCAAAAGTGTACCACATAAATTTTCCGATATTTGTTGTTGCGAGATGCGGATGAGCGCTACGTCATTGACGTTCTGGTTTATCATATTGAATTGCGTTATGCAGGCGAGACCGCCGAGAGCGTTTCCCTTGTTATCGATAATAAGGTGCCAAGATATAAGTGATCCATTATGAAATATGTGCCATGTTTTCGATATAACCTATTGACTCTTATTCATCTAAGGCTAAATAATAATAATAATGACTGTTTCTTATAAAGCCATTAACTGGCCAAAATGCTTACAGTATTAAATGGCCAAAATGCTTTTACAGTATTATTCTTACCCTGGTCACTGCATTCAATTACTATTTTGCACATTACAGTGCACATCTTCTGCTCCCTGGGGAGCATTCCAGCTGGTCGCTTGAACATGCTAATCCAACCCTAATGATGTTCAGATCCTACCAGGTAGGCCTACCCATTTAACACCTGAGTGGAGAGGAAAAATGTAGAATGCCTTGCTCAAGGACATATAAGTGCCATACTGCACTCGAACCCAGGACCTTTGCATTTCCAGTCAAAGGATTAAACCACTAAACTAAACACCCCTAAAAAGGGGGGGGGGGGGGGCTCGGAAAACATGGTTGCTAGAGGCAATACATTGAAATCAATGGACATGATCATATACTTGTTTTGATGAAATTAAAGGTTAAAGCTGCTATCTGACATCCAAAATAGATTTAGGTATGAAAGTAGGTTTATCAGTAGTATTTAATTTTTTTTCAGTTCAAACTAAAATGATTCATGAACATTTTCAGAAAACTTTTCCAGGTGATAAGTACATGTTTATTTTGCCAGGATGCCCTTTATAAGATATATACTTGGATTACCAGGATGGTGTTTGCACATAATATAAAGTCGGCCGGTGTTTTGAGATTAACAAGGGTTATATCATATATTCTGAAATTTTATAAATGGTAAACGAAAGTTATATTTGTTAATCATGCCTATGATCAAATGGTTAGTCTCCTAGCTCTCACCTCAGTACACAACCCCCAAAAGTAGAAATAAAGATAGTTTACCATACAGAAGAAACTGGGATGGATAAACGAAATCAAGTTATGGAGCATGTTAGTGAAGAAGGATGTCTATTTTTATTGTCACCTGCAATATATCTGTCTTTCTAATCTCACAAAGTGAAAATAATTTAAAAGATAATTTAAATCATTATAAGGCTTATATGAACCTACATTTGCATGTACATATATTTAGTTCCTGTTGGTTGTTTAAATTTATGGTGAAAAATTAGAACGATCGACAAGTACGTGACAAGATAGATCTCAGTGCATTTATAGTGGATGATAACTTGACGATACTGTTAAGGAAGTGTTATCCATGGAGAAAAAAGTGTACTTGATTAGTCTGATAATCTTTTGGCTTCTATATGGTTGTTATATATATTTGATACTTCTTGTAAATATTGTATAGAAAATGTGAATAAATCAATCAATTTCAGAATTTAAATGTATTTTGTGCATCCCTTTCTTAATTATCCATGCTTTTTGCTTGTTTATTTTTTCTGTTTGTTTTTCCTTATTCTCTGTAGGAGTTATATACTAAAAAGAAGTTTATTAAAGCTTTCTTTAACATAATACATTTCTATCAACAAGCATATACACACTAAAGTTTGTAGATGATATAGGTGAATTGTTGGCTTTATCGGCTCACTACAAAAAATAGTGAAAAGGAAAAATAAAGAGCCGCAAAAAAAGAAAGGATATTGTGGAATTAGAGAAAGAGGAAATGAGAAAGAGGAAGAAAATTAGGAAGGAAGAAAATTAGGAAGGAAGAAAATTAGGAATTAAGGGAGAAAATATCAGAATTAGAGAGAGAAAGAGAGAGAGAGAGAGATCGATCAAGATATATTGCACCTAACTAATTTAGGCCTATCACCATAATTCTTGCTCCCTAGGCCTACTTAAAGGCTTTTAAAATTTAACTGAGTATACATATAACATATGATTGAGAGACATGTAGTATATGCACCTCTCAAAAATAATTATGTCCTTGTTTTGTAGGTGCTTCCCCTCGATCCCCTTTGAAAAAAGTTCCATCCACAAAGTTACACTTTGCCACCGAAATTAACCTTATAATAGTGAAATAGTCCCTAAATATATAAACACTGGGCTTAGATCACTTCCAATGATCAATGTCCGTTCCCGTGTCCGTTACTTCTGATCAATAAGCTGCTATTGTATAAGCATTCGTTCTCCGACGACACATCGAAATCAACAAAAACAAACGGAGAGCTAGAGGTGTACCCACGTGTGGAGCTATAGATAGCTAGCTATCGCGCGCTATAGCTAGATCAGGTTCACCTCCCTGGCTAGGTATAGGCGCTAGATTGCGAATAGCGGATTTGTCATTGGCGTTGCGCTTGCGTGTATTGCCAATACTGCTGTATTGACTTCATGGCTCAGCCTCAGGTAGGTATCGTAAAACTAATGTTTGTTATATTATTTGACCAAAATTATTTAAGCCAAATATGATTATCTACCAGAAGTAAAGACAAGGATTCACGATGTTTGTTTTTCTAGTCCAGTCACGTTGTGATAATTGAGTTATCGTAAATCACGGAAACTTGACAAACTAAAGACAGTTTCTTAACTTCAGTCCCATGTGTGTGAATACACGTTATGTAACAGGACAGGTAATTTCATCTCTCTGCACATGCACTCTGCAGACAGATGAATTATAATTAAAATGTTATGAATGGGTGTTTGTGAAATCTAACCGTTTTTCTGCTTTTCGAAAATTACTATTATTAGACTAGCCTAGATCTACTAGACTATCATAGATCTAGATCTAGATTCTAGTCTAAGTAACAAAGTGGCAACGCAAAATGTTTTATTTGTGTATCTAGACTAGACTGCGTGTGTGTGCGTGTATTAGCATTTCTGGCACAACCAACAGTAGGGACGCTGGCACAATAATGAGGATCCTCCTCATAAGTGAGGATATCTATGTGGAAAAAATAAGGATTGTCTGCATTTTCGTGGCCTTTTTTTTTGCGCTCTGCAGGTTTTTTGGGATCCCGAACCGTGCACTGGCTGGTTAATAATAACCCCAGTTCACCGTCTACTTTTATGGGTTGTCCGTCTTTCACAGATTTATTGCTCATAACGTGAAAGTCTCTTTACAAAGTCAAATTTAAATCAGAATCGTATAATAATATTGTCTGTGTGTGGCCTATAATACTGCTGCTATAGGGAAGGTTGACAAATATGTTTGCCTTTTTACACTAATCTTGACATGTCATGATATGAAACTACCTGGAAGCTACCAGGATAGATTTTTCTTTTTCATTTTGACAACATATTTTGATTACCAGGGTGATTAAATTGCATTGATGAATAAAACATATGGTTGAAAGGTTCTCTTTGATTTCTTTTAGGACAACAAAATGGCGGAAAAATCATCCGAAGAATGCAGGATACCGGAGGAAATCAAGAAGTCTGTGCGAGCTGTCCTCTTGTCCAAGATTGGAGGGGTGCCACTGGAAAGCTTTTCTTCTGACTTCAAGAAACTTGCAGGCTACCCACTTCGTTTCAATAAGCTTGGTTTCCCAACCCTCAGACAATTTCTAGAAGCCATGCCAGATCATGTTAGGTAAAATAAATGTGAGATGTGAAGAGACAGAGATGTGGAAAATATAGAAGAGATGTAAATAATTGTAAGAAACATAACTACAAAAATATTTAATCATACCATTGCAACCAATACCACTTACGTTGATACCAATTTATAAGTGATATAAATTGTTCATATGATGACAGTGTTGAAGGGGAAGTGAAGGGGGGGTGGGGGTGGGGGTGACCATGATGTGTGTTACATAATTGTATCATAGAGAAGGAGTATTGAAGCTTGTAGTAGTTCTAGCTTGTCTGCCTGTCTTTCCTTTTTGATTTGCTGTTTTTGCAGACGTCACAGCTATATACTTTTTAGAAATTTATTAATGTCACATTACATTATATTTGTTTAGGTTTAATTACAGTGATGAGGCATCAAAGTGGATGTTGTATGGGATAGGGGATCCTAATTCCTACATGAGCTCTGCAGCAAAGAAAGCACAGTTCTCAAAGCCTGGTGATGGTGAGTAAAACAACAAGGATATTCTTGACATTTTGTTGTTGTTGAAACTAACTGATCTTGAGTATATCGAGAACCCCTAGTTAAAAAGTTGAACAGGTGGCAACAATATTTGTGTAATGTATGATGAGGCTGTGCACAACCGTGTAATGAGGTACCCGAGTACACTCCCAGGCTTACAAGCGAATACTCTAATATTCGGACGCCATGTTTTTTTAAATTGAAAAAAAATATATTTTTCATATTTATTTTATTTTTTGCCACCACCATACCACAAGAGCAGTTTCCCAGTTCCGTCTCCGAAAACTCATGCAATTTTACTTCGAGTTGCAGTTGAAGGCGCCGATTTCATAATAATAATAACAGCAAACAATGCTGTTTTAAAAACCAAAGGTGGCAGAATAATCCATTTTCCTCCGAGTCCAAACAAAAATCCGGAAATTTGGTCCCAGTTTCTGAGTGGTGAGTTCGAAAATGATTGAGCTGGGAAACATTTTTATCGACGGTACCATGCCAGCGGCAGGCGCTCTCCCTGGTACGGGTAAGCGTCTGCCTGGACAGTGCCATGTGATTTTTTTTTTTTTTGCGGCCGAATATTCGGGTACGAGAAATCGTACTCGAGTAGTTGTCAACAGTGCGGGTACTCGAGCATTCAACTACTCGTCACAGCCCTAATGTATGATCTCCTTGGGGGTGTTTCACCAAACCTTAAAAATCCATCCGATCAATTGTAAGGGCCTAAAATTGATTCGATTTTAGGCCTTGATTCATTCAAAAATAAGATTGATGTTGCTTTAAAAACGATTTGATGAAACAGCTCACAAGCATCATTTATAGGCTAAAACTGATTCGGCCTTAAAAGTTGATCAAACACCCCCCTGGTCAACAATCAAGGTGACATGGCATTGGCTAATCTCTTTTACATTACATACATTACCTGTTTGGTAGGACAAGCCATTATGTTTGTCCAACCTAGCAACCACCAATATAATGGCTCGTTGCTAAGTAGACGTTACAAAAAATGGAATTCATTTTGAAAATGGTCTATTCAATTATTTCATAGCATGAAACTTCTGTGAATATGGATCATTCTCAAAGTTTGCGAAATTCTCTCTTGATACTGTGCTATGTTATGGTTAAAATTCACATTTGGTTTTCTACTTCTACATTTTTGTTTGATTTACAAAAATCCTTTTTTCCTTTGAAACAGGGACAAAGGAAACCAGAAAGAGGAACAGAAGAAAATCCCCAAAGTCAAACAAAGACAAAGGTAAATGTTGCATGCGTACATTGCAGTACCGGTATTAAATACCTGTATGTACTAGTAGTATGTAGTGATGTAGTCAAACGTTTAACCGTCCGGTATCCGACCGTCCATGGCGGATTCCGTTTTCCCTTTTTTTTTTTCTTTTTTTTTTTTTTTAAAGTTTCGATTTATGCCCCTCCACCTGGCACTATGCCTGGCAATGTCTCCCAGCTCAGTAATCTGTGTGTTGACTTAGCACTCCGAAACTAGAACAACACTCCAATTTGTCTGTCATCTTGGTTTGAAAGTAATCATTGTAATAGATCTCAATATGTAGTTTATAATAATAATTCATCCAACTTTTACAAGGCGTACCACAAGGTTCTATCCTAGGTCCTCTACTGTTTTTAATTAACATTAATGTTCTTACACATTCTTCTAAAAACGACATTGTTGCTATTATTCACAAATTCACAAGCACAAATCGGCGCCTACAAATGCACCTCGCAGTTAAATGAAAGTCCTTCCAGCTCGGTCAACGTTTAACCGAAAACCGTCCGGTTAAACGGAATTGGAGATATCCGTGATGTTAAAGCACCAGTAGTATGTACAAATAAAGACTTTGGACTGTTAGTCGCTTCATGTGTGGATCTAATGACCTATCACACCTACTTGCAAAAAGTGAAACTGTTTCAACCCAACATAGAAAACTTTGCATAGATCTAATTAATATGTTCTGTCCTTTGTAGATTTTTGATGACTTCATTTAACAGATTGAAATGTAAATATTTGGGATAAGATACAGTATGAAGATACAAGTAATACTGTCTTGACTGCGCCGTGTTGATGTTCATAGTTGGTTAAATTTGTTGCCGTTTTTCTTTCTCCATTTGACCTTTGACTCCTGTCTAAATACTATGGCACTAACATTTCCCATTTTATTGTGATTGACACTCATGCTCTAATGTACATAGGTCCTGATGTATAATGATATCCTATTGTAACTAAAAAGACATAGAACATACAAAGAAACCAAAAAGATATAAGAAAAAGGAAAAGTAAGTAATTTCCTGTGTTAGGAATGACTGCAATATATTACAAGCAAAGGTTCAAGTACCCTGTAAATGGCACCTACAAGCCTTAGATTAAGCAGCCAGGAGCAAGGGGCAATTTATTTTTAAAAGTTGCCCCTTGCCCACGGGGATTTACCAGAGCAAGGTGCAATTTCTTAAGAACCAGGGGCAATTTTCCAAAAACAGATGACAACTAATTGCACAACTTAAATAAGTGCAAAGTAGTTAATTTCATAATGTGAATAGGGTCTACGATCAATTTAATAACTTTTTAATCTTAACAAGATCAACAGGAAAGATTGATTAAGAACATCAACTTGCACATTAAACAGTAACTCCAGGAAGCTCCAACACCGGCGACGGTGTTGGAGCTTCCTGGTGTTATTTAAATAGTAGATCTAGACTATTTTAAAGTAACTAAAAATATTGATGAGCAAATGAATAGACACACAAACCTTCCGCCTCACTCTCGGCAGTAGGAGCCAATTTGAAAAAATTATCTTTTTAATTGTTGTATAACCAAAGAAATAGGAAGAAAACTGACCAAATATTCGTACTAAAAAGTTGCGTAACGTGTGTTCTCAAAACCAAAATCGTACCTCGCACACACACTCTCACTATACCACGAATGGTCCGTCGTGGGATCCTAGCGGGCTAGAGTTTGTCAACAAGACCAACGCACCTTTGGAGAGTCGCAGCGCGCGCAATTTAACCGGGACTCGTGGGAAGCTGGCCGGCTAGCTTTCTGCCACAACAATGCTAGGTCGGCTGCTGGCAAAATGAGAGTAACTACGATCGAAAACATCGTAGGTGTTCTTAACTTATCAATAGGAGAATTATTAATTCTATTTGAGATGAAATAATAAACTAGATCTGCAAACAAACCTCGACAGATCTCTAATGACTATTTGAATGCTTGTTTATTTCTCCATTTGACGATTTGTTTTCTTGATCCTTTGATACATTTGTACGAATGTACGTGCGTGCGCCATCGCCACAACATTTTAGCGATCGCCTGATCTGAACGTACGTACCTAGTGCGCTATAAGGGCGCATTTTCAGTAGTAGAGAGCTCTTGCGCGGAAAACTGTTCGTGATCCCGAATCACGAACAGTTTGCCACGCGAGCTCTTTACTAGCTCCGTATTTAGTGATTTTATAAGGCGCAAGTGTTTCCGTGAAAATGCGCCCTTTACGAATCATTTGTGTATTTTTTCTGTTCTAATAATTTATGGGCGCATTTTCACGGCAAACACTTGCGCCTTGCCGTCTAGTTTTAGATGATTATGGGCGCAATTGGTGGTTTTATGAGCGCAAATTTGCGCCCTGCGCCCGCTTATTCAAAGGCTTGGGCACCTAACTTGATTCCTAGTGCAAGACATTAATCTATACTTGCTACCCTTGACCCATTTTTTAATTAAATTGGTACCTGGTTGAATTCAGTTGCATTGATATTAAACACAGCTAATGCCAGGATAATAAGTTCCAATGCACCTTGGGAACAAATAATTATATTTTATCATAATTTGATGTGAACTATCAGAATTTTAAAACTATTTATGCAATGAAGTGATTGAAACAATGAACTGGATGATAGAATTGTATTACTCTTTGCTCATTGAAGAAGTGTCGTAGTGTAAAAGTCCCCAGATTGTGAACGACAGGGTGCAGGTTTTGAATCCCTACTTGCGGCATTAACATCCATTGGCAAGACATTCAAGATAAACTTGAGTTCTGGTAATGATAGAAAATAAATTCTCACAGAATCCACACAAAAATTACACTGAATGTTCAAGATTACAAATAAATGACATGCACTAAATGATTTTGGTAGAAAATGTATAGGGGCCGAGTAATAAGCATAGAAAGTGAGAAACATAAGGAAAACAAGGTAAGTAGACTCAACACCATGTCCTTTACACAGGTCACTATGTGCAAATGAGAGTTGTGGTTTTTATTGAAGATGATTTCCGGCAAGTTTTTGTGAGTTTGTTTTCATTTTACTGGTTCAAACAATCAATCTACTGCAGGGTAAACAATCCAGAACGAATTATAGCAGAGATGCCAACCCTCCCGATAATTCACCCCAACTCCCGACCTTACGATCACCATCCTTATCCTCCCGATTTATTAAAAAAAAAAAAAAAAAAATGATTTTTTTTTTTTTTTTTTTTTTTTTTTTTTTTTTTTTTTTTTTTTTTTTTTTATTATGATTTTTTTTGGAGGGCGCTTATCAGTATATATATCTGTGAATTGAAAGAGAAATATCATCTGCTAACTTAAGCATGTAATAATTCCACTATGTTAAAAGACAAATTAAGAGTAGCGAAAGATTGTTTCAGCATATGGATCGCCGTAACCAATGCGTGGATATTGCCACAGAATCCAAATGGCGGAAAATCAGCAAAATAAGACCAGGAAATGGTCTCGGAAGTATAAGACCGAATACAGTATCAAGTACCTGTGTAATCGGAAGTCTGAAAGTAATTCATCATGCATTTTGTACAATTTTTATGTTATTTAAAAAAAAGGGGGAATTATTTAACTAAATACACATGTAAAATGCTCCAAAATAAGGCTCAGATTGCACCAGAGAGCATCTAGAACCCCAGAGCTTCCAGGGCCCTAAGGCGGGCCCTGGACCCCGGCCGCATGTGTCGGGCGCTACGCGCTCGAGATGTGCGCTACGCGCACATTAATTGGTGTCGATTACAAATCCTCCCTATTTCTGATTTCCAAAAGTTGGCATCTCTGTTATAGCCATGTTCTCTAGAGCATACGATTCCCATACCAGAGCTCAAGATTAGCTTTAATGTACATTTATCATTCTCCACCTTGGTGTTAAACAGGTACCAGTAGGAAGGAATTCCTAGAATGCTGTGAGTAGCTAAGTCGGTACCTTCGCTAAAGCTAGGGGTATTCAATACACCTGAGCAGTGAGCACCTTGGGTGGTGGATATGAGCACTATAATTATCCAATATTATTATTATTATCGCAGGAGAGAATCGCCTTGCCAAAGAACAAAATCTATCACAAAATTCAAACACCGATCAGAAAGCTGAAGGACTCAGAGTATCACGCAGTCATAGAGGATTATTCTCAGTATGTGTATTCTATAGCGGAAAGCTGGGTGACAACAAACACATAGTAATGCAGGTTAGTGCCCATTCTCATTCATTTGGAAATCATGTTTGTTTTTATAAGCTCTCAAAATGCTTATGTTCTATCATTTGACAGATATTTGAAGAGTAAAAGTCACCTGAAGAGAATAATTTGTGTATTGTTGGAATGTATAAAATCAACCTCAATTTTGTTTATCTGGCTTTCTATAGATTACGCTAAGGAGCAATTGGCATTACTCCATATTCTCAATTCTGTGTGAAATGTACCAAAAACTTATCTTTCCTTGCATTTGCAATGCTCCAGATATGAATATTACATCATTTTTGTGATCAGGAGGATTGTGGTTTATAATTTTTCAATTCCTCACATCATAAATAATTATGGTATGCAGTTGTTGCTTTGTTTTATTTCATCATAAAATGCATTTTTGTTCTTTTAACAGGAAGTTGTTGAGTTATTTGCTACCCAAGGAGATGTGATAGAAAAGTCCGCTGTAAAAAAGTAAGTTAGAAAACAAGCTACCCTCGTGACACAAAATTATCATGAAATATAATGCAATTTGCTTTAAGAACATGAAACAATTTATTGGAATAAAAAGCAATCATGACAACGTTCTGCACTTTCATTTTGTTGAGGTTAGTCATTTTTAAATTTTTGAGTATGCAACTTGTACTTGGTATTTCTTGTAAACATTGTTCTTGACCACTGTATGACTTGGCAAGTATGTACCTTAGCATATAGTTGCCATCATTTCCATAATGGAAATATCCCCAGATATATGATTGCTACATGTTTGTCTTTCTTTGCCAGGGCCTGTGTTTTTTTTTAAAGATGGATGAGCAAATAAATGACATTGGATGAGAGAATTTGATATGTTAGAATTGATGTAGTTAGGGGGCTCATTTTAACCTAGCAGTCAATGATGTACTGGCAATACATCTGAGCACAGGGCATTTTCAAATATATCACAACATATGCAATTAGGGATGAAATATTGTGGTTCAACGTTACCATCTGTCATAGGAAATGTGTGAAGGATTGTACATGATGGTAACCACATGGAGGTTCATAGGGGTCCTGGAAAAGGAAACAGTTTTCTTTTTCTTCAAACATAAATCCAGTAACCTTTCTTTGCAAGCTACAAAAACAATAGTTATTGTAGTAATTATATTTTCATTTTGTTTGTTTATCATTTTGAATAATTTAATATGAAATCCTAAAACTATTGACTTGAACTTTTAATACACATCTGTTTGTACTTCAGTTTTTAGCATTTGTATTGCAATTCACTACATGATCAGTTTAATAGTCAAAGTAATATGTAGACATGTATTATTAAAGTTAGGTGTCAATGTAAATATTAAAGATATACCGTTTAATAGAAATGAAGAGATCTGTTAAAGGGAGAGGGTCTTCAGTTTCCATGTGCAGAAGCCATAATTCACTGACACCAGATGGAAATACCATTAATGGATGTCCAAGTCTGCACACAGCAAACCAGAGGTCCCATCAAAAAATCCCCCCTAGTCTCTCGGAGAGTCTTTGGATGAGGCAACTGTAAGATAATGACTTCACCATATGGGGGAATGGGTGGAAAATGCAAAGAATTACATAAGGCCTAAAAAAAAAAGTTGTATTGCCCTTTGCAACCGACCACAAAATTTTGAAATCTACGATCAGCTTTTTAAAAAAAGTTTTTTTTGTTACCTTTTTTTAGAAAAAAAAATGTATTAAAGCATTCAGAACTGGGAATTATCAGCCAAAAGAGGGAGTTTAAAAAAAATTAAAATTTCTAACCGACCGACCCATCTTTTGGCACCTAATGGACAATACAACATTTTTTTTAAGGCCGAAGGCTAGTTGGTCTTAAAACTGAAGACTAATCCTGGTGATTGACATCACCTGTTATTGGGCAAACATCCGAATCGAGAGCCCGCCTCTCTGTGTCTTTAAATGAATATTAATTCTACAGTTAGACTGAATCATTTCTACATTTTCTTCTTGTTCCCTCCAGCTTGATGTTCTTCAGGTTTCTGAAGGAAGAGGAGGCTATCTCGGTCATCAAATTATACAATGGACGTTGTCTCTCTGATGGGAACCCAATCAGAGTCCAACCGGCTACAGAAAAAATGGCTTCTCGGAACAAATCTGAACGTCCTCATGGGAAGCCTTCCCAGTATGAACAAGGAGGGGAGCAGCAGCAACATTTGCAGCACCTCATGCAGCAACACAATCAACAACATGAGCAAATACTAGCACAACATCAGATGCTGCAACATTATAATTGTGAGCCGTGGTCTCCAGATACATACCAGTACCTGCAACCGCATATAGGTATGCAAGAAGCATACATAGGAATGCATGGAGAGCCGTTCTCGGAGGGGTATTCTGACTACAATGGTTTTGAAGGTAAATTTTGTTCTCACTTAAAAAATAGAGGATGGAGCTAAACTCCAATTTGAGCTTATAATGGAGTTTACTGAATCACATGTCAAACATGATATTTGGCTTTCTGTGTACCGTACATTTTTTTCATTAAATATATGTTCATTGTTGTAGGTGCCAAAAACTGCCCAAACCATGACATTGCTAACTAATAAAGAAGTAACATGTTATCTAAGATTCAAAACAGTGATATTAGCTTATGAGAAAATATGTTTTCTTACCACTAATACAACTAAAACAATTCTTGTTTTAGTGGCATTTGATGTGATGTTGATTCTCAGGCTTTCTCATATTTCAGACAGTGTTGGAGTAAGTGCAAGTGCTGTAGTGGAGATTTGTGTGCTTAATCTCACCCAAGCAGTCACAAAAGTAAGTGAAATTTACTTAATTCTTTGTATTTTACCAACTTAAAAGGTATCCGGTCACTTTGTCTCAGATCCTGAAAAAAAATCCTGGATTTAGCTCATACTGCAATGATAATTATAAACCTTTAGGTCAGTCAGGAACTCCATGACTTTTACAAGCGGATCGCCTGTCTGATTATCAAGATATTTATGATTGGAATTACAAATTATGAAAACCGTTTGTTAAACGGTTTTCATAACACTACAGTCTATTGGGGAAAATGAGTATGGTAAAACCGGTCACTCAAATATTTTTACTTTTTGAGGCACTTCTTGATCATTTTGAAGCGCAATTTTTTTTAAGAGCTTCAATATTACTCCATATCACAGACACTGATAACACGTAGGGCCGTGTATCTCAGATTTAACATTGTTAAACAATCCCTTTAAAGCATTGGAAATATTACGATATTTTTTTGTTTGTTTAATGGTCCTTGTTCGTTAATGCTCTTTTTTGCCTTACATTACAGACTGAAAAAGAGATAATACACAAACTGAACTTAATGAAAACACATATTTAGCTTTGTTTAATAACTATGGTGAGACAAAACACATTAAAAAAGTAATATAATGTATTTGTATGGAAGGGCATAAGGTTATATTTATGATGCACTTTATAGCACAACGAGATGACCAAGAAATTCAAGTTAAATTCTTTCCTTTTATTTCATTGCCTAATGACTCTGTAACAAGCCTTTTTGTATTTCTAAGAAATAGATTTTTCCCTTCAATACATGTACTTCTGAAAAATCTGAAAACATACAGCTGTTTATTAAAATAGAGATTGATTTCTTAATAGACCAAAAGGCGTAATGTTGTATCCGTTGGATAAAGCCATGTAACCAGTACGTGTTATCATTATTAAAATGTATACCCCCAACCTTAAAGGTACTATAATAATAATAATAATAATAATAATAATAAGATATTTGTATACCGCAAATTGCAAATTGCCTCTAAGCGGTTTAGAAGAAAATAGCTGATAAGTAAAGGAAACAGAATTTGCATTACAAATTATATCAATTTAAATTACCATTAAAAATTTGCCCATTGTCCCATTTGCAGGCCCACAAAATGAAATGGTTAAATTCCAACTGCATTTGAAAGATAATACTAATTTAGAACTTCTCTTACAAAAAAAGGGGGCTTGAAAATGTCTTCAAGTGGGAAAATAACGACTATTAGTTGTTGAATCAACTTAAGAGCTATAGAGCCAGTAAGTAATAGTCTGATTTTCAGACCATTGTACCGAATGATTGTACGTTTTATGCTGCTCAAATATTCATTCAGTTTGATTTTGTCCATTACAAGAGTGGGTTATTGATGTAGACAAATGCTCATGTACCCTTTACAGCTCATTTTGTGTATTGTATTACCAAAGAAGAAAAAAGCCAGTCAGTCACTCAATTGTGTCTGACAGTGAAGTCTAGCAAGTAAACAGATTTCCTTGCATAATTTGAATATTAGGACACTGCTAATGTTCACAGATAGGACATACATGACATATTCATAATTCCTGCAAAGTTCTACAGAATTTGATGTTGGCTGCAAAAGGGACAAAGTATCTTTAACATGAGAAGACAAAACTAAACTTTAAGCCTTTGAAAATCAAGTGTGCTGCAAACCACGGCTCATCTAGTCTCAGCAATTAGACTGGGAGTTGGTGATAAGGGTAGCTAGCGAAACGTAACAAAAAGACGCCTTCAGTAGTAGAACCACATCTTTAGGATATGGAGCTGGTAAATGCAATTACCATCCCGATGAGGTTTAATGTAAGCCAAACTGTGATTCAGATATGTCAAAAAAGAATAATCAAACATCTTTTCATGCCACTACATATTTTCAAGCTACTTTACAGAGTACCAATGCCCCTATAAGAGAAAGAAAGTATTCTATTAGCTCCTGCCTGCAGCAGGTCCTCCTATGTGTAGAACTCATCCATCTCTTGTATATGTATATAGGAGGATCTTTTGTCTGTTTTCTGGAGTTTCAACCCACTGATGGTGAGACTACGTACTAAACAAGGTGATGGGAACAGAAGAAGGTTAGTTCTTTCTCTATATGAAGAGCTTAATATTCTGGCACAGTTTCTCTGTTAAAGGGAAGTCCACCCTGATATTAAATTGGCTTTAATAGAAGTAGAAAAATTAGAGAAACAATTCAGGGAAAGTTTGAGAAAAATCGCGCAGTGAGAAACGTGCAATGCTAACTAAATTTCCGTACCCTTTACAAATAAATACAATTTGACAGGCATATTCTTTGACATATTTCTTTTTGAGAATTGACAATGCTAATAAATAAAAGATTGGCTGCTAATTTCTTGGGTCTTCATTAAAACTATAGCTCATCGGTAATCTCGAGACTGCACTGTGACACTCGACTTTGTCTCGGTTCACAGTACAGTTTCGAGATCACCTTGGGCAACAGTTTTGATTGTGCCCCTCAAAGCAGCCAACATTTGTATACTATTCACTTCATGGGTAATATGCCTTCATTTGGGCTCCATGTTCATTCTGTGTACCATCACAGATATTGTACTTTAATCTTTGTGTTGTAGTCCAGTGGTTTAAGCACTTGACTTGATATGCAAAGGTCTTGGGTTTGATTCCGACACAACGCTTATTTACTTTAGGAAGACATTAATCATTAATTTGCCACTTCGTATCCAGGAGAGAAATGGGGACCTGGTAGGATGACAAAAGCCTTTGTGTTAGTAATTACCATATGCCACCTCGGTGACCATATGGTAGGAATATGCCCCCCCCCCCAGGGATCGGATATAGTGCATATTATATGTGAATGAATCTGATGAATTAGGGTAATAATATCTGTAAAGCGCAACAGAGACGGTATTTTGTATTAAGCGCTATAATTATCCAGATTATTATTAATGTATATTCCACATTTTTTCCTTTCTAGTTGCTTTGCCTTTGTTGCATTTGGTTGTCTTGTTGATGCTCACAATGCTCAAGCCAACATGCAAGGTACCTTTATCAAAGGCTGTCATCTTAAGATAGAAATTGCCAAAACCAAACAGCATCATCCGCAAGAAGAACAGGTCCCATTGCAGCAAGACAAAAATCTTGACAACCGGAAGCCAAGAACAGAGCGAAGTAAGTATCTTTATTCATTCGCTAATGTTCTTTGCCAAGATATTAATTGACTTAGCCATGTTTTACCTAGATGAGGTAAATTGGTACATGGTAAGAAGAAATTCCTTGAACGTTTAAGGGCCTTGTAGTAGCTTGCCAAAAGCCAGAGGGTGATCATGTGCATGCAAGGCCCTCAGGAAGAACAGTAATAATACTGAAGAGGCAACCCTGGATAAATAAGACTTATTAAGGTGTCCTGACAGACAAAGTGATACCAATGTGGAAGACAATTGTGAAAATAGCATGTTCACACACAGGGTAATAGCCGATATTGGATAATGCATTTCAATAGATTCCTCATCACATTATTTTGGTGGCAGATAGCGTAGCATCAATATCTGTCCTTGAGTTTTACCTATGCATCTTTGTATGTCACAATGCTGTTACCAATGTGTATCCTTATTGTAGGTCAATCAAGAGGTCAATCAAGAGACCACCGACACAGTAGCAGATCTGAAGATGAATCTAATGACAGCATTTCAGCTGAAATGGTAGTGAGTGACAGTTCTGACAGCCCGTCGTACATGGACAACAAGATACCAGTCATTGATGATTCGCCTTACTCTGCCAAAGCATCTCGTTTAGACGATACCTCAAGTTCTGGAGGCAGTGAAGGTTCTCCTGTTCCTAGTCAACCAGACGGAGGCATGATGATTGGTCAAGGGAGAGGATCGTTACACGGTCATGTATCGCCTTCTCTAGGGAGGGGTCTCGCTATGCTTAGTATAGGGACGGAGAAGAAGAAACCCAGACCAAGTCTGGCTGATTTGGTAGGCAAACTCCATGAACTGTGATGCCTCACAGTGCAGCTGACGGTTGTGGGTTTACTGGTATCATGGAGTGTGCTTTCACGATGAAACCCCCTCGCGGTTTAGAATGGGAAAACAATCAAGAATGCACTTGATTGGTTTGCCCTTACCTGAAAATCCTGCATAGTATTGTCATGACATAAGTAGGAAGAAGAGGAGATGTACTGGTATGCTCATAGGGGCAACACAGGGCCAATATCCTTACAATTATATAGTTTCAGGCTCTTGTGAGAAGGCCTGTACCAGCATATAGGAATGGCAGACTCCGAGACAATATGAAGTGTGGGTATTCCCCCTACTGACGTCCTTGACCAGTGTGTACAGCCATGCTGTATGTAAGTCTATTTCTCTTGCATACATTGGAATAGTGTACCATTAAAAGATGTTCTAGATGTCACCCCATTGGCTGAAAATTATCAAGCAGTCCTAAACCTTGCATTCAGATCGCAACAATTGATTCTTATGTCGTTGATATGCCAAGGTGGGGGTGTATATCATTCTACCAATCTAAACCATGATGTTATTGTTATGCCTCCGCCACCGAAGGTGGTGCCGGAGGCATCATGTTTTCGGGTTGTCCGTCCGTACGTCCGTACGTCCGACCGTACCTCCGTCCCGTTTGACCGTTATCACAATATCTCAAGAACCATTTAAGATCACCATAGGAAGACGATCTGATTAGATTTTGGAGTACGTAGGTCAAAGGTCACAGGTCACAGAGGTCAACTTATGAAATTCCTTGTATTGAGTTTGTTAGCGCGATATCTCAAGAACCGTTTGAGATTTAAACTTCAAACTTAAGGATAGTATGTATCACCATAGGAAGACGATCTGATTAGATTTTGGAGCACGTATGTCAAAGGTCAAGAGTCACAGAGGTCAACTTATGAAATTCCATACATTGAGATTGTTATCGTGATATCTCAAGAACCACTGGAGATTTAAACTTCAAACTTAGTGATAGTGTGTATCACTATAGGAAAACAATCTGATTACATTTTGGAGCACGTAGGTCAAAGGTCAAGGGTCATAGAGGTCAACTCATGAAATTTCATACATTGAGATTGTTATCATGATATCTCAAGAACCACTGGAGATGTAAAAACTTCAAACTTAAGGATAGTATGTATCACCATAGGAAGACGATCTGATTAGATTTTGGAGCACGTAGGTCAAAGGTCAAGGGTCACAGAGGTCAACTTATGAAATTCCATACATTGAGATTGTTATCATAATATCTCAAGAACCACTGGAGATTTAAACTTCAAACTTAATGATAGTGTGTATCACCATAGGAAGACAATCTGATTAGATTTTGGAGCACGTAGGTCAAAGGTCAAGGGTCACAGAGGTCAACTTATGAAATTCCATACATTGAGATCGTTATCGCGATATCTCAAGAACCACTGGAGAATTTTCACTTCAAACTTAATGATAGTATGTATCACCATATCATAATATCTCAAGAACCACTGGAGATTTAAACTTCAAACTTAATGATAGTGTGTATCACCATAGGAAGACAATCTGATTAGATTTTGGAGCACGTAGGTCAAAGGTCAAGGGTCACAGAGGTCAACTTATGAAATTCCATACATTGAGATTGTTATCATGATATCTCAAGAACCACTGGAGATTTAAACTCCAAACTTGTTTAAATTGCTCTATGGCGGAGGCATCATATTCGACTGCGCGCAGTCAAAATTCCATCTAGTTTATAGTGAGTCTATGTGCTTCATATTTTGGTCCAGAGCTGCTTCTTTCAAGCAGCAACGATGATATGCTGATCATGTTATCAAAAGTATAATTACTGTAGCTGTTATTAAAAGACAATCAAATCAGATAGGAAGCAGTAAACCACAGTGGTTCCTTTAACACGGAAATGAATAGCAACTGCGTTCACCTACGCCTATTCACTTAGCTCTGTGATGAAATACAAGATACGTGTAAGTGGATCAAACTGACATCATCTTTTTTAAAAAAGGTTGCTGTTTGCTGTGTGATACCTGATATAGGTCTCTGGGGTTCTCTCACATTGTGCTTAGAATCTGTAGTTTTACATGAGGGTTATCACAAAATTTCCATTGATTGAGACCCCCATTTATGGTTAACATTTATAAATGTGTACATTTTTTTTATCTGTATAAAATAGATTAATTTTTTTACAAATGGATTATTGCTGTAACGCCACATCGCATTGTAGTATTAACAGTGATAAGTTGAATTCATCTCATGCATGTATGAATGTGTAAGCACATCTCAAATAAAGGCTGAAGTGGAAAGACAGTTTTTTAATCTTTTTGATCTTAACAAATATTGCTAGTTAGTATCAAATAAGTTCCTATGGTGCTTCCAGTCCCCCTTTTGAAATTTTAATTCTATTAATTTTTTAACTGAACCTTGATTTGCATATTTCTCCTTTTATTCTGGATGGTATTTTTAATAATATTGAAATTCACAAAAATGAAATAGTGTTCTTTTATTATGAATCATTTTTCAAACTATAATAGATTGCTTTTATAGTTTCTGCAATAGTACTTTGACCCAACTCTACATTATTTTTAATGTGCTGCATATTGTAACATTACTTATCTCATAGGCCAGTTGTTGAAAATGTTGTCCATGAGCATGTTTTGTTGAGCAGAATTGCAAGAGTAACTACAGTCACATTTCATACACAAGTAGAAGAACCAGTCTAGTACCATCCATGTAAAGAGAGTTTGATATTGGAAGTGAAAATTAGTAGAAAAGTGTAATAATAAATTGGATGTACCGGTAGGCAGAGACATCTTGGAGATGTAGTCATATTTGGCTTGTTTATGCCGAGAGTATGTAGACCATACCCATTTTTACAGTTAGGGTATTTCTTATGATGCAGAGAATTAACTTCCAACAGCTTGAAGTTATTCCTAGCTTATTTGCTTTCATCAATATAACTATTCATTTGCATGCATGGAAGACTATTAAAATGTTACTGGCTGTATCTTCCTGTATAATCCATATATAATCCATATATAGACTGTTGAATAATATTGAAACAAGGAATTGATTTCTCCTGATACAAAATGTGAAATTCTTTTAATTGAATGCAGTCAAACCAATACAATTCATAAGCTTTTTAGCTATGAAATGCTTAACGCTTTGTGCTTTTGTGAAGTTTCTTTTTTATTTAAATGTCAATTCAATATCAGTAACAAGAACATTTCTACCTTAGGGAGAAACTGCAATGAAATAGTTGTACATATAATACCCAGAGATTGATTTAACACATATTATTTAATCATCGACAATCAAGTGCATGATAATATGATAATCCCCACTGCAAAAGAATTGGTTGCCTGGCCAAGTCGGTTTTAACAACCCTGGTTAAACTCAATGTATTACTAGTTTTGCTATTTACCATTTTGTGAAAATTTCCCTTTATTTCTGACCCAGAGACAGGGTAAGTTCTTTAAAAATATTGAATTATTTTATAATAGAATGTGTTGCTTTCCAAGACTATATTTTCTATTTTTAGAGCATGTGAGTTTGCAAATAGCATAAGAAGCTTGAATGTTGACTGCATACAATTTAAAGGAAACATAACCTCAAGTAATAACTTCAGTTTTTCCGAGGGATTTTTGTCTTTTGCCTATTAATCTACAAGATTCCCCACCAAAGTGTATGAAAGAGGTATAAATCAAAATATTATTAGTGCAATATCAAGTTTCTCTGCATGGGCGTCGCCATTTTCTTGATAACATCACAAACTATGCAAAGTCTTTTATCAAGTAAATTTATTCAAATCTATGGAGTCATGCTTAAAGACAGTACATCATGCCAAGAATATCTTCATTTATATAATATTTCTTGTACATTTTCTTCAGAGGAAGATTGTAGATCAATGGGCATGAAAAATAGTCATCTTTCGAGTTTCGGCATACCTACACTACACCTATTATTTCTAAGATATGACTATGATTTCGAGTACCGGTATCCATTTCTAAGATATGACTACAATGTTTAAAATAAATCATGTTTTACCGACTTTTAAGTCTTGTAAGCATGATAATGTTTGTGTAATTATTTTTCATCTTAAGAGTTGTTAAAATCAAGGGGATAAAGAATTGTGAACGCTGGATTTCAATTAACCATTCAGGGTAGTAATCAAAGTTACATCTCAAGGCTTGGTATTAGGAGCTGCTTTTTCTGGAGAAATTGGCAAATGTATTTGCCGAAGTATTCATTTTGCAGCAAAAAAAGGATTAATTGAAAATATGCTGAAAAGTATGTTCTGAAAAGCACCACCAAGGTTTATAGACATATATATGCACTCTGGGCATTGTGTTCAGTTTGGTCAAGATACCAGCTCGAAATCCTCATCTTCTTCTTTAAATGATAAACCTCTGTATGAAACGGTTTACTTTTAATACCCATGTTGAAAACTCAATTTCATATCACATATCTGTTTGGATGTTCTCCAGAGGTTTCCACGACGAGTACTCACAATTAATTGCTTTTGGTAGCACCATGTTGTTGCCTAAGTGAAAATGCTGTTGAATATATTCTTTCCTTAAAATAAGTAATAACCCACCCCCAGAAAGGTTACACCACATGGTGTTACTAAAAGCCAAAAATTACCTGTAATGATGATGTTTGTAATGTTTGTATTAGGGGTTTAGTTCTAATACTTGATTTAATTACTACATGTATTTCATCTCCTGAAGAAAAGTATGAGTAAGAATCATAAACTGTATTTTTTATTTGGGGTGCTAACGATAAATGAACATCTTCTGATGGCGATATCTACCTTCCACATAATGGAGAAGAGAAAGAAAGATGCAATGTTAAAGAAATTTCTACACAAATTATTTAAAATGTAAATTTTAATGCAACTTTTAGTGTATGTCAATAATCATTAATATAATTAATAATCTTCCATACAGGGCATTTATGTACATGTGTAACTAAATACCAAGTGTAAAAAGCCTTGTAATAAATTTGTGAAACATTTGTTACTACATGTTGTTGGTGACTTTTACATACTGCTGTTTGATGTGACAAAAAAGCTTTATGGCACAAAAACATTCTCGTCAGATACATGAACATATTAATGATTAAACTCTACCGGTATCAGCAATGGATAAATCTTTCCATATCAAAACTGAACACATTTAATATTTCTTGAAAATGTAAATGTTCTAGAGGGATCTTTGAAAATGGGGTGTGTTCTACTCCATAGGTATATGGTCCATAAACAAAAGGAGAGGAATTTTTTTTGTCTTCTTCAACTTTTATCATAACTAAGCATTGACTTTACTATGCTACATTATTTGCATGACATGAATAAATACAATGTTACAGAATTGTGTCTTCCTCAATTTGTTTTATTGTGAATATGTAAAGAAATTCAATATGCCAATGTAATCTAATAGTTACATCACAATATTTTTCTATAATATTACATTTTCAATGAAACATAGGCTTACAAATCGAAAAATGTATAACTGTTAAATGGTCAGCTTTGACATGTAATACTCACTTCTGAAATATATTCTAATAGATCCTGGCAGTATTATGCTATGCAGTTCAGCAGTTATGAATAAAATGTGACTATTTCAATTGAAAATTAAGAGTTTCAACAACATAAAAATTCATATTCATTTGCAAGCGTCAGGATTGGTACTCATTAGAATTCATAATATTGCACTTTGGTACTGCTGTACAAGATCTAATAAGTTACAGATACAATTTGTTGGTAAATGTACAAGGTATGCTCATGGGAAACTTAAAACAAAACAAAAAATCATAATCCATCAAAAATTTCCAAAAATAAGAAATATTAAGTGTTGTTGAGCAAGTGAACTTTTTTCAATTTCTATCACGATTGCTAACCCTTGACTTCGTTCTAAAATGGAAAACTAATAAAATGCTGATATGAGTTACTGTCATCCATATGTTAAGACTTCCCAAGATGTGTATAAAACATTTATAAAAATAGAAAATAAAAGGAATGACCCTTGTATCATCAAGTAAATTGCATGCAACAATGCTATTATACTGCATTCCATTTAATACGGTACACAGTTTTGTATCAAATAATTTCAACAAATTTATGTACAAATAGTTGCTTAATATCCAACTCAATTTTGAGATTTCAGTTCTTCTCTGGCAAACATTACGGCACATTTATATAGTATATTTTAAAAAAAATCACTTGATTATCAAATCAAAATTTTAAAAAGCTACTTAAAAGTGGCACTAATGTCCTTTGGCAAGACATTGATCTATACTTGCCACTCTCCACCCAGGTGTTAAATGGGTACCGGTAGGAAAGAATTCCTTAAATGCTGTGAGCGTCGAAATCGGCAGCCTAGCATAGCCGGGTAATGTTGGAGCGCCTTGAGGACCTTGCAAGGTCGATACATGCGCTATATAAGAATCCAATATTATTATTATTATTATTATTACATGTTTTACTTTCTCAATTGTATGACGACATTTACATAAGTCACTTGACTTGAGGTAACTTGAGGCATTTGCCTCAATAAGTATTATAAAATGGGTTTAAATTCTGTAGGCAGTCTAATTGGTCAAACAACACCAGGTAACCATGCATCTTTCTTTCACACCATGCCTACCGCAAAAAAGTTCCAATATCAAAAAGTGACAACCTACAGCTAAAAGTGATAAAGGCTGAGATGTGTGTATGTGTATCTCTGAGGCATACAAAATTAAGGCACAATTAAATACAGTTTCAAATGGCAAGGACATTGATGCGCACACTGAGATGCGCACTACACTGTTTGGCTGCACTTATGTACTGTGATGGCATTCAAAGCAAATGGCAACCACCATGACAAATGGCAACCACCGTGACTGTTCGATTCTTGGCATTTTGATCAGGTATCTTGCATATTTTTTCTCAACTTATATTCATATTGCTGACCCATTTATAATTCATGTTTTGAAACTTGTTTATTAGTGATATGCACTGCACTTAAAATCAGCTTAGCCAGTTTGTAGGCGAAGACAGAGAGCTGACCAACTGAACGTGCCGCTAGACCATCTCACATCTGAAATGTGAAAAATTATTTCCTTTGGATTCTAAAATGACCCATTCTAATTATATTTACTGCTCTTTCTTATTTTTTTACTCAAAACCAAAGTGAATAAAATTTAGCAATGAGCTACCCCTTCATTTCTTTGATTAATAAAATTGTTTGGGAATCCCTTTGTGCAGATACGAGAGTAATGTATACAGCTTATCTGAACATTCCCACTGCTGTGAACATAGTACTAAATTCTACATGTTTACAAAGAATACATACACAAAGTTGACATGCACATCATAAGTAAAAGTACTAATTTCTACATATTGACAATCAAACATCTAAAAAAAATAGCCAATATATACATACATACCAACGATATTCATACAAAACATTGTCATATTTTGAGTACACTCTTTCAAATCATCTGTTACATCAATCACATCTGCTTCATTCCTTTCTTTCTTTTTCTTCGGGAGGGGTGCAGACAATTCCCCTTCAAATATGTTTTAATAGTGCAATGTGTCTATAAAGTGGGTTATTTGATAAAAATTGTTCAATTGACTAACGGATATAAATGTAATATCAAGGTCATGATTGTATCAGTTTATTGAAAGACGATATGATCCCTCATACAGCATGGAATATGAATGTGATCAAATGAATAAATCCTTCTCTTCATTAGTATATTCCAGATAAGTTTTGATTTGATCCTGGTTGATAACACCTGATAGTGAAGTTGAAAAGTTGAAAAACAACTTTATACATCGTTGATCAATTTTATAAGCATTCGGCTCAAAGCTTAAGTACTATATATGAAAAAGTGACTAGAAAAACTTGTGCTGTTCGGAAAAGGAAAACAAATGTACTTTTCAAACATATCTATTTTTACAATCTTGTGAATATTTGGTCTCGTGAAGGATGAAAAAATAATTAAAAAACACATTCATAATGGTCTACAAGCTAATCAGCTTCAGCCTTCAACAAAAAACAACAACAAAATATATATTTAAATATCTTGGCAACCATTTGTATTTCAAAGTTTGAACCTCAATGATTAGTATGAGCAATGGATGCATTCATACAACACCACTTCATACAAAAATAACTCTCTACTGAATAATAAAAACCCACAATTGTAGTCACAAGAGTACAATATATGTAAGTTCCCAATTGATTTACTTTTAACCCATTAGCAAGTAGAGATTCTGTAAAAATGGCCCATTTACTCACTGGATGTTGCAATATTCCTCTCATTTTGACATTGTTCACTGACACCATAGACATCTTAGGGATTACGCACATATAACCTCAAAGTAGACCCCATAGAACGGATACTACAGCGCGTTGAAAACAGACGGGCGAGATCGAGGGTTTAGTCACTAAAGGCTTAAAGCAAGCAGGAAATGGTATCTTACTTCAATATTTTTATTTTCAAGATATCATCACATTTTAAGAAAAATATAGTCAGTAGATCACGATGAAGAAGAATAAAAGTATGAATATTTCCACCTGATTTTCACTGTCTTATGAGACTTATTTTGTTTATAATAGGTAGAGTTGTGTGAAAATGCAGTCAATTTGACGTTATCTTGTGTAAAATGGGGAAATGTGGTGCATACACAAACATTTTAATTGAAGAATATCATTGGTTAAAGAGAAGGTCGAGTTCTGGGAAGAGGTAAAACATAATTTGTGAGCGTTATCATTGTTATTATGCAAGGGTGGAAGAACATCAGATTAAACATGTTCCCTGAAAAGCATGGCTCTTCAAATGCCTTCATATTCTAAATATGACATAAAAAAAAACGTAAAAATCGAGGGGGGGGGGTAGGTTTTTTTTGCCATGTGCTCGTGTAGTCTCATATACATCATTCTGTGTACAGTGCTTGTAACTTTGCGAAGATTTGGCCAAATTTCTTATCATTTTGATGATTCCAGAACCTTGCAAAACACACGAATACTTATATACTAGATGATCAACCTTTCCTGATAAATTCCACACCGTTTCTTTCACAATGCAATCACATGACCAGAACTCAACTTCATCTTTAAGTTATAATGTTACCGCAGTAGCACTGTTCATTTCCTCGGTCTTATTTGATTATCTTTCAATATATGTATGACATAGAAAACAGGCAAACCTCCAAGGGAGGCGGGCAGGAGTTTAAAAGGAAGCAGATAAGGTTTGGTAATTCATTGGACCCTGAGAAATATCACACAACAGTGCTTGAAGATGTAACTAAATTAAATAATTGCCCATACACAAGTAATATAAAATCATTAAAAAATGGCAAAGTGTTCATAAAAATACAGGTGGAAAGCCAATCTTAAATTTTATATATGTTATTGTCTTGTTTAAATTTCCATCTCAATGCAATGGCAAGAATGACTAATATTATGTAAAGCTGTAATATCACAATTGCACAGTAATGGGTGCAAAGATTAATCTTATGTTGAATACTTGTAAATACAGCGATGATGTGAAATAATACACTCATACTTCTAGATATGTTCCTGATTTCCTTGTTCTCTTCCTACATTGATTATTGATGGTTTGAAACTGTTCAACTTGAACCTGTCCCCAGTCCTCCCATACACACATCTTCTTGATTTGACTGACACTGTTGTCTGATTTCTTGTTGTCATGGCAAGAAACTACCCTGTTAGAGCCTGTACGATGTAGCTCTACAACCCTCCCATTGTCACCTTTGACTACAGCATCAGCATTCAGTACAGTCACTACTTCACCTACTTGAACATCCATCTTTTCCTCAAAAGACCCTACATTGTCTTGAATGTTTACAAGCACAATATCACCATTGGATCTACCAATCCATAACACATGATCCATCACAAGGAGAGAGCTGACTTTGATGGATGACTGACTCTGAGATGCTAAGATGCTGTGTATATTCCATCGCTGCATGCCATTCTTACCTCGTTGACCACCGAGTCGTTTTCCACCTAGCCTTCGAGTGGTGGTCCCCCTACGAGGTGGTGCTATGCAAGCTGCTGTGAAGTGATTATCAACTATGGGCAGTTCCTCTTGAAGCAGTGCATCCTGATTGGATACAAACCTTCCATCCCCATTGCTATTTGTTTCACATACAGCTGTAGCACTAGCAAGCTCTTGCTCCTTCTCTTTCTCCTCCCAGCTCCTCACCAGTTCCTGTCTCTCCTCCTGGGACAGAGGAAGGAAGGATCCCAGGACAAGGATGCTCTCCCTGCAGTCCAGGATAGCCAGACACTTCCTGGTCTCAATACTGTACTGATAGACATACAGTGCACTTGATGTGAAACACCACACACTACCTTGACTGTGTACAATGCCTTCTACTATTCCTTCTACGCCAGCAGCCACCTGAATCTCATCTGGCTCCAGAGTGATGTCACTCAACGAGATGATTCTCAGCTTATTCCCACAACCAACCCAGACTTCTGTTCCATCTGCTTCATCTCCACTGCTTCCTGTCCGTTCTCTTGTAACAAGAGTGTTCCTTCCTTTTCTCATTTTCCTGGCAGTAGTTTCATCTGTTCCATTGCTCTGTACTGATCTGTCCCTTGAGCCATTGGCCCCATTAGAGACCACATCTTCATACTGTCTTCTTCGCTCAGCCACAGAGTCACCGTTCTTCTTCCTGTAGACAGCCACAATGCTGCTACAAGGGAGATTGTGCTTACTAAGTTGCATCCTGGTGACCAGTCTTAGATCATCTGTGGTGTGATGACCACTATCTTCTGTTTCATGACTTAGGATGGTCAAGGCCCCATTGGCTTGACCAACAAACAGCAAAGAACGTTCTTGTCCACTTGGCTGCATAATTGAAAAAGAAAAGAAAGGAAATTCAGGTTTTCAATGGTATGAAATATTTCTCTAAAAATGCGAATATCTTTTCTTTCAGTAAATTGTAAGTCTTGGTTACATAACAGGATCAGGTGAAATATATTTGATGAGGTGAAATATAACAGAAATACCTCAAGGTTTGTTGTAACATTATTGATAAACCAAGTCTAAAGCACTGAGAGTTACTTTGTATGAGGGGGGAGGTGTATCCAGTTGCTTAAAGGTAAAGACCAGTTATGGTCATGCGATTGCATTGTGAAAGAAACGTTGTGGAATCGATCAGAAAAGGTTGATCATCTAGCATCTAGCATCTGCAAGGTTCTGGAATCATCAAAATGATAAGAAATTTGGCCCATTCTTCGTAAAGTTACAAGCACTATACACAGAAAGATGTATATGGGACTACCCTATATCTCTCACAGACCATGAGAGAAACAAATTTACCAAATATATGAATTAGTAGGCAGTTTCCCGGCAAATTTTTTATAATCATGTATTAGTCAAAACATATTCTTTCACATGATTGGTAATGAGAGCTTCCATTTCATGTTTTGAAATTGGGGCGTTTCCAATACTGGTCTTTACCTTTAACAAAAATAAAGCTGTCCCTTTTGCCTTTGGACATAAATGAAAATAATGCATCAAAAAGCACCAACCATCCTTTACTATACCAACATGTCTAACAAAAGTCTAAAAGATTTAAGAGGAATTACATGATATTAATTATTAATATTAATAACCAAGAGGTCCAGGGCTTGAAACCAATTTGATGCGCTAGTGCCCTTTGGTAAGGCATTAACCCTCATTACCAAGTCCCTCGGCGAGGACATAAAGCCGTGGCTTTATTAGCAGTCCGGTAAAACCAACAAACCAACCGACCTACCTTCTGGAGATAGAGGAGTGAGGTAGGTTGACCAGCCACTCTTGCTTCTACCAGAAGACTTGCATGAGAAGAATGTGATGACGGAAGATGATACACTTGCACAAAGTCACCCTGCAAAAAACAATCATAGCTTAATTTTAATATCAGTCAAGAAATTGGTACATAGAACAACAACAGTAATACCAAGAGTCTCCACAACTATAATAGCAACAGCAACAATAACAACAAAAACAACAATAACAAAGACAGCAGCAGCAACTAAACCTGACAATGATTTCCCTGGCTGGTTCATGCCTGACACGGTTAGATATATATCTGAGTCCATTTAGAATAAGTTTGTAGACATGTTTTTTAAATGATATTTTGAGCAAGCACATTTCTTTGAATCCAGGAATTTTGTTTTGTAATTAAAAAAAAGAAAGTTGTACACAAAGTGTTGTATTATGACATAAAATATATCAAACAATAGAACATAAAGCTACATACCACTGTTCCAACTACAATTTTAGTTCCACAAGGTGTAGCGATGGCGGTTTTGATCATGGGGCATTGGAGTTCATTCAGACGACTAGATTTATAACAACCATCTTCATCAACTTGGAATGACTTCACCGACGTGCCTCGGCCTGAGTCAACTACCAGATGAACAACCTTATCCTGGCAAAGAAAACATATAGGAGTGATGAATTAATATAATAAAAATAAAACAGAACTTGAAAGAAATGACTTAAGGAAAACTCTTTATATGCATGCCACACCAATAATCTCCCTCAGCCACATTGTTCAATGCAAGATCAATCTATATCAGTGTTAAAAAGGTTGTCATGGAGTTCATCAAGACTAAATGAGTTAGTGTTGCACAAAGTACTCCTTCCATCACTTGGGATCTACAATTTTGTGCAAATTTGCACTTATGCCAAACGTACCACTGCGCAGAGAGGCAAAGAAAGCAACCGAAGAGTTCAAACGTAATAATTCAAATCCAATGCAGTGTGGTATAAGTAAATTATTCCTCAGGAGTCATAATTTGCAGTCAGGTATATCTCCATACCATCTAAACAACATCATGTCTAAAAAAAAGTCATTCCTACAAGGTCAATCACACCTTAATATTTACATGAATATGACTCCATGGTGTTAAATTTGTTTTAATGTGGAATGAGATTAGTTTTGAAAGATAAATAAAGAATCATCAAGTTTCTAATAGGTGGTCTACAATTGGTATCTGGTAGAAAGAATGTTTGTATGGCCTATCAATCCAAAGATGGAAAAAATATGACTCATTCACATTGGAATAATTTAAGAACGTATATGTGGTGCAATGTTGTCAATCAGTCAATCACACCATAACGTTCGATGTTTACACTCTCGGATACTTATAAGAACAATGTTTGATCTTGATTCTATCTAGAAAACGAATCTTGGAAATTCTCCCTCTCTACTATTACCTAATTATATGCTGTTGTCAGATCTTGAACTAATTGATTTGTAATTAAGTATGGATATTCTAAAGTTCTTACCTCATCCTGTGCCCCTTGACTGAATGCCAAAGAAACCCCTTCTTCTTCTTCCACCTCCACCACTCTTCTGAGACACAAGAAGCTTGGTTCTGATAAGAGCTGGAGAATGGTTTTACCGTGGGGTCTCTTTCCAGGTTTATCTTGCCAGCAGGATTCCATCAATGCACCCAAGGCAGGGAAGACTTGTCTAGGGGGCATCTTATACTCATGGAAGTTGAAGGTTGGTTTGCGGCCCTCGTTGACGGCGAGCTGAATCTCAATGCGACTGTGTTGATCATAGTATGGAACCAAGCCGGTCATCAGATGATATAGAAACATCCCGTAAGAAAACCAATCCACCTGTTCAAATAACAGCAACATCAAAATCATCACTTTAATCATGCATGATCTTTCTTAAAACTGACATCTTATGTGATAGTGCCATAAAAATGGGTACATTTCATTTCTCAACTTATGGATATTCATTGAGTTGAAGTTACAGTGTACATACCGCATAGTCAAAGCAAAACAAATTTAACAAATAATAACTTAAAAATGATTAACTTCTTGCAGTTAATGACAAAATTGTAGTGTTAAAACTCTGTTCCAGAAAAATTTAAGGCTATTTTAAAACTCCAAACCATATGACATGAGTATAAATGATACCAGAGTGATATCAAGATATGTATATCATAAAACTATGAATTAACATGTATAAAGAGATCTATAACCATACTGATAATGATATGTGATTATATGTGTACATACCTTCTCATCAAACACCTTGCCCTGTAGAATCTCAGGTGCACAGAACCCTGGTGGACCTGCCATTCCCATCGCACCCATCAAGTCATACTTCCTGGAGATACCATAGTCGGTCAGTTTGATATTCACATCTTCATTGACATCAGATGAGAAGAGTAAGATATTGTCTGTCTTCAGATCACAGTAGATGATGTCTTTGCTGTGGAGGAACCCTACGGCTGATGCAACCTGTAGGCTGATCTTGTAAGTCAGCATTCTACTTAGAACAGGTTCCAGTACAATGTTCCTCTTCACAAAGTGTGGCCTTGCAGACTGGTGCTCAGCAAACAGGTAGCTCTGGAGATCACCAAGAGGTGCATAGTCCATTGCAAAGCAGAGGTGTCTGATGGACACACCAACAAGATTGACGATGCATGGATGATCGAGTTTAACCATGATTGCAACCTCGTTTCTCAGCTTATGGAAACTGTCCATCAACATGGCTGCCTCTAAAGAGTCACATGAATCATTCTCTGTTGAAGTGGATTCTCCCGTCATGTTCGACGTAGAGGAAGGTGTAGATGCACATGATGCATATCCTTCACTAGGAGAAGAGTACATCTGATTCTTTAAGAGTCGTGATGGAAACATGGTCTTGGCTGCTACAGTCTCTCCACGGAACTTTGCCCTGAATACTTCTCCAAAGCCACCCTGTCCTAGAGATTGTCCTGACACCATGTGCAGCTTGAAGTCTTCCTGCTTCAGATGCCTGATGCTGAGGTCTTTCATGAACATGTCAGGTATAAGAACGGAAATTGGGATGAGCTTCTCCTTAGAGTTGGCACATGCAGTTATGTGAGTCTCACCACGGGCAAGTTTCTGGGCAAGTTCCTCCACTGTATAGCAATGAGGTAGATTCTCTGTCACAGGTTCAAGATCATCAGGTCCATGAATCACACAGATTGGGCAAGGGACCAGTCTCTGGACCTTGGGCTGAAGGCTGTCATAGATTGATGCACACAAACCTAGACAAAAGAAAAGGCTACTGTCAATTGATGCATGAATTTGACGATACATATTGTTTTTATACGATAATAAATTAGCCATCAATATGTTATTGCATGTGTATATCATTATAACATTGTCATAGTTATATTTATTCTCTTACTCCATTTACCCCGTCTACCACTAACCTAGACACCAATCTAATCTACGACACACCCCATCTATATGACTCACCTGGATACCAGTCCTTGATAAGACCCTCTATCTGGTCCACCACGCACCCCATGGCAGAGAAGTGGCCCTCTTGGCAGCTGATGAGGATGTCCACTCCTGGAGACTTGTCAGTTGAAGGAAAGACCGTCGAGCGCACCAGGATCTGTCCAGTCTTGTGCCTGAAGAATATTCCTTCCCTCCAGTAGATAGACTCCGTCTGGAGGAACCTGATGCCCTTGGATATGCTGCTCTTCGCACTGAAATGGAAACATGTCATCATCTATTAACCCTTTCAGAACAGGATGTATTTATAGGGCTAAATTGATCACATATTACTCTTGAAATTGGCAACAATAATATTTCTCCATCATTGCTACATTGTCGAAATGTTGAAATAAAATGTAATGTCTCTGAAAACAATTTACAAGGGATGAAATATGTGCGGAAAAGTATACACATAACTAGCACAAGTTGCCAACATTTAAAACCATTTAAGCAGTATGGACAAAATATACAAGTAACATGTGAGGAATTAACCTTAATACGCTTTGCATCACAAATTCAAAACCATTCAGGCAAAAGATGAGGTTAATTGGTCCCATCCGTACAAAATGTTCGATTTTGATTTGTGACTTGATCATTTCAAATCTTGGGCATCTTTTGAAAATAAGTTATGAGTTTAAGTAGAAATGCTTTAACTACCCAAACACAACTTTGCATTCATTAGACTTTTCTAGTAGCTGTGATAAGAGGTAATCCAGGAATCTCTTTTTACTTTTTCATGGATCCCTTTTACATTGTTGGCAATGGGAAATTGTAAGATTGTTCTAACCTCTTTGAACGGCAGATTTTTCTCTCATTTCTTGCTGGACTGATCTTCTTCTTCTTATCGTGCATCTGAAGATCGGCAAGAAGACGTGACACCAGTCTGATCCAGAATCCTGGAGGGAGATAGGGCATCTTGTAAACCCTTCTCAGATAGTAGAATGGTGCATCGTCAGTGTTGTGCAGTGACAGCATCACGCCAGGGTTATCACGAGGGAGGCGGGCAGGTACCAAGAACCTGGATATTCATGGAAACAATATGACTTTCGATGGCTTCCGTGCATAGATAATAATAATAATAATACTAATATGTCTTGTAGACCAAGACTAGCCTCATCAGTATTAATACTGTTTTCTCTGAGGGCACTGCAATCATATCATTATCCTGGCTTTAGCCTACCTTCCATGAAAGGTGCTCAAGCATTCAATTAATTTCTTCCTACCGGGTACCCATATGCTGTGCCATCACTATAACCCAGATGACAAATAGTGAGAGTACACTACTGTTGCAACTTTGTAACCTGGATTACAGATTATATAATCTAGTACAGTTTTACAGTGCCACTTCAAATAACTTTCTACAGTATCTTAGTGTGACTGTATTGGTGCGAGTGGTGAGTCAACACACCTTGTATGACCTGTGTATAAGACGCACCCCCGACTTTCATTTTTTTTCGGCGGGAAAAAACTGCGTCTTATACACTGAGATTTACGGTAACTGGTTATTAGACTAAACGAAAAATAGACTGAAGGGGTAGTAGACTGATTAGAAGTTAGACCATATGATTTTAAGCATGAATAGTCTTTGGACCAAATGATAAGTAGACAAAATGATTATTGGACCATGTGGATAGTATACTATATCTTACCAGTGATGGGAGATTGGAACCACAATCTCAAAGCGAGCTAAGAGTTGAAGATACTGCTCAAACTTATCCTCTCCAATGCGACTCTTCTTACTCAGCTCTCTAAGGGTCTCTACATGGACCTTGCCTCCTTTAAGACTCCCTATGGGTAGTGCAGTCACCCTCTGTAACGTACAGGCTAGCCATACTGGATCAATGAAGTACAGGTCATTCAAACCGTTCAGGTGGTCAGTGAAGTGGACAATGCTCCCAATCTCATGCAAGAAATTGATTGCTGATGGACAAATAAGAAGAAAGATTTTTTTTGGTCACTTCAATAATTAGCAATTTGACGACACAGTTATACATATATACATTCAATCCTACTATACATACATGTACAGTGTACAAATAGCCTCTAATTCTACATCTGGTTCAAGACTCTTTAGGGGCATAAATTGCCTACCATAGTAGGAGTCAAATTCTTAAGTAGAACTTGAAGTTTAAGTAAATTTGTCAACAATGAACTATCAAACCCTAAATCTTCGAAAAGTCTTCACAATGAAGTACTGTAGACTTACCTTCCTGTAGTTCTTCAGGTGTATGTAGTCCACTATCAGGTATGAGTTGTACTATCTGAGCTAGCTCAGTCTCGGTCATAATCGGTAGAATAGGAGGGTCTGCTTTCTGACGCACTTCAACCTCCTGCGAAATACGCTTCTTCAGATTGAAGTACGGCTGGGGAACCTGGAGAGTAAAAACATTCAGTTCTATTCATAATACACACTTTCTTGCAGAAGGATATAACAGCTACAAAAGTCTTCCCATAAAAGCAGTCAATAACCCACAGAGTCATCAATTTTGTTAATGCATGCACTCAATTTATGTACTGTAGCACATAAAAAAATTAAGCTATTGGTTCATAAACATGATTCTTCTGTTTCATTATATCTGTACCTGTACATTGTTTTGTTGAATTGCTTTCTTTGTGTAACATATCCTCACGATGGCAGTCTATATTTACTTACTACTAAATCTTATACTGATAAACATATGTAGGTAGTAAAAAGTAGCATCCATGATGTAGCAGCAACCTTTAAATCCATTTATATCAAACCATTTACAAAGGTATAATCCACACATTATGTATCAACTGGTTTAATCTATATCTAGGTGGTAGACAGATTGTCAAGGGAATGAGCATGGTGCTTCACTTAATACTGTAATAGAAAAGAATATTTGGAATGTAGGCGTTTGAAATGAAAAGAAGTTGAAAATCATAAATAAAGTTATCAAAAAAATCTTTTGGTCATGTCGCATAATGCATTTGATTGGAATACACAGCATCTATAAAATTTAGGATATGAATGTTTAATCTGTAATAAAGAATAGATCATTATTGTTACCATAGTGGAATTTTACCTTTCTCCCAATAAGCTTCTCCACACATACAGGTCTCTTATGATGGACCTTCATCTGCATCGCAGTCTCATAGATGACCCGTTTCAGCTCAGCCATACCACTGTTCTTACTTCCTCTAGCATCTACCTCCACGATCCCTGCAACCGGTGGGAATCCTGGTCCAACATTCAGCATTTCAACAAGCTGACTCCGTAGGTCAATCATATCAACAGGAGAATTCTGAACCACATCATGATGGGTACCAACGATGACAATACCGAAGTCTGAAGATCTTGACTATATAGGATAAAAATGGAATCAGTGTCAACTCATTGGAGGTAGGTAGAAGACTCGCTTGAAAACATGCTTATGATCAAGAGACCAGGGCCGGTATTCAATTCGATACTTAGTTTAAGTTAACATTTTACTTAGCAGTTCAGTTCAGTTCAGTTCATTTATTTCAATCATAAAACCATAACATAATATATATACAAAAGTAACATGAAACAATCATAATCTTATAATATTGATTACCTACCTCCAATGAGTTGACACTGATTCCATTTTTATGATTGAAATAAATGAACTTTTACTTAGCACTAATTGGCTTAGCTAGTAAAATGTTTTAACTCATATTTACAGCAAAATACTGACTGATAGGCATTCTGACATCAAACGGTCAATCAAAAGTAACGCATTGAATGCACGCCAATATAATTGTGCCCAGGTTATGATGACTATGTATAAAAACCATAAGTCTGTCAATCAATGCTTACTAAATAATTGGCTTAAGTCTGTAAAGGAGCTGTCTTAAATTTTAGGGTAAAATACTTAGCCAGAAGCATCAACTGAATACCAAAATTGGCTAAGTATTTTATCTAAGTCAAAATCTGAGCAAAACACTCCTAATTCTGACTTAAGTATTAAATCAAATATTGGCCCAGGGTCCCTACGAAAAAACAAAAGTTAAGAGACTAGTGAGACTAACAGCATGAAGTTCAACCTAAGGGACTAAAGTAATTGAAGACTGAAGGAAAGTTAATGAAGTATAGCTAACCCATGTCTTCATATAAAACCTGAGTGGCTGTTCTTGACCATTTAGAATAACAGTATGAAGAAATATCATCTGAATTATTTTATTAAAGACAACGACCTATAAAGAACTCTAAGCTTGATTTGTAAATACTTTCATGATTACATTAGTACAATCTAATCCAGACCAACATACCAACAGAATGAAAGCGGAAGAGTTCACCGCTCATTACTTACACTAATATTGAGGAGAAGAGAGGAGAGTTTATGAGCTCCTTCCATGCCTTCACTCATATCCCATACTAATAGATAGAGAGTCTTAGCCGTCACAAAGCACTGATGAACATTCTCATACAGATCACCACCTTTCATATCCCAAGAAAAGAATGTGATTGCTGGCCCTTCCACTATCTCCTTCTCCTGTAAACAAGAAAGAAAACAGTTTGGTCCTAACAATTAAATTTGTGCTATTAAAAGTTGTCGATAAATTGAACGTAATATATACAATGTACATGTTGATAATCACCAGGATAAAACAGAAGTACATATAACCGTAAATCTCCATGTATAAGACCCACTCTTTTCTCGCCGAAAAAAATTGAAAGTCGGGGGTGCGTCTTATACACAGGTACAACAAACAAAAATAAAAAAAATAAAAAATGTAAGTGTCGATTTATGCCCCCTCCACCTGCACTGTGCATGGCAATGTCTCCCAGCTCAGTCATACAAGATGTGTTGACTCACCACTCGCACCAATACAGTCACAATAAGATACTGTAGGAAGTTATGTGAAGTGGCACTGTAAAACTGTACTAGATTATATAATCTATAATCCCGGTTACAAAGTTGCAACAGTAATGTACTCTCACTTTTTGCCATCTGGGTTATAGTGATTGCACAGCTTCGAAGTGTAGGATCGAAATACAACAACACTACCTGTATGGCTGGATTTCTGTTTGGACTTAGAGGAAAATTTGTCTGTCATCTTTAGTTTTAAAAATGACATTGTTACTATTATTTGTGACAAGTTCACAAGAACATATCGGCGCCTTCAACTACACCTCAAGGTAAAATAAAGGTCCTTCCCCGCATGCGTTTTTGAACATGGATCTGGCTTGCTGCCTACGGAGTCCGCAAAAAAAGATTTCGCCCCCAAAATAGGGGTGTGTCTTATACACAGAGATTTACGGTAGCCTTTATTTGCTATTTTCCTGTAGCAATCCTGAAGCAGTATATGAAGTGTTTCTATTGTTAGCTTGAAAAAGTATTCAATATATCATCTACGTAACTGCATACAATGTACTTGGATCAAAGAATGAACTTTAACACGACATGACTGGCTGCTTCATTAACAGGCGGTTCCAATATACAAACAGTCGTTTCTGTACATGATCAGTTTGTAATTTTATGCAAAAATATTTCTGACATACCAATTTTATGATGTGAAATTTAAAAATTCATTCCGAAGTATAAAAAGTTCATACTAATTACCTTTGAGAATTTTTCTTTGACCTTCTGAGTGAGACTGCATCCTCTGCCTTCTATGACTGGATCTTGTAGTTCCCATTCCGTGACATGCAGAGCCATATCTAAGACACGCCCACCTGTATCAGTCATCAGGCTTCCTAGTAATGTTGTCTTACCACTCTTCTGTAAACACAATCGAGATACAGAGACATTGGATTGCATTAGGCATGGAACAGATAATATTTCCAAGAAACAAAACACACAAATCTATGTGAAGAAAATATAACAAGTACATGTAATTAAAGATTAAAGGAAATTTTAACAAGTTAGAAAATGTACATGCACTGTAAGATCTTTTAAGGATTTATTTTAAATACCAGTACACCCATTTCATTTCTTTCCATTTAATATGGGCTAATTGATAATAAAATTAATTCCCTGTTTATGGTTGTAAATAAAGCTATAAATGTATGTTTGTCAGGTACAACAGTACATTTTACACTAAATTAAGATATGAAGTGAACTAAATAATAATAGCATAGGCTATTCTGAATAAATAGGACAGAACAGTCAGCAATAAAGTGTTTACCGGTAGTCACTGGTATAGCTACATTATACCCAATAATGATGAAAAGTAGTCCAAATTCCTCATTTATTCTCTAAAGCAATTGGTGATTAAATTGTTTAACCATATCAAGAAAACTGATATTTCAATCCAATTATCAATGAAGATAGTTATGATACACGTAGCTGGCCTCTGTATTTATCTTGATTCTTTGATTTACCTCCATACTTTCAAATTTTCAACGATATCTATTTGATCTTTTGTAATTCAGTTGTCACATTTGTTATGTAAATCAGTTCTCTCATATACTGTACTATGATTGTTGTTTGAATATTTTGAATATGATTTGTCAATAAAAACAGAAACATCTGCTAAAAAAGAAAAAAAAAGAGATTAACCTACCGCTGGACCCATTATCATAAGCTTCATGCTGTGATAGGGTTGACTATCTAGAAGCTTCTCATGAAGTATCTTGAGAATCTGACCAGTCTTGCTTCGTTCCTGTGGACTCAGCTGACTTACATCTGAAGGAATCTTAATGTCTAAGCCCTCTATCTTCAGATGGAAGAGATGCTTGAGAGTGCTCAGAGCTTCGGGCAGCTTGTGAAGATCAGGGTTACTAATTGAGAAGTAACATCAAAACAAGACAAAACAATGAATGGTGGTGAGCTGAAAAGTGGTACAGAAACATATACAACTTGATTTCGAGGCCTTTAATGTTATATGCACATATATCTAAATTGAAAATGAAAACTAAATTTGTATTTTATTTGAGAACATATATATCAAATTAACCTACATGTATATGGACATGCTACATCAAAGAAAGTTTATGTACATGTACCGTAATTAACGGTGCATTAGCCACACTTTTTTGCCGCCGAAAATTTTTTAAAGTCGGGGGTGCGGTTTATACACAAGTACAAAAAAAAAAGTTTTGATTTATGCCCCTCCACCTGGCACTATGCCTGGCAATGTCTTCCAGCTCAGTAATCAGTGTGTTAACTCACCACTCGGAAACTAGAACAACACTCAAATTTGTCTGTCATCTTGGTTTGAAAGTAATCTTTCTGATAGATCTCAATATGTAGTTTATAATAAATTCCTACACACGGCGTATCACAAGGTTCGATCCTAGGTCCTATTCTGTTTTTTAATTTACATTATTCAACTGCACCTCGCAGTTAAATGAAAGGCCTTCTCGCATAGGTTTTTTTAACACGGACTTGGCTTGCTGCTGACAGAGTCGGCAAAAAAAAAAAATTAAGGGCAAAAAAGAGGGGTGCTGTTAATACACGAGGGCGGTTTATACAACGTTAATTACGGTAATATATTATTGCAGTTGTAACTGTTACAAAGAATACTGCACTGTACTGACTGTACAACCAGAGACTCTGGCAACGAAGAAACTTTTGTGATTTGTCACTGACAGCCACTTTCATTTTCAAGAAAATGTTGTGAATTGCAAATAATAAGTGTTGTATCATCTGTGATTTAATGCATTTTATAGCACATTCACAAACATTACATACAAGCTAAAGATACCGCTTTGACAGTAAAATAATGCAAATTGCCTTTCCTAAACCCCAAGAAAACACTTTTACTCTATTTGCTCACCAGCTGATATCTAGATCATACAGTGCCTCCAGCTTACAAACGCTCGGAGGCACATCCTCTAGGGCATTGTGGGAGAGCTTCAGAACATAGAGACTGTGCGCAAAGCATTCTGGGAATTCAATCTTCTCCCATTGTTCAGGATGACTGCTGCCACCATTGGGGGAATGTGCATAGAAGGTACTCCTGCTGTTAGCATCAATGATCTTGGCGGGCGACCTCTGAGCTCGTAGCTTGGCATAAAAGTTGGCCACACCCTGTCTTGGTTGACTGGTCGGTGATGTAGGAGGAGTGTTCTTCTTCTTCACAGGAGAGGTTTTAGGACTAGTTGGATGGATGTAATGCAGGAGATATTTAATGGATCTTGTCATTCTCATATTACTACTGATACCTTAAAATTGCAAATCTATGCTTTTTTGTATGATCAAAAATACAAGGAATGCTGTATCGTTCATTACAGAAATTTGTGAAAACTACTTTCTTAATACAGAATGCCCTTTTCTAAATTAAAATACTCATCATTAATGTACATTTAATATGCACCATCAAAAGACAGATACAAGATACAAGATATTTTATTTGGTCTTTGCAAACAAGTTACATAGAAATTTGGTTTCCACTGGCGTTACAGTAATATTCAAGAAAATACATAATTACAAGAAATAAATACATCACGTTTATAGAAATAGATGAAAAAAGGAACAAATACATGCGAAAGATAATGAAGCGACAAAAATGGTCATTGGTACTTCAAGTCAGGAGTTTCAAAATTAAGCCTTAATTGGTTATTGGTATTTCAAATCATAATAGTTTCAGTATTAATTAATTTCCGATGCAGAAGTTTAACGTTTAACCTGTGAGTTGAATTTATGAACAGAGTCGGGTACAAATGAATATCTGAATCATGAAAGGCGGGTTGGAGTGGGGCGAAGTCGGATACCAGAACGATTAAATGAATAAAATAAATGATGTGGATGGGTATTGCCTTTCATGATTGCACAGACCTTATCAACAATTTGCTCAGTACAATGAGACTCGACAGAAGCTACATTGTAATTTTACCCCAATCATGTGCTGTGCCATTTCATGTGGCCTGTTCAATTTCTTCTTGTCCTGTTTTGAGAGATTGCCAAATGAACATATAATATTGAAAAGCCCTTGGTTTTTGTATTTTATTCTTATCCTAAAGACGTTTTTTTAATTTTGTATATATTTTTCAAACATACATATAAGGTGGTCTGAGTCTGTATCAACATCAAATCATCAATACTAAATCTTACTCCCTTTTAAACCATTCTATATTTGTTTAAATGAGTCTATTTTCATTCTTAAATTCAAACTCACTTGTCTTGTTTGGTCTGTGGTTGTGCCTCTCTATGCATGAGTTGATTGTAAGCCAAGTTAAGATGCTGAAGCTTGCGTATGCTCCATGTCCCCGGTAATGGGAAGCAACGTAGTACATTATGAGAGAGATCCAACTCAGACAGACTGCTCAACTGACAGATGGCAGTAGGAATCTCTGTCAGACGGTTGTAGCTCAGGTTGAGGAATCGTAAAGTACGGTGCCAGAACTTAGGTAGGTCACCTGAAGCGGACTGGACCATGTTCTTAGATATGTTCAGAATCTCCTGCAAGGGTCAAGTGAGCAAATTAAATTAATTATGTAATAATTGTGGCGTGCCAGGATTGTAAACTCTTTCATCAGACATATTAACACTATACAAAAACCAACTATTATAATAATCATTATAAACAGAAGAAAACATGGTTAATAACATGTTGATTAAACAACATGGATATTGTTGGGCCTAACAAGAAGCAGTGGTAAAACACCACATGCTCAAAATTCTGATACAACTAGACCCCCCTAATTGTGACTTATCTATAATCAGATCATTACTGCATTGAAATGAACATGGACAGCACTGCTAACAGGTTGAGTAAAAACAATTTTCTAGTTTACTTTCGACAAATCTGGACTGATTATCATTCTCTTGATGTCCTTGTTGATTGGTTTCCACATTGGAAGCTGTGCATTTGGCAGTACCTCACTGACATGGCTAGATTTAAGTGATATGAACAAAACTCAAAACATGCCTCAGGCACCATCACTGGTGCTAACTGAGATGTCTGATCTTTGTCATGCATCATCCTGTATCACACAATAGATTCATTCACACTCTACCCACACAATCCATTTTAAAGAATCGGATGTCATCCCTTGAGAGCCATGTGTGAACAGAATCATAATGTCAAGTTATAATTTTGCAACAAACTAAATTTGAGTTCAGCAGAGTAATTTGTTTGTTGCACTTCAAGTACCACATCAATCCAGCTGGTGAAGTCACAATGAACCGTAAGCTAAAATGCCAGCTCATTGAAAACCTGTTAAGCACATATTAGACTTTTGAGGCATTGCAAGAAAGTTGCAATCAATTGCAAATCCCTAAAATCAAGCGCAAGTCTTGCGATTAATTGCAAATTTGCAATTGATCGCAACTAAAGTTTCTTGCAATGCATGGTTAGTAAGAGAGAGAGAGGGGGGAGAATAATAGTTAGATTTACAAATTAAGAGCTTCTTGTAAAAGAAAGAGAGAGGGAAGAGTAAGAGGAAGTGTAGGAGACAGAGCAAAAGAGAAAGAGAGAGAGAGGGAGAATGACAGGACATTAGACAGAGACACACAGAGAAAAATAGTAGAGAGAGAGTGAGAAAGAGAGAGAGGAAGAGAGATATAGAGTGAGAGATAGAGAGAGAGAGAGAAAGAGATAGACAGAGATAGACAGAGAAAAAAAGGGAGAAAGAGAGAGGGAGGGAGGGAGGGAATGAGGGAGGGATGGAGGGGAGGGAGAGAGAGAGAGAGAGAGAGGGTGTAGACTTACCAGTGGACATGCCCAAGGTCTTGGTATCTCATTGAAAGAGTTCTCTGATAGATTGATAGTGATAAGTGATGTACAAGCATCCATCTGTCTCGGGAGAGAGCTCAGTTTGTTTTGGGAGAGATCCAGATTGACGAGAGACATGCAGTTCCATTGTCTTGGGATCTCATCTTCAAAGGAAGAGGAAACACATTTGATGATACAGAATCAAATCACAAATCTATGACAGACTCAAAATGTGATTACTCACTCACAAATAAAGTCATTCAATACATCAATGGATTTCACACATTTCATGTTTATACATATCATTGATGTATTAGTACAATCCATCAATTATCCTTTTTGTCATGTGAATGAAGAAATCACGTACCCTATCACAGTTATAATAGTGTGCAATTTTCTATATACCGATCTGTCAAGGAATTATCAGAACAACTATAATATCATTACCAATGTCAGAAAGCTTCTTGCCTTGCAAGTCCAATATGTTTACTTCTTAAACACATTTTTTTTTATTAAATGCAGTAAGAGCATGATTTGACTACATTTTTATGCATAGGAAAGGCTTATTCCATTTTCCTCTCCTTATCAAAATTTTAATTTGATATCAAAAGAAATTTTCACAAGTATTGAATAAATTTACAAAATTCTACTTAAACTGACAGAAGAAATTATTCAAAATGATCAATTTTCAAAAGATAAAGCAATATGTACTGGTACATTACATGCATATTACAGGCATTGGATTTAGAGATAATACCATCAAACTTACTTTAGCAACCCTGCGTATATATAGACCACAATTTTCACCTCCCCTGATATGTGATTTAGATTGAACCACATATTGAAGGAACCAGTACATACATGTAAAGCTCACTTCTCTTGTCTCCTTTGGGTGGTCTTTATATACAGGTTCCACTGTACTTACCTTGTGTGGATTCCTTGGCAGGTTGTATAAGCTCTTCCATTGCATTGCTGGCGAGGGACAGGAACTCTAATTCTTTTAACATGAACAGCTCAGCTGGTACAGACAACAGTTCATTCTGATACAGGCTTAAAGACCGTAGGCTGTATAGGACATAATCAATAATAGCCAATATAAATCATTTCATAAATAACGTCAGATATGCAAATGCATGTTGGATTTTGTAACACTTTGAATAAAGAATATCCAAGATATTAATGACATTAGCAGAATGGTAAATGTCAAATAACAATAATGATAATAATAATACCAGTTTCTTATATAGCGCTTTTTCATTAACTGACCAAAGCGCTGTAACCTTGGTCACTGGATTCAATTACTATTCTGCACATTACAGTGCACTTTCTCCACTCTGTGGGGAGCGTTCCAGTTCATACTTGTGTGAAAATTAAGAGACTGTTTATATCTCATCAGAGGTTCAGTGGACAAAGCAGTTGCCTTTGAAACCGAAGGTCCTGGGTTAAAAAACAATACAGGTGAAACTGTACTTGTTTCCTTCAGCAAGGTATTTGACACATCCAGTCCATGAGAGAGGAATTTAATTATATGGACTGTGGGTAACTTATCTTACAGCATACATGTACATTGCTTTCTTTATATTCAGGTGAGACATAAACAATCAAATACATGTATATATTATAATTACAGAAATAAATTGTTTTCATTTAGTTAGTTTGAGGCATCATGTAAGGCAACTGATAAAGCAAAAAATAATCTGAAATCGTAACATACCGACAGTCGCTCAAGTTTCGATGGCTTTTGGGGGACGGCAGTAACTGAAGTGAATTCTGGGATAGGTTGAGACGACGTAGATTCTGTAGACCCCATAGGAGACCCTCTGGTACAGAGAAGAGAGAATTCTGGGATAGATTGATGGTTGACAGGACTTGATGGGTTGAGTCTTGAAAACCCTGAAGCCATGATGGGTCAAAGGTATTGAGCTGCTTGTGGTGCCAATTTGCAATGAGTTCCTGTAAGGAGATCAAGAATGTAGATTGAAATATATACCTCATTTGAATCTAAGCAGTGAATGACGGTTGTAGATTTGCCATCCAAATAAATTTCTTAAACAGTTATCAAATCACATTATGAAGTGAACTCAAATGATAATTACCGGTATGTACTTATAATAAGGTAAAATTCATTATATTACTCTAACTCGACTCTCTCACAATACCTACGGTAAAACAAAATGTTAGTTCTCCTCCATCAATAGTTTATGCTTCAGGCCACCCTCACCCATAAAATATCAAAACCCATCCATTTTCTGGCTGAAAATTTAGCCAGATTTTGAATAAAAATTTTGCCTAATTTTTGACAAAAATTAATACATTTTTTTAGTCCAAATAGTGACTGAAATGACCATTAAAGAGGGTATTCTTCTAGCATCAGGGCACATTTTTACATATACTAGGCCCATCAAATCTCTGTACATTTGAAATTGACCAAACAGTGATGTCGATAGATGGTGCTGTAAAAAGTGAATATGTTGTATTGCCATAATCTAGGATTCTGTACACGTCCATTATACATATTTTACATTCGTGAAGTCATGCATAAATCAATGAAAACAATAATTACTTCCCTGTTTGCACAACCCATGGCAGTGTTTGTTTATAGCTATCATTTTTCAACTCCCAGTAAACAAGTGAAGGTAAGTAATACCTCGGTCCGACCTTTAACTGACTTAACTTGTTGCACTGTTACAATTTAAAAAAAAAAATTTGTGGGTTGAAAGGATTACTGAATTACTGAATTGATTCCAACCTTAATATGCCTACCGATATTTATAAATGATCCAAAGACAATATTCTACACTTGAACATTTTGACTTCTATGGGAAGGATTTTCTAGCAACCATCTGATGCTATGTACAAGATAAAACATTGAACACTATAAACGTAAAGCTACATTTGGATACATGCACAGGTAAATGTGTGTTAAAGGTAAAGACCAGTATTGGAAACGCCCCAATTTCAAAAAAATGAAATGGAAGCTCTTATTATCAATCATGTGAAAGAATATGTTTTGAATAATACATGATGATAAAAATGTTGACGGGAAACCGCCTACTAATTGATATATTTGGTAAATTAGTGTATCTCTTGCCTATTGAGAGATACAAATGCATGTGTCGCGCACGTGTGTGTAGTCCAATATACATCTTTCTGTGTACAGTGATTCTAACTTTATGAAGACTTGGCCAAATTTCTTATCATTTTGATGATTCCAGAACCTTGCAGTACATCTATGCTAGATGATCAACCTTTTCTGATCGATTTCACAATGTTTCTTTCACAATGCAATCGCATGACCATAACTGGTCTTTAGCTTTAAGCTTTAGAACTAAAAGGGCAAACCAACCAGACCTGCTAACCTCTGGAGTTCAAAAACTGTATACTTTAATCCCAAAAGTTGTATTCTACTGACAAAAGTTGTATTCTTAAAAATAAACATGGACTGTTGCGCGGATCAATGCCTCTTACAGTTCGTACATACAGGAAGAATTTTTTTTATGGATCATTGATTGAATATGCATGATTTCGTCACGACTGTTGTGTTCGATAAACCAATGAACATCCCCAAATTGACGATGTGAGATGTTTGTAGGACACCTTACAGGAGAGAATGGGTATTTTGCCATTGAAAATGGCACACACAAAATTATTTTTAAAAAAAACGACTAGATCGTACTGGTTGGCAGGTCTGTCCAACCCTTGTAAAAAGTTAATTCCTAACTTGTATGAAAGCATAAAATAAGATAAACAGAATGGCAAAACTTTGAAATCAATTGGACCAATATAAAAGATATCGATAGTTGAAATATGAGATCACTATGTCTAGATGCATATCTTAAATTGGCAGTTTGGTCAGTGGATTGTGACAGACATGTACCTGCGGATAACTCTCCCGTTTGGCGTACACGTACAAAAACACAAATAAAATCTGTTTTTCTCCTAAGTGCCATCTTCGTTTGGGCACTACTTAAAGAGAAGGTTGAGTTCTGGGAAGAGGTGAAAAATAATTTGTGAGCATTACTCATTCTTATTATGCAAGTGTGGAAGAACATCAGTTAAGACATGTTCCCTGAAAAGCATGGCTCTTCAAATGCCTTCATATTCTAAATATGCATGTAACATCGTAAAAATCGGGGGCCGGCTTTTTACGCCACGTGTTCGTGTAGTCCCATATACATCTTTCTGTGCAAGTGTTTGTAACTTTACCAAGACTTGGCCAAATTTCTTATCATTTTGATGATTCCAGAACCTTGCAATACACACAAATTCTTATATGCTAGATGATCAACCTTTTCTGGTCGGTTCCACATCGTTTCTTTCACAATGCAATCACATGACCAGAACTCAACTTCATCTTTAAATTAATTATGGATATTATATCATTATAGGCCCTCTAAAGAGAATAGACCCTCCCGAGTCATACATTTTTGAAAAATTGTTATGTTAGTCGCTTTGTGTGTTGGAACAAATGGGAAAGTTGTCCGCCACTACGTCACAGAGACATTACCTATTCAGCCAATTTGAAGAGCCCATACCTATAGTGATTACAACTTACAAAAATTCATAACTTTGTCATGTTTTGCCCAATTTCATTCAACTTTAACCAGTCTACTTCTCTGATTTACAATGTATCTGCCTTTCTCTAGAGTAGTTTGCTATCAAGGTTGAGTTTTCCTTTAAAACAGAATGACCCCCACCCCTCATTATGAAAATCTTTCCCTGAGCAAGTTTACAAACGATTTGCAAAAATAACTCTTCAAAATTAGTCAAACAGGAACTGAGAGGAAAAGTAAACAAAGACAAAATATTAAAATTATTCATAAAATAAATAGTGTTAAAGAAAATAAAATACAGCCACATTTCTCAGTGAACACACAATCCTTACATCAATTTACACATACCTTGTTTCACTACATATTTAACACTTTTAATACTCTACATGATGTGGCAGGAGAAAAGAACAGTTTTGAGAATGCAGTACAGGTCAATATTGGATTTATTGGTGTTGACTGTGGATTACTAGTGTAATTTGTTTGACTATAGCTGGTTTCTATTCTAGTTTCTATTTGCATCATTAGTACACAACCTAAAGCTACCAGTGTAAATGCACTTTCTATCATACTTGCTCATCGGGTTATCTGCTTCTTATTTTTTTTTTATGTTGGGGCTTTTTTTTTTGGGGGGGGGGGGGTGGGGAGTTGATTTAGTTCATGAATTCTAATTGATTTTGGATGAAGTTCAACTTGTAAGATATAAATATACTGATGATGCCCCCTATTCCCCTGACACTCATTGCTCATGTTTCCTCTCTTCCTCTCAGGGGAAAAAAGGTTCCCCCTCTCTCTCTCCCTCATCTCTTTCCATCTACCCTTTTACTCCCCCCCCCCCCCCCACATCATTTCTCTCTCTTTCTCTTGCTGTCTTGCTCTCTTTCGCTTTCTCTCTCTCTCTCTCTTGCTCTCTCTATCTACCTTTCTACCCCTCTCTTTCGTGCTCTCTCACTCTCGCTCTCCCTATCTACCCTTCTACTCCTCTCTCTCTCTCACTTGCTCTCTCTTCTCTCCATCTACCCCTCTCTCTCTTGCTCTCTCACTCTTGCGCTCCCTATCTACCCTTCTACTCCTCTGTCTCTCACTTGCTCTCTCTTCTCTCCATCTACCCCTCTCTCTTGCTCTCTCACTCTCGCTCTCCCTATCTACCCTTCTACCCCTCTCTCTCTCTCTCTCTCTCTCACTTGCTCTCTCTTCTCTCCATCTACCCCTCTCTCTTGCTCTCTCACTCTTGCGCTCCCTATCTACCCTTCTACCCCCCTCTCTCTCACTTGCTCTCTCTTCTCTCCATCTACCCCTCTCTCTTGCTCTCTCACTCTTGCTCTCCCTATCTACCCTTCTACTCCTCTCTCTCTCTCTCTCACTCGCTCTCTCTTCTCCCTATCTACCCTTCTACCCCCTCTCTCTCCCACTTTCTCCCCACTCTTTCTCAATCACGTTCAAATTACATGTTTGTATAAACATGGAACCAGGAAACACTGAGCCATGTTCATATTTGGGCAAGTCACAAAATTTTGCTGCATATATGTTACTAGTTACAATGAATAGTAAACAGTCATTAAAGGGAAATCCAACCTTACACTACTCTAAAAGAAAGCAGAAAATCAAAAAAACAGACCAGTGAAATATGACATTAAAGAAATTAAAAGTTGCCTATTTCCTAAAAATCTCTATTTTAATACATATTCGAGAAGTGTATGAAATTTCTTACCCAGTTCACAAGATCAAATAATTAATTACTGCAGAATATACAGGTACATACATGCGCAACTACACAACTTAGTGGTCAATGAACCTCTGAATTAACTACCATGCAAGTCTTGATATGAAAATAATTTCCCCCTTCATTACTCTTTAAACCCTTACTACTTAAATTTTCTTGCTATGATGAAAACTGCCATCTTTATCTAATTCACAAAATGTTCACATCATACAATGTATGGGTTTTAATACAGCGCATGAAATTACTGTTAAAGCAAGATATTTCCTTTTTTGAAAATTTCGTACATGGAAGCATTCTCCTTTCGCTTCATTGAAGCCCATGCCAACTCAAGGTAATCAAAATACTCCTCCAAATAGATCACATGATAAGTCACTTCCAAAGTCATATCCACTTCCCTCTCTCTCTCTCTCTGCCTTTCATAATACTTTTATTTTTGCTGCTGGTGTGATTTTCTAGGTAGGAATGGAATCACTAAACTAAGCCAAGTGTAGCTATGGCACTGTAAACTGAAAGATTTTGAGCCGTCTAACCAAAAACAGCACATTGCTTTTGCTAATAATGAAAAAGACTAAGCAATAAAAAAAAATTAAAAATATTGTGTCATATAACTGTAAATGTAGTGGCAATCCTACATTGTGAGGAGAATACACGTAAACCAACATCAGAATTGATTGCATTACATCTGTACAGAGCCAGAAGTGTTTTAAAGCCCCACTGCACTACATATAGCTACTTGCGCCCTCTATATAGCAAACGATGCCTAATCGGTGACCATTGGTCCCTAATTATGGTCCCCTTTTTCTTAATTGAGAGCTGATTTGATGAGATACTCAGTAACCACCTGTCAGTGACCATGCAGGGAGGTATAATCCCTCCTTGCCAAACTAGTGCAGAGGGTCTTTAACTCTGTGCAAAAGTATATGAGCTACCAGCCTTCTTGCTCTCAACAGATGATGATATTACTTCAATGTGAATAATTGCATAATGTAAAAATACTATAAAGATGCAAAGAATTGGGCTCTCATGGGGAATTCGACACCATTTGGGTGTTAACCCAATAACAGATGTTGTCAATCACCAGGATTGGCCTTTATTTTATGACCAACAGGCTTTACGTAATGCTCTGTCTTTCCCACCCTTTCATCCATATCGTAAAGTCGTTATTTTACATTTCCCTCACCCGAAGACTCTCCGAGAGACTAGGGGGTATTTCTTGATGGGACTACGGATTTGCTGTGTGAGAGACATGTACACCCATTAATGGTATTTCCACCTAGTCTGGTGTCGGCCAATTATGGCCTTCTGCACATGAAAACTGACGATCCTCTTCCTTTAATCTCCCTTTAAGTTATGTAACAGTTTTCCTACCTTTTTGTTGTTGTTGTTATTAGTGCTGGAGTCATCAGGTTCAACCCATATCTCGAGAAGTGGCAAGATATCAGCACCCAGCATATTGGCTGCTGCTTCATCAATGCTGACTAAACCTCTCTCAATCAGGTCTGCTGCTACGCTGTAATGCTCACCTAAACCACATCAAGTAAAAGAAGACACGATTAAGGTACATGTATATACATGTACAATGTATATCAATATCAATCATTTTCTATTGTCTGCTGAGAGCCAGAAAAGCATTAACACAGAAAGGCTGCCCTTCTGGCTCCAAATAGAATGCAAAATTGTTCACTATACTCAATATTGAAGTCTAAAGTAAAAAGAGAGTAACCCTTAAAACAAACTTGAATTAGGTCTATAATGTGTTTTCCTATCGTACAAAGTGCTGCATATAGTGTGACTTGAGAGCGTACACCATAATGGACTAAATGAAACTTATAGCCAATTGTCATGATAAATACTGTACATGCCACAAACATAAATGGGATTGTTACAAATCACAATTTTATTGCAAATATTAGATCTAGATCTACTACCTTGGTTAGGCTGGGAATATCCCAAACTATCATACACTTTTAGATGCACAAACATCCCCAGCAATTCCTGCTTTTACGTTCTAGCCTTCTACAGCTGTAGGTGTATCATATTCTTTGACACTACACATTCCACCAAGCTACCATATTATATACATTATAATGAACAGCTTCTTCAAATGATCATCCACAAATATAGTTTTTGTACAACAAAAGACCCTAAATTCTGTGACAAGCATTCTTCATTAATTTGATATAAAAATCAGCACCTTCTATGTGTTCCATGTTGACTTAGTACTGAAGCAGGTCAATCAGTTGATCTCTAGAACCAAATAATGCATCCACACATGACTCTCTGCAGAACGACCAATATATGTGTAGCATTCCAAAAAATCAAAGGAAACCTTGAGTTAGAATAGTGTTGAGCAATTAAGTTCACAGCAATTCACCCTGCTTCTCTTCTAAATCATGCGGATGTGATCAAAACGCACAACCAAACAACATACTTTACAGAAAAATTTGTGCTCCCATGCCTGAAATCCTGAATCAAATCGTTACTAAGTTCCTATACATGTCAACAAAAGCAAAACAAGCCAGTTGGACGTTCATGCATGTAATGAATGACACCACATGAGGAGTTTCCAACAATCATTCTATGAACTCCATCAGCCAGTATCAATGGCAGCACTTCTCTGGACAATTAAGTTGGTAGAATACAATCAAGGCCTTAGATTATGGAAATAATAGCCTCAAGGTTTGAATTCATGTACACTGTAGTTCCTTTCAATGTGATAAGTGATACTTGTCTAGATGAAGAATAGAAGAAGTATTCAACTTGAGCTCTAACGACTCAAGTGCGATCATCAACCTGCTCGTTAGAAACAATAAAGGAAGGAGAACAATTAGCAGCACAACAGGAATCTCTCACTTCTATAATAAGCTTATCCTATGGTCATAATGAATTCTTAAGGGGAACTCCCTGATAATTGTTACAGGGAACTCCCATAAAGGGTCTAAGTGTTTACCATTCACTTCTAGGATGGGGGTAGGATATGTTTTGATTTGCCCAGAAATCCAGTCCAATTACTTGTTTTTTTTTACTTGGGCATAGTCTACATGTTTATGATTGTAAAGATTGAAGAAATTTGTACTTCCACAATCAGTTTGCATCCTTTAACTGGGTGTACGTCATGACCCACAAAATATTAAACTTAGGTCTTTAAAGAGCACAAAGGACAGATGAATGTAAGAAGGGTTGCATTTTGGGGTTTTGTCTTCAAGAGTACAATTTATTTATTCATTTAATTTCTTCTTTATTTCAAAGATCTAAAAATTTCAAAAGTAGCACAAAGGTGTGTAAATTCATATGTTCTGCTATCATAGCATCTTTAGTGCTAATTTTTTATTAATTTATTAGAGCTCTAATTGAAAATTACAAGTATTGTAAATATTCCTTTGTTGCCCACGGCCCCACGTAGATCCTTATTCATTCAGATGACATGGTCGTGGGTTAGAACCCCAGCCACGTCATACCAAAAGACGTTAAAAGACGGGAGTTGCTGCTACATGTACATGTACCTTGTTTGGCGTTAAAAAATAAGGGATAGAGCCACGTCGATCTGGCGCTGCTCAGTGGCTGCCGGGATCACGATCAATTGGGCAAAAATAATTTCCATTTTCGGTTTAACTAAATAAAATTTGGAGTGGACTTTAAAGGGATCGTTTAACAATGTTAAATCTGAGATACACGGCCCTACGTGTTATCAGTGTCTGTGATATGGTGTAATATTGAAGCCCTAAAAAAATTGCGCTTCAAAATGATCAAGAAGTGCTTCAAAAAAGTAAAAATCTTTGAGTGACCGGTTTTACCATAATCGTTTTCCCCAAAAGACTGTAGTGTTATGAAAACCGTCAGGCGAACGGTTTTCAAAATTTGTAATTCCAATCATATATATCTTGATAAGCAGACAGGCGATCGGCTTGTAAAAGTCATGGGGTTCCTGACTGACCTAAAGGTTTATAATTATCATTGCATCATGAGCTAAATCCTGAATTTTGTTTCAGAATCTGAGACAAAGTTACCGGATCCTTTTAAAAGATTATTGTTATTATGACTATTATTGTGTTATTGTAGAGAATCAAATTACAAGTACCGGGTACTGTAAATTCTCGTAAAGCTATGATCCGGTGCTCCGAGATTATCCCAGCTTTAGCATGGTTGCTTTTACAATGACAAGCAAGTAATTTCATTCTACTAGGTGGTCATTATACCCAAGTCATGTGAGACAAATGTAAGCTTGCCCAAGGATATTGGTGCTAGGGTGGGATTTGAACCTCAACACCCTCAAATGAATGAACCACTATATACTGTTACACTCTTTATACAGAAATAAGATCAAATCATGGGCTTTGATGGTTCATTAGCAATAAGCACTAAATTTAAAGTCAAATCCACAGAGAAAAACAAAGAATGAAATCAAATCCTGATTATATACCAATTCTTAAATACAGAACTGCAACTTACATGCAATCACCTATATAGTACATACTGACCTTAACATAAACATAGTCGATATCCGTCTCCATTCATTGAAAATCCAGAATATTTGCCCGATAATAAGGATATCCATACATCTTTGTAAGAATACCACATGATAAGCAAGACATGAGGAAATAATTCGCCATCAGTATAACTTTCACGAGCACCACTATATAGTCTGAAGCTCTTATTATAGGCGCATGCATGAAGGAATCCGGCCTTCACCAAAACCGTGTCCAATACCAGATTAAAATGAACACTTTACCATAAATAAAAGTCCATTACAAGGTTTGCAGTAATAATGTTCCAATTCAATGGGAAGCATTCTCCAGCCCAGGAAAGACAGAATTGATCCGGTAGAGGATGTTCATCTGTTCTTCAACTCGACTCAAATGTAGTATGTCTTTCAGGGCAGGGAAGAGAGTTCATTAGATGCTACATCCCCAAGGAAATTCAGCACATGAACATAAACACCAAGCGAATGTCACCATTAATAAGAGTATGTGCATGAATGATATGTGAAGAGTGAGAGAGCATTCCCTCAGCTCCAATCATGATCACAACCCTGGAAGCAGAGGGCCAACAAGGGGGCAAATATTTCTCCCCTCGGAGGATCAAAACTCATTTTAATCCCAGTCCTCCCTCTCAGCTGGAGTGTACTTCAGGGTGTTGCTATGTCAGAATGAACTCATGGTAATCCATGGGTAATTAACAGAGTTGTAAAGAAAAGAATAATAATAATAATTTATCATAGTACAATGAAATCAAAAGAAATAATAGCATAGTTCTCTCGATGTTTTGGTCCTACTATATTAGCCTTGCATAAGTTAGTCATTACTTAGTCATTTTCCTATACTGGTAGTCTTCTGGATAAGTCTCAAAGCCATATTCAATGAACGCAATATCTACTGGTATATTTCCCTTTCTAACAGATCTATCAAATACAAAATAAACCCTAAACAACATCAATACCTAAATAGAAAGCAGTTTGAATATATAGCCAAATTAAAAGTACTTCACTTTGATCATAATCAAATAAAATGTAATTTACTTACAATGTAGTTGCAGCAATTAATGCAGTTCATTCTGTGGTTCTACCTTGTTATAATTCCAACCAAATCTAGTAATCAAACAAGTGTACTGTACACTGTTGTCCTCTGTGGTATATTGATCATTGTATGGTAAGGTATTCAGCTATGACAAAAATAACTGAAACCAGAAATACAGATTTGAGTAGGAGAGCCATAGTGTGGTGTCATCAATCCTGATTTAAAACAATGAGTTGGAGTTATTTGGAAGTGGTGTGATTGAATGAAAGGTAAAAAGGAAGTCCACACACAGGAAGTATTGCCAGGACTGACTGTATTGTGGGGGAGTGTAGATGACATGTTAGGATACTTCATATACTGTAGATCTATCATAAACAGGACAGGGACCATGTAGTTAATCCTAATGAGAAGAGCAATTAAAGGAGAACTTTTAGAATACATCCTTGCCCCCAAATCCATGAAATAATTATAGTTAGAAAGTTAGATATGTCAGGATGTTAAGATACATGTTTAACAACTCTGTTGCCCTTTGATGGCTACGACTTCTGACAAAGCGGCAACATGAAAGTACGCTATTTCCACAATTGGTTGAAAATTAGTATCATAAATATGTTAAGCTGTTATACAAAACATGCGAATTACTTTGTATATATGTTTCATTTATGTATGAAGTGAGACAGGTCTAATAAAAAAGGGAAACAAAAAATAGAGATTTCTCAGATCCTATGGATTTTACAGTGTATCTGGAATATCTGATACTAACTTTAATCAGATTGTTTTATATCATCAGATATCTTGAAACTAATTGCATCCTCGGGCACCATATTGGGTGGAGGAGGCATAAGAATGCTTAGGTCGTACAAGGTATCCTTGCGTGTACTCGGATGATCCTGGTGTGTTTTTGCACTCGGGAAAATGCATGGATAAAGACTACAATGGTTCCTTTTTGTTGAGGTTATGAAAGCAAAATTGAAACGATAGTCAATTCAATGGCTAGTTTCATTTCATTA